CAATAAGAACATTTAAAAATGGCTATTACTTTTTCTTATTCTATTTTTAAACAAGATTTCCTGATAAGAGATCTTGCTTTGTTAATAAAATACTGTTGCCAGCATTTTTACTTGAAAAGTTCAAGGATCATGTACTATTGTCTCAAATCAGAAAACAGCAAAATGGAAAGAAGACAAAATGAAATAAGAACAACATTCTTTAAACCCTGGAGCGCATGAGGGAAAACCACCTTTATTGTAAATGACATGTTGCTGATGTTGCACAGTCTTAAGAAATCTGTGATGGGGAAGGGAGATGGGGTGAGGATGACACAGGCAAGATGACAAGGAATGCCTGTTCCGATGTCTTACCTGTAGAAGCTCCTGTTACTGCCTCTTCCTCTCATCGATATACATTTAGATCCTGGTCCATCCAGACATAAAGACACCAATTCCTCAGAAATTCCCTTCTTTGCCATATCTACAATACCTTTCTCTCCATCCCCATACCTGCAATGCTTTTATTTATTTGAACTTTCTATCTAAAAGACATAGCGTGTAACATGATTGTCTTGTTACTTGAATACACAGGCTGTAGCACGCTGGTGGTAGAGTACGTCTTTGGTGTGAAAGCCACAGCATTCCAAGAGAGTTTTCCCAACGCGTAGGTCTGTGTTTTCTTATAATTTAACACCAGAGCCTTTAGCAGTGCTTCTGGGAATGGATGAAAAGCCAGTTCTCTCTACTTTGTTCATATCCTGACAGTCAAATGACATCATGTGATTATTAGGGACTTTGAGATTGTTTAACACTTATTCATGCGCGCGCGCACACACACACACACACACACACACCATTTCTCTTTCTTTCCCCTGAATACTAGTATTTGATGAGCTTTTTTGCTCTGCAGTAAGAGAAATACCGAATGTACAATTGCAATGGTTTATAAGAGGCAAGCATTGGCCTCCAGCAGTAAGCTCGATCCTACCTTTCTCCAAGTGTTCGTGCCTCCACAGATAAGCAAAGGCAGCTACCAAAACACAGAGCCCGGTACTCCATCCTAACCCTGCTAACACCCAGCGTGGGCCAGGGAAGTCATGGATTCTTGTCAATCAAACATTTTTTAATAGAGAGGTATTTTACATATCAGTTGAGGTTACCTTTTTTCAAATAAAATGCATTCAATTAAAACTCTAATAAACATGGTTTCGTCTTTCCCAGATGATTCAGAGGAAGTCTGGGCCCACACTGCCTCTGAATCATCTGGGAACATCAGCTCTTTGTAGCGGAGAGCACCATACCCTGGCTAACGCCGCGTCTACTGACGTTTCTCAGGAGGAACGAATGGATTGTTGTGCTTTTATTACCATCCAGTGGGTGGTAAGGCATGAGGTTTACTCGTCAGCAGCCTTTCCAATACATTTTCATCTGATGTGTGGGAGGTTAGAAATGTTCACATTTCATCTTTAACGGGAGCATAAACTAGATGTTGAGCTAGCATTTGGATGTCTTTTTGAATAAGTTCTGCTTATGGTGAGATTAGCACGCACGTACATTGCTGGTGTTGCATACCTTTCTGGAGGGCACGTTGTCAGTGTGTATCACAAGTCTTTAAAGTAAGCATACTTTTAAACACAGAAATTCTAAAAGAATTTTTCCTGGATGGGTAATGGAACAAGTGCTAAAAGTATAGCTATAATGATGTCCTTTGCAGCATTTTTTGCAAGAACATAAATTTGGAAAAATCTTAACTATCAGGAGAAAATGGGTTAAATAGATTATAACACATCTCTATAATTACTGTGTACATCTGTACATAGAATACTGTGAAAATTATATTTTACTTGTATGTTAAAAATAATCATAAATAAGGTAAATTTAAAACTATTTTTACCTCAGTAAATATAAAATTTTTGTTTTTTGGTTTCCCATTTTGTTAAAAAAAATCATCTGTGATACATGGGAAAATGTCTGGTAGGATGAATCAATTATTCATCATTTTGCCCTGACCCATTTGGCTCAGTGGATAGAGCATCAGCCTGCGGACTGAAGTATTAATTATTTTTTATGTCTGAGTTGTGTGATTAAGGAGCTAATTTCCACTTTCTCTTTTATATATTTTGTATTGTCTGATTTAAGAAAATAAGTGTATGTTACTTTTAAAATCAGAAGAAATGAACAATTAAGTTCGTTTGAATTTTGAAGGAAAAAATATATAAACCCATGTAGTTATGTGAAAGGCAGGTTGCTGTGGGTCAGACCTAAAAGCAAGAAACTACCTGGCTTTGCACACCAAAGACTAATGAAGGGAGTCTTACATCTGAAGAATGTCCACACATGTCAAGCCATTTGGTATGGACACAACTTTACTTACAGAGTCAGCTGATATGTTATTGAGCCGGCAACTGGGCATGTTATGATTCAAAATACCATGAAGTCCTTTTGCCTCTCTTTTGTTCTTTGAAACAATTTTCATTTGCATATTCATCAGTAGTAATAAAAGATCCTTAAAAATCTAGTTCTGGAAACTATATCCTACTGATGGAGAGTGATGGACTGTAAATTTCAGGCTCTACCACGTGAGAAGAGTTACAGGAGACTGGGTATAATCTGGTTGTTCAGGCCACTCCTCCAATGAGAAATCTAAGATGAAGAGAGGCCGAGTGGGATTTGTCCTCGGTGGCAAATCAAGTTTGTGTCAGAACTAAAAGCCAACAACAGCCAGCTGCGAAGCACATGGGTAGGTGGGAGGAAGACAGTAACATCTCACATTGTTCAAGCATAGTAGGAAATGAAGGGCTAAAAATGAAATTGCATTCAGGAAAGGGGGGTAGTTCTGTTTGTAGCATAGGACGTCCCATATGGAACTTTTATGCCTCTTGCTTATCTTGGAAAAGGAAGTCCCCCGTAATAGCCAAGACCTCGGCTGATCCAGAGATGTAGAGGAACATATTAAGGCTTTGTGTTTGATTGGCTTGGGAAGCAGTCATTAAGGACCCTATTGTGGTTAAAGCTGTCTACTGAGAAATAAGCCAAAGGAACATTAGGCCAAGAATCTGAAGCCAAACCACTGGGAATGTCACTGCAAACTACAATGTGATTGAATTAGAAGGGAACATTCACATCGTGTCATGTTGTCACCTCAAGTTCAACGAGTCTAAAATTGAACTCATCTTTCCTCATAAAGCAGCTCCTCAACTGCACTTTCCTGAGAGCAATAAAATACTCTGCTGAGTATTGAGAATGCCTTACCACAACACCCTTGGTTTCATTAGACTCACACATGCTTTCAGACAAGGCAATTTAACTCCAGAAAATCAAGGACGACCAGCTAGTGAGAAGCCAGTTCTAGAAACCAGGTTTTCTGAGTACTAACCTAGTTATCTTTTAACTATATCACTCTGCTCTTGTCACCACATTTGCAGAAATAAACCAGCCGCTGACATTTTATTTATATTGGAATTTGAGTATTACACACTAGCAGATTTTAGTAAGTATGAAGCCAGTTTTTTCTGAAACAGTAAAGAACCAACCAACCAACCTTAGGTTTTGTTCATTTTGTGTTTTATAAGCTAACTGGGTGAGAAGGAAAAAAAATCATAGCGTTCGTATTACTGAAGTCAAATAGCTTTGGATCTATGCCTAAACATGCTGGGTTTGTAAACCTAACCACAGCAAACCAGTCTCAGTTATTAGGTTCATGTTGTTGGTATAAATTGTATGGTTCCACATACAGTTTATATTTTTGTTTTCTTTCATTTGTACTTTATTTTAGTTTTGTTGTTATATAAGAATTACAAGCATGAAACTTTTGCATATCAGGGATACCTATATGTAGATATGTAAGTAATCTATAATAATAAAAGTGTAACATTCTAATTAGACCGAATGGCCAAAGCCTCGGTGGGTGGGGGCCAAGGCCCTTATACAAACTTCATGCACCAGGCCTTCAGTACTGTAATAAAAGCACTTTAACTAATGTAAAAAGCAGCCTTCTGCACAGTGCATCTCCATCCCAACTCATGAACCCATCAGGCCGGCGGTCCCTGGGCCATCACGTCCATCCTTCTTTGCACTGTGTATCTCCATACACATTAATCTCTCAAATGTAGCCAAGTTAACCATTCAGCTCATTTCCTCCTGAGTCTGGGATTCTGTAGTTCCTAGCTCCGGTTCTTTATTGGGGAATAAGGAAAACCTATCTAACGTGATGATATTTATTGTATAATTTTCCTAAATAGGCATTTGCTTCGACTGAAACTATGAAAGCTAAATAAATTAGATGCATGTGTAGCCTTCTGTGCCTCTTCTCCTGCCCTAGCCCTTATCTGTTTACGTCAATGCACACGTGTGGGCAACCATGATGTGCCTGGCATGTGTTTTTAGAACAAAAGAGGAGCCTTAGAGGGAACTGCACTGACTTGGAAGCCTTCTTTCAGTTGCCACCTCTCTCCTGTGAAAAGGAACTAAAAGGAAAATAGAAAATCCAAACAAAGAGGATATTCTGTTCTCGATTTTAATTAGGGATTTGGGCTTTTTAATGTCTAAGTTCTGGTTTGGTTACTTAACTTGATCCTTTTCTGACCTTCTGACAATGTCTCTACAAATAATGAGTACAACATGCTTTGAATCTTTTTAATAAGTGTTTTGATTTTTTCAGTTTGATGCTTTGGTTTCTAAAGTTTACAAGCTGGTCCTCAGCTTAGTAAAGGAATCTAACTGAATTTGCTAATGTAGTCTCTGAAAGCAACCTGTTTTTGTGTAGATTTTTAAATTTAAGCTGTTTATTTGATCATGGCAAATTATCTTCCGTAGATATTGGGTTAGTGCTTTTCAGATATGTAAAAGTTTGAAAACTAGACACTGAGTCTCTAAACTTAAGAAATAGAACCTTCCTTTTAGAACACTGTGGTTCAGTAGGAGTCCGGTTTAGAAAAGGACTCAGGGCTGATCTTGCCAAGAAGATGGTGAAGATGGTTGGCAGTTGGCATGCTCAGAGGGTTGTTTCTGTGATGTTGCAGAATCGCCTACCAGAGGAATGACGACGATGAGGAAGAGGCCGCCCGGGAACGGCGCCGGCGAGCCCGACAGGAGAGGCTGCGGCAGAAGCAAGAGGAAGAATCCTTGGGGCAGGTGACCGACCAGGTGGAGGGTCACACTCAGAACAGGTACTGTCCTCTTCAGAATGGAAAATGTCTCCGTTGCTTCTCAGTCTGTCTGATGAATGGAATGTGTTGGGCAAAGCATTCCCTTCTCAGCCCAACTCAACTCTTGTCAGTCTAATTTGTTTAATTATTTCATAGCCATTTTAGGCAACTAGTCAGATTGAACAGTAAACTGATTTCGACTATAGGACAACACTACTCCTTTCTCTCCCCCCGGCCCAAACATACCCAAGTAGAATTACTTTATTTTATAATCTATCTATAGTAATTTTTTATTTACTAACTATGGTGAGTTATGGCTTTAAATAAGGGGTACTATTTACATTCACTCTTTAGGCTATTGCTATCTGTTTTGAACTAAAGATTTATTAACTCGGTAGTTTTCTGCACCTATCAATAGCAGATAATACTTCAATTTTAAAAATAGGCATGAATGTCTTGGTTTTTCTGATCTATAGCCTGAACCGATATTCTGTGATCACTACAATATTCAGCAAAGTGCAAAATCCTGTTTAATTTAATGTAATTATTCCAATAAACTTATGAGTTTACTTCTACGTTTTTTCTATACATGCCTTGGCAGAAATGAAGAGAGTTGCGAGCACTTAAGAGATTCAACTTCTTCCAAAGGGACCTTTACAAGTTCACACATACAAGGTCACACAGTCCATTATGCTAATGATCAGTGTATGCCATTTATTTGCCATGAGGTATGGAAAAGGGAGGATGGGAAAAGGGAGGAAAAAGGTTAATATTAATGTGTAATTATGGAGTGATTAAATATCATGAAACCACCATATAAGATATTGTACATGGCTTTGGTTTTAGTTTGTTTTTTTGTGTGCGGGTTTAAGGGCACTGTTGATGGTTTCTTTAATTCAGTCTATCTAGAAAATTCTGAATGGAAAGAGTTCTGGCCTCTTTAGCCCAAATTTGAGTGGGCACACTGGAGGTTTCTGAAGGCAGTCTTAAAATGCTGGTAGGCAGAATGAATTCAGTAAGAAAAAGTTAACAATTAGGTAGAGAAATAGAGACCATGTCTCTTGAGAAGTAGATCCTAAATAGGAGAGAATATAGCAAAGGAGTTGTAGGGATATTCTCTGAGGTTCACTACTTGGCTTTGAACCTGAACTTGGCCTTTCACTAACTGTATTTCTTCAGTTAAATGAATAGAAATGAGCATTATTCCTTTCTCTTAGGGGCATTGTTGAATTTAAATGAGATACTAGAACATGTGAAATGCAAGTGCTTTGCACAGAGTAAGCGTCTAGCTTTAGTTATTATTAGGAAGATGGTGTCAGAGCCTTATCGAGGAGGGCTGCCTTTCCTATTTTTGAGCTGAGGATGGAAGGGGGGAAAGAGCTTACAAATAGCTCTTGCCTGAATCTGGTTATCAGTGAATGACCAACAGTGACTGAAAGAGTTACTCATGGTCTATCATTTTTCTTGCTTTACAAATCTTGCTTCTACTTGAGTTTCTCTCCTTTCTCACATTTTACTAATAACAGTTATTTCATACTATTGGTTGAACACAAAATTCTTTTCTTTTTTCAGTGAAGCCTATGTGATTTACTTCTAAAATATAAACAACCCTAACTGATACTTAACTACCGGTGATTGTCATCATGATTTATAAACAGGAGAAGAAAGGTTCAGCAGAATCTGTTGGTTTCTTAACTCCAGAGTACTTTCATTGGCTAGCACTTTACAATTCGGGGTACCTTTTAAATATTATTTAAATACATAGGCATATCCAAACGCCTATGTATATAGACTTTTCCCCTTAAATTCTAAACTATTTGTATTTCCAGGTACATGTAATCCTTATATGTCTAATTCTTAGGAACAGTGTCCTGTAGCAACAACTAAGGCCAAGAAAGTTTAAAATCTAGCCTTTACTCTGCCATTTCTTGTTGTTAAATGTGAAACATGTTTTTCCAAAATTAAGTGAACTTGAACTTCAAAGGGGCCAAGTTCAGTATGAACCATGACATTTGATGGAGTTTCTAAACATTGCAAGACATATTCTTCCAACTCTGGCCACAGTTCCTGGTATCACATGGCCGGTTGTTTCCTGCCAGAGAGACCAACACCCCTGGCTCAGGCAGTGTTCAGCATCCTGCAATAGGGAGTGAGGTGATGAACATGGTACAATGTGATTTTTAGAGATCTTCTTTTCTTTTTAAATAAACATCACATTTAACTGTTTTTAGTCTACTGTAAAAAGAAGGACAAAAGACCCTGGGTTCATGAAAATCTTAACAAAGAACATAGATGGTGTATATATAAGTTAGGGTAATGTCAGCTGCTAAAACAATGAGCCCACAAATTTTAGTAGTTTAATTCAATAACATATACCAGTCCAGTGTGGTTGCTTCTGACGAATAGGTAGAACTGGTCACCTACTTTCTTTCCTCTTGTGACTCTATCAATTCCTGGGGCTTTGGAGTCCTCTGATCTAGCCAGCAGAGAGAGAGAGGGTAGAAAATGCACCCTTGCATCCTAATTATCTTGGTCTGGACACATCACTTTTGCTCACATTCAGCTGGACATTTTTGGTCACGTGGCTCAACCTAGGTGCAAGGGAGAGGGGAGAGTAGAAAACATAATGTTTGACCGACAACCTCTTCCAGTGACTGTGGAAGGAAGAGCGTGAATTGTGGTGGACAGTTACATGTCTCTACCACAGGGGGTCGTCGGTGTGAGTCTAACATGTCCATGCCGTCACGTACACTCCCTCCCTCTCCGGGTACGTTGTGTCCCACAAATCCAGTTCAAGAATTCTAGGTGACTTGGTGACATGTGACAATACTATACGATGCTAGAGGAACTCATTATTTCAGTTTGGTCCCTGTCTTCGTCTGAGTTCCCCAAGACGCAGATCCTGAGGCAAAGATTTGACCCCACGTCGTTTATTTGTAAAATGATCCCAGAAAAGACTGGGAGCAGTGGTGTGGGCAAGTGACACAGGGAAGGAAAGGCAACCCAATAAAGGTTTCATTGCCAAGCAAGTGGCCACTGTTGATCTCCCCGGGCAACTCTAAGATCCAGGCAGACAGGCACTCAGAATTCCCCAACCCAAACGGTGTGGGGAGCCAAGGTGTGGATACACCAATGGTCATCACTGTTTGACGTCTGCTCCCAGGAAACCTTAACATCCAAAGCACGTCTGGCATATAGAGAGGACGGCAGTGGCCAGAGAAAGACCAGGGGCACAGCCTTGCATATGCTGTCCTGTAGGGGAGGGGGAAGCGAGGTGGAGGTACATGGGCCTGGCACTGCCAGCCTCTGCCATGGGGCCCGTGGGTGGGTCTGGGAACCCGCTGACCGATTAACCAGCATCATGCTTTCTGTCTCTGGTATTGTATCTGCCGTGCAGTGTGCCGGACGAGGAGGTCAAGGCCGCCACCGCGAACACGCAGGTGGTGGAGGGCGACGAGGAGGCCGAGCTGCTGGAGCGCCTGGCCCGGCGGGAGGAGCGGCGCCAGAAGCGCCTGCAGGAGGCGCTGGAGCGGCAGAGGGAGCTGGACCCCACCATCACCGATGGGAGAGCAGGGAACGATGCCACCGAAGAGAAGGAAGGAAAGAGTGAAAGTCGCCGCCGAGAAAGATATGAGGTGGAGGAAACAGAGGTCGTCACCAAGTCCTCCTACCAGAAGAACGACTGGAGGGATGCCACCGAGGAGAAAAAGAAGGAAGAAGACCAAGGAAAGGAGGAAGAGGAGAAGCCGAAGCGAGGGAGCATCAGAGAGAATCAGGTAGAGGTGCCGGTGGAGGAGGAGAATGCGGTGGAAACTCGAGAAGAAATGCCTTTGAAAAACGGGCAGGTCCGTGCGGATGAGCCTGACATAGAGGATGGGAGGGAGCACGGTGCCAAGGAGACGGCCCTGAATGAAAAGGCGGAGGAGGAGGAGGAAAGGGAGAGGGCCCGGGCAGAGAGGCTCAGGCTGGAAGCAGAAGAAAGAGAGAGGGTTGAAGCTGAGCAAGCCCGAAAGCTAGCAGAGGAGGAGAAAGCAAGAAGGGAGGAGGAGGAAAAGGCAGCTGCACGGGAGAGAGAGCGGAGGGAGGCAGAGGAGAGGGAGAGGGCGGAGGAGGAGGCGAGAAGGGCAGCGGAGGAGGAGGCGGCGAGGCAGAGAGCAAAGGCAGAGGAAGCCCAGAAGGCTAAGCTGGAAGAGCAAAACCGTGCGGAGCAGCTAGGAGAGAGAAAGATCCAAGGGGGACAGGTAGAGGAGAACCTAGACGGGAAATGGGTCAGGGAAAAGAAAGGCCAAGAAGAGAAACCTCAGACAGCTGCCCAAAAGAAACAGGTACGGTACACGTTTTTGCACCGTGTGTGTACGTGTGATGCCTGCGACGTGTGAGAAATGTGATGCACATCAGATTTGGGGCTGAGGCCACGTGCTTGATCATTTGGCAAGCTGTTCGGGTTCTTTAGGCCGTAGCCATCGGCAAGCATGAGGCCGTTGATTTTGCTGGCCAAACAGTCAGCCAGCCACACTTGCTGAGACCACCAGAGAGAAATGTGTTGCTCTGGGCTTGCTTGTTTTAAACACCAGGAAAATGAATGAGCCCAAAGGTGGTGCCATGTTGACCTGTGGTTCTGCACCAGCACCTAAACGCATTCCTTTTCACACCTTTGCTTCTACCCATAGGTCTACATGAGGCAAGGGCATCTTAATGCCTCACCCTACCCGTGGGGGTGCTGCATTTAATAAAAAATTATAAACATTGGGGTGGGAAACTGACAAAAAAAGGAATCGTGATCAGAAATAGCATTTTAAGAAGGCAAAATATACCTGGTAAACCCCTCAAAATCAACAGGTAATAAAGGAGGGAAAGAAGTCAGTTTTGAGGATCTTTAAAAAAAAATGTCAAAACATGGTTGGCATCATGTAGACCTGAGCTTCATGTAAACTTGCAGAAAGCCAGTCCTCTGGGGTGGCATCCGTTCATCATTGGCTGGTAATTAAAAGCATACGTGTTCCTTCTGTTGCCATTCGAATGACATATATAAACCGGCATAGCCCCAGGAAGGGTGGAAATTGAGGGGAGGGGTGTGTGAGCTGCGAGAGATTTTTTTTTTTTTTCTGACTGCAAGTCTGCATTGAAAGCACTGTGCTTACCCACCACCTGCTCGCATGCTCGCCTTCCATTAGAGTGCTCTGTCACTAAGTATGCATTGCACTGAGGTGGTCTCTCACTCCTGCTTGGGACGAGGGACTCGTGAACACAGCCACTGCTGAGAGGATTAGTGCACCAAACCACACACGAGGTTTGTAAGGAAGGAGCACCATGGCCCGCTAGATATCCGTGAGCACAAGGGCAGGCACATCGGAAGGAGGGGGGAGGAACATGTGCAGGCTGCTGTTTGTAACCACTGAGGGCAACGTGAGCACTGACACAGCCGGAGAGAAGTCAGCCTGTGCCACATGCCGTGTGACCAGAGCACCTTCTCACTGGGTTAGAGCTAGAAAGGGCGGCTTTTACATGCGTGATCTTACCATTCTTGAACATGAAAAGGAAGAAGAAGAGGGGGCTAAAGGGCAACTTAAGAGAGAAAAGTCCCAAGAAGACAAGCCTGCCTTCAAAAAGGAAGAGGTAAATGTTATTGGGAAATCGCCTCATTAATGATAAAGCAGCAGAGAGAGTGTGCCGTGGCATGGCAGGTCAGATGGCCTCTGATGTTTTCCAAGCCCTGACTTAACGATTCGTCGAATGGCGAAACCAGCTTAGAGCATTTCAAAAGCAGTTAAATGTGCCAATTGGCATTTTCTTTTTCTTTTTTTTTCTTTTTTTTTTAAAAAAGGCCCTTGGTTTTATATATATATATATATATATATATATATATATATATATATATATATGCCCAAAGGTGGGCCTATATTTTTTTTAATTGACTTTTTACAGAGAGGAAGGGAGAGAGATAGAGTTAGAAACATCGATCAGCTGCTTCCTGCACACCCTTTACTGGGGATGTGCCTGACCGGAATTGAACCTGGAACCTTTCAGTCTGCAGGCTGACGCTCTATCCACGGAGCCAAACCAGTTTCGGCCAATCGGCATTTTCAAAGAAGAAATAGACGATATCAGAGGGCATTGTAGGCAGTAAGCACTGCATAGTGACATAAATGATCGTTCTTGCTGTGAAAAGCTTGAAGAACGCTTCTCTGCTCAATCTTCCCTACTCTCTTTTCTTCTAAGTGCTATTTTCCCCACTTGAGCCATCCTGTTTTCATTCCCATCAGGGGAAATATTTCCAACTTGCTTTGATGAATGATTTAACTTCTCAAAGGAAAAACACCCCTACATTTCAGTAGAAAATTTGATACGGAAGATGTTATTTGGTTTTTGAAAGAAAACTTGGGCAAAATGTTCTGCATTGCATTTCTGAGGCACACACAGGCGCTGGTGCCAGAGTGTTGGCCTGCAGGTAAGTAACCGGTGAGCGGGCCAGTGGCTGCCGCAAAGAGGTCATAATCTGATGTCATCGAAATGCCACATCAGAAAGCCCAATTTTGTTTTACCTACCGTGCTTATGCTAGCCTTAAGGAATTCTAAAAGTTGTGGCAGTATCTAATCAGTATGTGAGCATGGTAAAACTAAATTATCAAAATTGAAAGAGTTTAAGCACTTTGCTTGTGGACTGACCTGTAGCTATTTTTTTTTTAATATGTTTTTATTGATTTTTTATTTTTATTTATTTAATTTTTTTTTTTGAGAGAGAGAGAGAGAGGAAGGGAGAGGGATAGAGAGATAGAAACACCAATGAGAGAGGAACATCATCGATCAGCTCTCTTCTGCACAGCCCCCTCTAGGGATCAAGCCTGAAACTTGGGCATGTGCCCTGATAGGGAATTGAACTGGCAACCTCTAAGCTTCTGGGTCATTGCTCAACCACTGAGCCACACCAGCTGAGCTGACCTGAAGCCATTGAGCGCCAACTCAAATGGGGTCATGCTACATTTCTCTACCCATTGTGGCATATGTTAAGAAACAAGGGGGGGGGGATCCATAATTGGAAAAGATAACCAGATTTAATAGGGGGTGATTGTTTTTTAAGCATTTTTTTCCTAAAATGCATGTAAAAATCCCTAGTTCCTGTGATATTTATTTTGTTTAAGATGCCTGTTCCTCCTTGCTTCTAAAAGAATGTATGGTGGTTTGGGAGTGAACGCCGAGCGTGAATTCTGTCCATGTAGAGGAAGGAGAAAGCGTCAATGCTGATAACTGGAAAACCGAATTTGGCTCCAATGAGGCAGCTAAGGAAATGGTTGAACATGTGGGAAAACAGTGTTCTCATTTTGTAACAGAAGAACGCTACAAAAAAAAAATGAAAATTACCTCGGAACTAAACTCCAGCAGAAATATCCCACAGGGTTCTTCTCTAGAGCGAGCGTTTGGTGAAGAAATCTCTACAGGAAGGAGAGGGCATGAAACCATAGCTCAGTGATTAAGTTTATGTTGGGGACGGGGAGCTAGAAAAGCACGTTTGGACTCGGTGCTCTAAATTTAACTCATTTCATTAGTCTCTGGTGGGCATTCAGGGATCCGAGCATCCTGGTCTGTGTGCCCTGTGGGAGCCGGGAAGCGCTCGCACAGCCATCCGGATCCTCCCTTTGCCTCTTCCAGACAAGGCCCCCATGCAACACTGTCCCAGGTCCAATGACTTCAGAGCTGCCTCTTTCCCAGTGTGCTCTACAGCACATTCTACTGACCCAACCCCTCCCCCTTCTTTTATATATAAGGCCAGATTAGCTCCTCTGCACAGGATTAAAAAAATATTTTTTTGTTAATCTGCCATTCCTGTTTTAACATTGTGTACATAAGTTACTAGTTGAATGACTAGGTTTTCCCCTCTCCAGCTAGCTTTATATAATGACTTTATATCATGTTTTATGGGATTTAGCCATTTTAAACACCCTTCGCCTTTTTTTAATTTCCTTTTCCTTAAAAAAAAATTAAGAAGCCTTTTCTTTCAAGGAGCAATGCAGGATTGGTCAACCACAATAAACACAAACATCATGTAAGCCTTTTTAGAGAAAACATGTCAAGAAGTTGCTCCAACAACTTACAGAGCATCTTCTTTCTCCCCTGTGGTTGAACTCTTTTTATTTAAGTGTAGAAAACATTGGATTGCTTGTGGCAATGGATGGCAGATGATCACCAACCTTGAAATTTAATGTAGCTTTTGCTCTCCTCTCCAATCATAAAACGTCTCTTTTTTAGTTCTTCACTCTAAAGCTCTCCCACTTTCTCTTTACCTCCGACCACTTCCCACACACACATACAGCCTTCTCCCACCTCTAACAGAAAAACAGCTTCTGGGAGAGTTGTTCCTACTGTGTGAAAACTGACATTCATGCATCTAGTCCAAATCTCCCCAAGGCTGGTGTGCATGCGCATTACCAGGAGCCCTTAGGGAACGCAGAACCTGACTGGCGGGCTCTGGGTAGAGTCTGAGCTTCTAGTGAGGTCTGTGTTGTCCGTGGTCCAGACTTTCAGTAGCGAAGACAGTCTTGAGTTATATACTGGGACCCAAAGAAGGAACTGAGGCTTCTGAGTCTAACCGAAGTGCATTAAAACCTAATCTGAAAAGAACAGTAAATTGTACCTGTTCTTATCACTCTTCTGGAGTCAAATAATGCAAAACAATAAACTACAAAGACTGACATAGCAGTCCTTTATGGCCTGCGCACTTGACATTTTGAAGGTCTCTGGCATGTGTTCATGTTGCTGGAATTCCCGCCCCACACACACCCCATATATTATCCCATTGGATGTCCCAAATATTCAGTTTTAGCCAAATGATCATATTTGGCCAGCCTTCCATTTGCTAATGTTATCTGCCCATGAAGCACATTAACATTTTCAGGATACTTGGCTACCCATTAATCCATCAGCACAAATTTCCTGAATGGTAACATTCTGACCTAGATCTGATGCTTTTCCCAAATGACTCAGAATCCCATGGGCTTGGGTTAAATCTGCTATTGAACCCAATCCACTGTGCTCCTTAAAGTAAAATGTAAAGGCATTGTGGAATTGCTTTACTTATTCAATTCCCAAAAAGATAAAATAATTTGCAAACTCAAATTATCATGCTTTCACTGGGAATTTTCCCAAGGAAGTCTTCCAAAGAGAATATACACATCACATCTACCGTAGCCTTTGCCAATAAAGGCAGAGCTTGAAGGAAACATGTATTGTTTTACAAATCTATTTTACATACATTTTTGGTCAGTAAATTAGATCATGTAGTTAGGAAGAATGGAAATGTCTCTGACTCCAAAATGGGAAACGTTAGCTCAAGGGTATTTCATCTATTTCACAAACCATGAGGTTTGACTCTGAATTTGTTTCATGCGTTTTCTAAAATGGGGACCCCTTCGTCCCCAAATTTATATCCCCAGATACTTCTTAGCCAAGATATGTAATTCAGTCCATGGTTTCCGGGGCTGTATCCAACAATGGTAGACTAAGACAAGAAGAGACCCTGCCGGCTCCTGCCTGCCCATGAGGTCTGATTTAGGATTGGGCAAGGACAGCCACCAAGTGGTAGAACAAGTCAGGAGCTTCCTTCTCTTCTCTGTAACCTCTCCGGACAAATGAGAGGATAAGAGGGAAATGAAAGGATGAAGGATTGGGAAGGGATCATCTAGCCTAACCTCCACTTTTTGTGTGTGTGGAGTCAACATCTCAGAGAAGTTAGGCGACTTAATCAAAGGTACACGGCTAGTTTGTCAATAGCACTGGAGCCAACATTCAGGTTTCCTGACTTCCAGACAAAGCTCTCTGAGAGAATGGCAAGACATTCTCCCAGCTAAATACCCCTGGGAGCAAGGTTAAAGTTTTAAGCAAGTGGAACAACATGATAGTTGCCCATTAAATTGCTACAGAATAGCCTATCCAAATTTAACCAACTAATACCCAAAGAAGGAGATCAGGGGAAAGACTATGGAAGGCTCATCAGTAAAGATTATTTTTAAAGAGTGCTCTCCTTAGTAAAACATGCACTTTAATACTGAGTGTTCAGAGAGTATCTGAAGACTAACTGGACAGAAATGAGTTCTCAGGGAAGGGGAGACCATCTAGGCAGCATCTCAAATCTTAAGCACTTCTCCCCACCCTTGCTCCGTAGGCTCCTTTAAAACATTAGTGCTCTCTCTGTTTGTCTTGGAAAGCTCAGCATGGAACCTCCCCTGTTTTTACACTCATCTTTTAAGGATGGGTGAGATAATGTAGGTAAAGTAATTTGTACTCCTTTACCCCTCCCCAAAAAAAGCTATGTAAATTCAGTCTACTTTGAAATAATCTCTTATTTACCATGATGAACTTGTAACGTGAAACCCATAAAATGTTACAGTTAATACCTGTCCTTCGTGTATGACATTTTGTGACCCACAAGAATCACAAAACCACTTCTGGAGACTAGATTATTGCCTACTCTGGAAGTCAAGGTAAACCCTGGAATTGTTCCCATTACATTCTAACATAGTGTTTTGGATGACTGACTACTAACATGGTCCCATAGACCTCTGAGTCATCCCCTTGAAGGCAGGTTATTGTGTCCTCTATCCTGAAGATCCTAGTTACTTTTTTAAAAATATATTTTTAAAGAGAGAGAATCATTGATCGACTGCCTCCTGCACATCCCCTATTGGGGTACAAGCCCGCAACCCAGTCATGTGCCCTTAATCGGAATTGAACCAGGACCCTTCAGTCCGCAGGCCGAGGCTCTATCCACTGAGCCAATCCAGCCAAGGCCCTAGTTAATTTTTTTATTAGGTTACTAGGGTCTCCTCCTCTGATACTAGTAAAACTGGCCTGGCAGATCTGGTTAACCTGTCAGGTTTTCTCTTTCCTTCTCAACTCACTTGTGTTCTTTATCCAAGAAGAAACCTGTCCAAGCAACCTGATATTTCCCATCAAGGCCACCCCAATAATCATTCTTTCTACGGGGAACTGCAAGCAACCACTCATGTGGATTGAGTTTCAAGAATGTAATAGTTTTTAATGGTAACACCTCCAATGAATTCTAAAATAAAGTCCCCAGTGAAATCAGGAATGATCTTGACCTCCTAAAACTGTGGTCAAGGTCTTTGCTCAGAAGCTGGAGAACCATAGCTCATGCTCCAAGAATTTCCTCTGACCCCATCTCTGCCACATTGTTCTATGGTTTGTTTTATAATACTTCTGAGGTTTCTGGCTTCCTAACAATTTGGGATCTTATTTGGTGATATCAACCAAAACCTAATACGATTTTTATTGTTATGTTTCTTCCTGATGTGTACTGTTGGTTAGATCAAAGACGAGAAGATTAAAAAAGACAAAGAGCCCAGAGAAGAGGTGAAGAGCTTCTTGGATGGAAAGAAGGGATTTACAGAAGTGAAGTCGCAGAATGGAGAATTTATGACCCACAAGCTTAAGCACACCGAGAATACCTTCAGGTGAGACTTAGCGACTAACAGTGACTGTGTTCACATGTGAAAAACAAATCAGCCTCCTCTCCTGTGCCTTGGGACAGGGAGCGCTGAACAGGCAACATGCTTTTGTTGTGAGGTCATTGGCCATTGTCTCAGGGATACTCAGTCAGCAGGCCGGGCTATCAGTCACTAACAGAAGACCACGGTCATTGCTCAGGCAGAGTATAATCCACCTTTCCATTTAGCAACGTAGAGTAGGCCTGGCATCCAAGCTTTTGTCCCTGGCCTAATATGCTCATGTAAGATCAGTGTAGTAGAAAGCAGTATGCCTGGAGTTAATATCTTTGATTCATTCTCTATGTGGTCCAGGCAACTTGATGAGATCTTCTCAATACCACTTTCAAAATTGTATTTTCTAAAGGTCAATAAATAATGCATAAAACTAGGATTATTCTGTGGCCAAATATTTGGGAAACATTTGGTTAAACCCATGGTCGGCAAACTACAGCTTGTGAGCCACATGCAGCTCTTTGGCCCCTTGAGTGTGGCTCTTCCACAAAATACCACAGCCTGGGTGAGTATTTTGAAGAAGTGGCATTAGAAGAAGTTTAAGTTTAAAAACTTTCGCTCTCAAAAGAAATTTGATATTTGGCTCTGTTGACTAATGAGTTTGCCGACCACTGGGTAAAACTGAGTTAATCATTTTTCTTTGCCACAGGACTTGGAAAGCACGTGGTGTTAGTTTGTATTGGGAACTTCTGAGAGGGAGGAAGAAGACATCCAACTAATATTCCATTTTGTACCCTTTGGTAACCTCTCTTGTATAACTTCAGCTTCTCCTCCTCATCCCATTATGTTGAAAATCTGGGCAATTGGTTTTAGGACAAGTAAATGAGCACTTAAGAGTTCCAAGCCAATTTTGTAGAAGGACTCAAGTTGCAGATGCCTTCTATGGACAATTCTCTGGACACCATTCCTACCTCTGTGACCCCATTCCTATTGTGCCCCATGTTCTGGAAGAGGCTGGGTCCCTATAACATGGATTCCCACGCAGCCTTGCCTATAGACCCTGTATTTCTGAACACTTCAAATAAGGAAGTCCCCGAGCAGTCCCCAAGTTGTACAGAAGTCAGACATGAGCCTCACAGTGAAGCCTTTGTCACCTACAGAAGCAAGCACAGCTACTGGGGATGGATGTGTCCAGCCCCTCTAAGAGACTAACATGGGTCAACATAATCACCCCCACACAGTTTTTCTAATAAAACTTTGAGCAGAAACAGTATCACATTTCACCAATAGAAAACCTAAATTGATAGGAAAATAGATTTAAAAAAAATTAAGAGTTTGTCAGGAATTTATGGAAAATCTAGAAAGCAAGTGGATTCAGGCAGGTAAGCCGAGTCAAGAGCTTGCTGAAGTGTCAGCAGGTTAATGTTTTAAAAGCCCTAGAACAGCGTCAGGTTCATGAGATGTGTTCAATGCAATCACTGTTGGCAATCCTAACAGTGTTAGTGTTTTGCTGTTGGGTAGTTTAAAATCTGTTTTATGGGTATGAATACATTTTTTTCTTTGTTGTTGTTAAGAGAAATAATGCTGTAAAAAAAAATCTGTCAGTAGAAAGTTTGGTTAACAATTAGCAAGCTTGCCAACCAGCTTTAGCCAAATTCAAATTAATAATTAACATCTCCGTTGTGTGGCAATCCAGGGAGTTGGGTAATTCCACGGAGAGAAAAGTCAGCAGGGATGCCAACGGGTTGCGTTCTAACTTAGGACCCTTACATGTGACTCTTTAATTTTCATCTTTGGGCAGACAAAAATGACAGAAACAGAAAGTTTTTGTTTAGCTGCCAACGTGTGTTAGTTTTAGTTTCAGTAGAAATCGGTGATGATAGAAGCGGAAATGCCTGGTTTTGCTCCATGAAGTGAGGAGCTGGGGAGGAAGAGCCTCTATTTAGATTGGCATCGAGTCTACCAGTCTCACTGAAAACAAGCTGTGTGTTTTTTGAAAATGTATTTATTTCTTTTTGTTAATCCTCACCCGAGGATATTTTTGTCCATTGATTTTTAGAGAGAGTGGAAGGGAGGGAGGGGGAAAGAGAGAGAGAAAACCATCTATGTGGTTGCCTCCAACAGGCTGGGGAGTAAATCTGCCACCCGGGTACATGCCCTTGACCGGGAATCAAACTTACAACCCTTTCAGTGTGCAGTCCGATGCTCTACCACTGAGCCACACCCGCCAGGACACAGCTGTGTTCTTATTGGTGAAAGGTCTGATATTCTTCACTTAAAACCCAAAGAAGCCAAGGATAGCAGAGAGAGCATTCTAGAAGAAATTTTCGTATTTTTCATGATACCCTAATGCTGAGGGCCTGGCAGCACATCTGAGCAGAGGTTATGTGGACAAAACTCTTGTTCCTGTTTTGAGCATAATTCCTTGTGTTTGATTTAATTACTGTCTCCTTTAATTTCTGTTTTCTTATAACTAGATCATGTTCTCTAAGAGATGACATAAAAATCTCAATTCAAGGAACAAATTTATGGAGCTAGATTATACCAACGTTTTATAGATACTACAGAACAAGAGTTTGTTTTGCTTTCTTTTTGGTTTTTATTTGGGAATTAAAGTTTTTTCTGATTGTCAGAAAAATTGTATCTATTATAAAACATTCAGAAAATAGAAGTATAAAAATAAGTACCCACCACCCAAAGATAACTTTAGTAATATTTTTACAGATTTTTTTAATGTATATATATTCAAAATAGACACTCATATATAGTAGCATGTAGATGTGTGGGTTTAATTATAAATCTACATTTTAAATTGATTCTTGCATTACGCATAGCAATGCACCTTAGCTAGCCTTCTGTACTAATGAACATAAGTCTACAGCGAATGATGTTAGCCTGTTCCACTGGATGGAAGGATTATGATGTATTTAACGAGTCCCTAATGGTGGCATTCTGAATGTCTAAAATAAAGACTGAGCGACATCTAGTGGAATCTAGAGAAGTTTCTGCAAGGCATGTGTTTTGCTCATCCAACTGAACACTACGGTACTAACATGATGAACACGAGTGAGTAAATGTCTCTGAAGCTGGAAAGACCTTAAATTAACTGAGAGAACAGATTTCCTCTCTCAGGTCACAAGTCTGTAAACTTAGAAGACCTGAAAGAGGAACATCAAGTTTTAAGGGGCTGTCTAACTTGGATTGAGTTTAAAATAAAAGAATTCACTTTTAACCTTCAAATGCCTAGAATAAGATTTTTTAAAATTGAATTTTAGAGAGAGAAGAAGGGAGCGTGGGAGAAAAAGAGAAACATCAATGTAAGAGTGAAATCGATTGGCTGCCCACTAGGGATTGAGTCAGCTATCGGCATGTGCCCTTACAAGGTAGCAAACCATAGACCTTTCCTATATATGGGACGCTACCCAGCCAACTAAGCCATACCAGCCAGGGCTACAATAAAATTTTTAACCTCAACTCTTAATAAAAAATAATTTTTACATCATGACCCAGTGATGCCTACCTGCATAACTGAAACCAGCAAATCAAGAAATGGTCATTTGCTTTGCTCTCTGCAATGCACTCTGATGTTTCCTAATTCATTTTTTTTTAATGCTGATTACAGTCCACTGAATTGATTTTCTGACCTACAGCTTGAAAAGCATTGTTCTAAAAGGAATAGTATATTCAGAACCTCAGTGTTTTAAAAGCATCTGATCTGCACATAAGATCAATATTAGTAATTGTGTGATTTTATCTATTTTCTTTTATTCTTCCTCTTGCTCCATAGCTACCGCAGAAACACTGTGCCATTCTCCACATGGAATTAATGGTGCTAGACGGTATAATTCATCTGTTACTCAGATAACAATGTTGGACACAGGCTAACTATGTTCAGATCTAGTTAAGAATGCCCTCACTACTTGTTAATTAATATTTAAATAAGTTTTTTATTTTTTATGGCTAAATAATATTCCACTGTAAATATGTACCTTTTTTTTTTTTTTTTTTTTTTACCCGTTCACCCATCAGTGAACACTTCGGTTGTTTCCATATCTCGGCTGTTGTAACTAATGCTGCAGTGAACATGGGGGTGTAGATATCGTTTGGAAATCAGTGTTTTCCTTAATTGTGGGATCATATGGGAGTTCTGTTTTTAATGTTCTGAGGAACCTCCGTACTGTTTTTCATAGTGGGTCGTACCATTTTACAATCCCATTTGCCCCTGTGGTATAGCTGAGGAAACCCAGGGTAAGTGGCAGAGCGGGGACTCAGATTCAGACGTGGAGATGCCAGCTGGGCCCCAGCCTGCCCGTTGGCTTGGTGTGAGGATCTATTGCCCAGTGACAGGCAGTGGAGATTTCTGTGTGGGAGGCCAAGCCTGCACACCACATCCCCTCCCTCTGGGAAAGGCTGCAGGCTGACATGTGTCAAACTCTTCTCATCCCTTTCTCTCCCCGCACCAGCCGCTCTGGAGGGAGGGCCAGTGAGGCCAAGGAGGCGGAAGGGGCTCCCCAAGTGGAAGCTGGCAAGCGCCTGGAGGAGCTACGCCGCCGTCGTGGGGAGACTGAGAGCGAAGAGTTCGAGAAGCTCAAACAGAAGCAACAAGAGGCAGCCCAGGAGCTGGAGGAGCTGAAGAAGAAGAGGGAGGAGCGAAGGAAGGTCCTGGAGGAGGAAGAGCAGAGGAAGAAGCAGGAGGAAGCAGAGCGGAAAGTCAGAGAGGAGGTAAGGAGGGCGCCGCCCGCCCAGCCATCAGCACCCCGACTTACTCAAACCCCTGAGCAACTATCTCTGGTGACCCTTCCGGCCTAGAGGATAATGTCTTCCCAGGTGAAATGCTGCTGCTCTTTTGAGCATGGACTCCAGGAACACATTTTAAGGATAAATAAACTTAACTGTGTGCTAAGCACGGTTCCCAAAACCTTTATACATCTTCATTTATCCAATTCTCATAAGAACAGGTAATCTTGTCCCTGTTTTACAGATGAGGAAATTGAAGCACGGAGAAGTGTTTTTTGTTTGTTTTGTAATTTTCCCAAGGCCCCACTTGTCTTAATCCATTACCTTATATGGTCCCTCCATAAAGAACAGTAGAGAGCAGAGCAAGAGAATCAAGAGTCACATGATGGGTTTTTGGTGTGTTTGTTTGTTTGTTTGTTTGTTTTAATATATTTTATTGATTTTTTTACAGAGAGGAATGGAGAGAGAAAGAGAGAGCTAGAAACATCGGTGAGAGAGAAACATCCATCAGCTGCCTCCTGCAAACCCCCCACTGGGGATGTGCCCGCAACCAAAGTATGTGCCCTTGACCGGAATCGAACCCGGGACCCTTCAGTCCGCAGGCTGATGCTCTATCCACTGAGCCAAACCGGTTTCGGCTGTTTTTTTGTTTCTTTTGTTGTTGGGTTTTTTTTGTTTTTGTTTTTTGTGTTATTTTTTTTGGACATTTGAAGAATTTTTATAGAGAGGGTTTTTAAAAATAGGTTTTGGGCTTTTTTAGTGGAAGAGTCTAAATTTTCACAGTCAGGGGACACTTTGTGCTCTGTTCATCGCTGTGTACCCAGGACACAAACCCAGTGCCAGGCTTGTCGCAGGAACCCAATAATTAGAGCCCATGAATTTGTTCCATATTTTAAGACAGGACAGAAAGCAACAAATAAAGTTACCAAAAGGCTATTTTGAAAACTGAAAAAGTGCTTAACCACCCACAACTTACACTGCTTCTTTTTACAAGATGCATACTTTTCTTTCATCCTGAGCGACATTATTATTCTCATTTTATGAGCAAAGAAATGGAAATCCAATATTTTGGTTATCGGTGGGGTGCTCTTGGGGTGCTGCTGAATAAGAATTTCCTGAGCCCCCCTGGGAGGCTGAGGTATCGTGGAAAGTTTTCTTTCTGTGGAATTAAACTCCTGAGTTTCCAAGGCCCATCTCCCTTCAGCCGCCAAGAGAAAGGTCCCATCTCATCCTCAGCAGAGCGAGGACTGAAGCCGGTGTCCAGAGTTTCTGTCCCCTATTTGCACAGTCCAGACCAGCATGAGGCTAGCTCAGCTTGTGTTCCCAGCTGCAGTCCATTGCATGTGGGGTTCGCATGTTTGTGGGCTATGCACATGGCTTCTAGGGTCACATGAATACGGAGGGAACGTGGGTGAGTGCAAGCAAGAAGGAGCAAAGCAAGAGAAACAAACAAAAAAAAGAGAATCCCTTTGTCTCAGGGTTTTAACCTTCTAAGATTTCACACTTAAGGTGGCTCCAGCCCTCCAGCCAATTCTCTTTGTCTCCAGGTTAGAATGCCAGACAAGCACCTCCCCTGTAGCACCCTGACTTGACTGCACATGCTTCCTCTTCCTTCTCTTTTGTCCCCCAGTGATCTGCAGGGAATAGACCAGTGGTTCACTGTGGAGCATGATGGCCACGCTTATAATGCCCGGCCTCCCTCTGCTCCTTTCCTATTATTAATATTAATGATTAGCTAGTTACAGTAGAAATGGTTTGAATGACTTGTGTGAAGTTCCTGATCCTGTGGTGGGATCAGTATTGGGACCCAGCTTCTCCCAATTAGCCTGGAAGTCTTCTCACCAATCTTGGGGAACACTGATCTCCCATCATTCAAAAGATGCAGAAAGACTTCATTTCTTGCTGACTTGTATCCTATGTAAATATTCCCTAAACTGTGTGGAACGTTTGGATAAATGGTCCCAAAATCTCCAAGTCCAGCTGTCTACGCACCAATGATCTCTGGTTAGGAAGTAATGGGGATGAAAGGACATTTTAGAACCAAACATACCTGGGCTTGTATCCTGACAGCCGCTTACAAGCTGGGACCTTGGAAAAGTTACTGGACGACTGTGGGACTTCTCTTCCTTATCCGTGAAACACCTATTTCCAGGGTTGTGGTGATGATCAAATAGACCATTGTATTCACGGTGCCTGGTACATCATAGGCACTGAGGTAGTGGCAGTTATAATCATTGTTACTGTTATTAGTTAGCAGAGATCACCAAAGAAGGCAGAATGAATTCTTAGGATTGGATTGAATTGGAAATTGTTTTATCTCACCTCCTGCCAATAAAACGTAGACTGTGAGGCTTGAAAGCAACAGGAATTATTTCTCACAGTTCTGGAGGCTGAGAAGTCCAAGAACAAGGCCTGCAGACTGTGCCTGGTGAGGGGGGAGCTTCTGGGTCCTTATATGGTGGGAGGAGCCAGGGAGCTCCTGGGGTCTTTTTTTAAGGCACTAATCCCACTCAGGAGCGCTTTACTCTCAAGACCTAATCACCTGTCAGTGTTGTCACATTGGGGGTTAGGATTTCAATCTATGAATTTTGGGGAGACACAGTCATATCGTTTATAACACACAGGATCCTTCTGCAACATCCTCTGACAGGTGGACATAAATTCTCTTCTTGAGAATATCCAGTGATACAGATCTCACAATTTGAAATTTATAAAACACAACATACATCTCTCAAAATCGTTCATAGAGGATGTGCGACTAAATCAGAAACCAGGAGTTGTTGCCTGAGAGAGAAGCAGGGGACAGTATTTTAGTCCAGGAATGAAGACACAAAGGGGTATGAGACAAGTTGTGAATATCTGTGATTTCACTGCTATGGTGCAATTGCCTGCCTCATTTCAGGTTTGTCAAACCATCTAAAATAACCTACTCTGTTGAGGTGGGCACAACCATAAAATCATCTCTTGTACAATTTGACAAATGCGGTACCATAGATTTATATAACTTTGCACGTAAGTTGTCTGTCTCACTTGTCTTCACACTCTCCTAGGAACTAAGAAGATATCTATATGAATTTTACATAATTCAGAAATGAAGGTCAATGCTAAATGACTTGATAGGATGATGATGATGATGATGATCACCATACTGAGCACTAGTCTAAGCATTTTACATGGGCTCCTTAAAGCCCTGTTCAGTGGATTCCATTATTATTATCCCCATTTTACAGATGAAAAGACTGAGGCACGGAGCAGATAAGCAATGTGGTCAAGATTGCAGTTGGGAAGTGGTAGAACAAGGCTTAACCTCTAGTGACCATCCATGAGGACCCAGTGCATTCACTCTAGAGAACCTGGGTCTTTTCTCTCTGGGACCTGTGCCCTTTCTTCTACAGCACCCATTCCCCTGGCCTTGAACCTGATGCTGATGTCCTTGTTTCTTGTTCCTTCCCTCTGAAGGAAGAGAAGAGGAGGCTAAAGGAGGAGATTGAAAGGCGAAGGGCAGAAGCTGCTGAGAAACGGCAGAAGATGCCAGAAGATGGCTTAGCAGAAGACAAGAAACCATTCAAATGTTTCACTCCCAAAGGTTCATCTCTCAAGGTATTTTCCTCCCAGAAATCCTCCTTATAATACCGATACTATATCTTAGAAACTTGATTTTAGCCTTTCAGTTCTTGATTATCCAAAGCCTTGACTCCCTTTATCTTTTTGCTCCTTTGTTCAGCCATGTCACAACTTTCCTTTGTTTTCCACATATGCAAAGGAGAGAAATAAAGTGGGGAAATGTGTATCCGTTGTTTATTAGATGCTGGCTCCTCATGCTGTCGGCTCTGAGGGTCTCACTTCTGTGGCAGCCCTATTAAATAATAACATTCCCTGGTGGCTTCGCTTGGATTCTCCCTCAAAAAGACTTATAGCACTTTCTTGGTCACAACTGTTGCTAATACTGACAGGTGATGTGTGACAGAGATTATTTCCAGCCTGGAGTTGGGTATCATAAGGAGTCAACAATATTTGCTGACTATAAAGAACATTTGGATTTAAGTGGTGCCGTTTCAGTAAAATATAATGTTTAATTTAGTAGCTTTAGTTTTAGCACACAAAAAAAGTTCTTAGCTTTAATATATATATATATATATATATATATATATATATATACACACACACACACACACACACACACACACACACACACTCACACACACACACACACACTAAAGACTAATGAGCTGCCCATCTAGTGTATATCTATCACAGTTTCTCTGGGTTTATTTTCTTGTTTCCCATTTGGGCTAATGGGGGCTTTGTGGGAGGCCTCAGCCATCACTGATGAGCTGTGCCCCAGTCTCACTCCCCCCTACCCCATCTTATACTTTCAGGGCAAATTAAGTTCAGCAATAGGCTTGACAGCGATCAAATCAGGAAACCAGGCTAAGCCCTGAGTGAATAGTTCCCACCCCCTGGTTATCTTCCTTATTTGACCCTATTATTTACCAAATATATGGTCAAAACATTGTGGAAATTTTTCTGAATCAAAGAGCCTGGTACATCTATACTCATAAAAACATGTCCTAAAGGGTACCAGCATGTATTGTTTTTTAAATAGCTGCTAAGAAAGTCGATCTTAAAAGTTCTCATCACAAAAAGAAAAAAACAATGTTGTCAGGTGATGGGTATTAGCTAGACTTATTGTAATGATCATCTTGCAATATATTCAAATATTGAATCATTGTGTTGTACACTTGAAACTAATATAATGTTACATGTCAATTGTACCTTAATAAAGAAATAAGTAGAAAAAAATTTAAATTATGCCAGGAGGCAAAAAAATAAATTATTGCTTTCGTCTTGAAATACAGTTATTTTGCCATTGATTTAAATTATTTCAAAGGCATTTTTACTCCATTTCTGTCTAGTCTTCAATTGGCCTCCAGAACTTCATATTTCTCTATACACTTTCTCCGTCCTCTGCCAATCTTACCTTCATCTCTCAATCCTCACTATCAAACACCTGGTATGCATGTTCCTCTCTGGAAGAACTGCTACTCACAGAACCCTAATTTGAACTCCTTGACAGTGTTTGGTGCTTTCCTTCCCCAGGGTCAGGGACACCATTTATGAGCTGAAAATATTAACTGTTGTTGTTTTTGATTCCTAGATTGAAGAGCGAGCAGAATTTTTGAATAAGTCTGTGCAGAAAAGGTAAATATGGTTGATTGTTCACTGGAGCATCACCAGCCAATCATATGTGCGGAAAGATTTTTCTCTCATATCTTTACGTATGTGTGTGTTTATTTACTTAACAGTGGTGTCAAGTCAACTCATCAAACCGCTGTCGTCTCCAAGATTGACAGCAGACTGGAGCAGTACACCAGTGCCATTGAGGTGAGCGATGTCCGCAGGGTTGTGCTCCAACAGAAATCAGCTCTGATTGTGTAAATGATCATACAGTAAGCAAGTCTAATAACCACATTAGGGCTAAAACATTAATAATGCTTTATTATACTTTGAACTAGTTAGAGAGAAGAATAGTAATAAGGGTAGATATAGAAGGGTTTTTAATTAATTATTGTTTACTACCTTCAGCCTGAGTATTCTTTAATGAAGTTGTTATTCTTTTAAGGAATAGGTTTGTTGATATTCAACTTCGTTATTTATATGTTAGTAAGTATATCTTCTAATATTAATACCTTATAAAATATGTTCCGATATATAGTTAAACAGGTCCCGTGTAACCTTGGTTAATCCTCATTTGCCTATAAAAACTTTTATAATCAAACAATAATAGTTATAGTATAAGTTAATATAAAGATGATTGCCAGCTAGTTTAATCACCATGAATTTTAAACTGAGTATTTTATGCTTAAAGGACCATAGTTATATGCTTCTGTCTATTCCAACTTTTTCCCCACAAAATTGACCCAGGGGTTCTACCCCATTTAGAATAATTTATATTTCCAAGTACCAAAGCTCTAAGAAGATAGAGTACCATAATCAATGTGTTATCCTAGTTTTTTTCTAGGAATATAGACTAAGTCAGTGATTTTAGCCACCTTCTATGTCAGAACATCTGCTATGAAGGAATTGAATAAACTTGATTTGATTTTCTCCTCTCCTTTGTACTGCAGAGTGAACATTAAGTATAAAATATTAATAGTCAACTAAGTTATGAGGGAATAAAAATGAGATCAGAATGATTTATCAAATGAATAACCAAGTCCTAATACTCAAGAGTTGATTTTCACAAGATTAAATGTGCACTAAAATAAAAGAAAAATTGCAGATAGTTACTTTCTGTGGTTACAGTTATTATAGCTGTAAATAGGGTTGATGAAACAAGACTATAGCTTCAGTCTTTACATGGTCCAGTGATGGTGCCACTCACCATGGCTGACCACCTTGACCACCCAGGCCACAGGGTACAAAGCAGGACCAGGGGGGAAATAGCATCATTCTGGGCATGCCCATCACTACTGCAGAAAAGTATCTCAAATGCACACTTTTCTTCCTTACATCCATTCTTTCCTCCTCCCCATATATTCTCCATGCAGTGGCCTCGCACTCTTTCAATCCTTTATCATGTCCCTGTCTCTAGTCCTTTGCATATGCTGTTCCCTCTGCATGGAATGGTGTTTGTGCCTCCTTTTACCTAGCCACTTCCAACTCTTCTATCAATCTGGGTTTGAATGTCACTTCCTCAGAGTAGACTTCTTTGCTCCCTATTCTACTATTACCTGTGTTTCCCGAAAATAAGACCTAGCGCATGGAAAGATAAGACATCCCCTGAAAATAAGACCTAGCGCAACTTTGGGAGAAAAAATTAATATAAGACACTGTCTTGCCGAAACCGGTTTGGCTCAGCGGTAGAGCGTCGGTCTGCGGACTGAAAGGTCCCGGGTTCAATTCCGGTCAAGGGCATGTACATTGCTTGTGAGCACATCCCCGGTGGGGGGTGTGCAAGAGGCAACTGGTCGATGTTTCTCTCTCATCGACGTTTCTAGCTCTCTATTCCTCTCCCTTCCTCTCTGTAAGAAAAATCAATAAAATATATTTTTTTTTAAAGGACTGTCTTATTTTCGGGGAAACGGTATTATTCCCCTTTGTGTGCTCCTTTGGCATGCTTTATGGCACTACATTTATCTTTTGTAATACACCGAAATGTGAAATAAATACTTATATCATCAATTACTATCTTCTTATCCTATCAAAATGCAAGTCCACTTCCAGAGCTTACAGAGCACACTGTCTTGTTTTGGGCACCACTATAACACAGGAGCCTAGACAGTGCCCTGCACACGGTAGGCACTTAGGGATCTTTGAGGCAATGAAGTAGAATATCACTTTCACAGTCAATGGCATCCCGGTAAAAAGCATATTTCATTTTTGAAAGACCCTCTGATCTAGATCTCAGGGTGGATTTTTTGGTACATAGGTCATCAGAATGCAGTTTTACAACAGAAATGACTCTCATTTTTGGTGAAAGCATTTAGACAATTACTCTTTTAAATGACACTGTCAGGGAAGAGAGCACTTGACAAAAACAAACTTAGACTTGTATGCATGCCTGTAAGTACAACCAATAGACGCAAGACACTGTGGGGAGGGGTGGGGATGAGAACAAGTGTTGGGGGCTGGTTAGGGGAGGTTGGGGGAGGGGAGGTGGGAAGGGAGGAGTCATATGTACTACTACTTGTAATACCTTAAACAATAAAATTAAATTAAATAAAAATAAAAAAAAAACTTAGCACCAATCCTAAAAATAATCCACACACTTCAGGGGACAAAAGCTGCAAAACCTACGAAGCCAGCAGCCTCAGATCTGCCTGTTCCAGCGGAGGGTGTTCGCAATATCAAGAGCATGTGGGAGAAGGGGAATGTGTTTTCCTCCCCCACCGCATCGGGCGCGCCAAACAAGGTGAGCGCCGGAGCTCTGTCTTCATTGTGGAGCGAGGGCTTCTTGTCCTTTTGTTTTTAGCAAACCGCATTAGCTCGTTATAAAAGCAGCGGAGAAGGTGTAATGCTTACTTTCTTTTGCAACAACCATAAAAGCGAGCTCACAGATGCTACACAGTTGTGTGCCCCTCGCTCTGGCCACTCTCCTTTAAATTGAGATCTTGAAATGAATCATCAACCTTGGGTTGGGGTGGGATGGGGTGGGGTAAGGTGCGGGGGGGCAAGCAAACCAAATAACGTTCTTTAAATATCAAGTTTCAGGTTCATTTTACTCAAAATGTGGATTATAACAAGCAATCATTCATTGGCGTGATGGGATGGTTCTGTGCAATAACATGCGATGGCATTATTTGAGGTTTCTTGGAAGATTTCTCTCCAGGTAAAGTTTGTCTTTTTCTTTAATATTGGATGGTTGACTCCTTGCAGGAGACTGCTGGCCTGAAGGTGGGCGTTTCCAGCCGCATCAATGAATGGCTAACCAAAACCCCGGATGGAAACAGGTCACCTGCTCCCAAACCTTCGGTGAGTAGCCCCAGGTTTTCTGGATTTCCCTGATCCCTCCGCTTCCAGCAGCAAAAGAAAGCAGGCTGTGGGTCTGTTTGCCTGGGGAAGACAGTGCTCCTGTTCTCTGGGGTTCAGGTTTAGAGAGAACAGCCCCAAGCAGCTGCCCCACAGTCGCCCAGAGGCGGTAGTTAACCAGAACTCCGAGGCCGTTCAGATTTACACTCTTTACTGGTCTGTGTGTTCAGCTCCTAATCTATAAATTACGGCTAGGAATTTGAAAATGAAAATATCAAATTATCTTGGCCACTTCTCTGTCAAGGGCACCCCTAAACTTATTCCCCAAAGGATGTGTATGTTGGCTATTTTGAACCCATGGCTTCTAATTTGCCTAATTTATGTAACTTTATACCAAAAAAACAAACAAACATTTTTTAGGTCGTTGTTGAAGTAATTGCCATAATTTTTTTTTTTTTTTTTGTCAACACCTCCAAAGAAAAACCATTTTGAAAAACACAGTAAAACTGGAAACTATAAAAGCTTGTTATTTTTGGAAATCTAAATTTTTCTCAATATTTATTAAGTGTGACTATTTTACTATAAAAATGTACTTTTAACCTTTTCATTGGATGTATATAATTGCCTAGCATTTATCATTATGATAAAGAGCCTTATTAAGCGCCTATGGAACATTGGTGAGTTTTCTCTGTTAAGTTGGCTTTTATATATTTCTTGGGGCCCAAAAGAGCAGAGACTCAACTGTCCTAACTATCCCATCGCAAAGGTACCCTGTTTCCCCGAAAATAAGACAGTGTCTTACATTAATTTTTTCTCCCAAAGTTGCGCTAGGTCTTATTTTCAGGGGATGTCTTATCTTTCCATGCACTAGGTCTTATTTTTGGAGGATGTCTTATTTTCGGGGAAACACAGTAGAATAACACTTTCCAAATCCTAGACCTCTGTGCCATTGAGCATGTAATTGCATCCAGTGGCTCCATATTTAATCTCCAAAGTCACTAGAGGTTATAAATTCCAATTTAAGAAGAAAAAAATGGAAATATTGTCTATACTTCTTGGATGCAACCTCTTATAGTCACCTAATTAATAGTCAGGATTTTTTGCATAAGGGTTCACATGAGGCCTATCTACCAGGAGAGGGGAGAATATATATTTTTCAGTATATAAAGGCTTTCCTATAGTAAATTGGGTTTACATTAGTTTTACACCTCACATGAGCCCTTATGCAAAAAATCCTATTAATTAGGTGACTATCAGGGATTGCATCAAGAAGTGTAGACAATGTTTCCATTTCTTCTTCTTCAAGCGGAATTGATAACCTCTAGTGACTTTGGAGATTAAATATGGACAGAAAGATATGACAGGGAAATTACAAAAGCATTGCCTGCTTTACCTACTAGTCAGTTAGTGATTTGTGAGGCCATCCCCTACAGCAGTGTTTCCCAAACTTTTGACATATGTGTACCCCTTCTATAATTTTCGTAACGCTTAGTACCCCTCGTACTTATGAGAACATAGAATTAGGCGCAGCTAAGCACGGTGCAGTGCATATCCCCACCAAACTCTTCCCGTACCCCTGAGGGTATGCGTGCCACCCTTTGGGGAAACACTGCCCTAGAAGACAGAAGAAAAGGAAAGGAGAGTGGCAGTTCACACAGGTTGTGGTGATCTCTTTTCTGATGACCCATTCGAGTTTGCAGACTAGGGTAACTTCCTGCATGAAGGCCAGATTGAAAGAAAGCAGTACGTGGTGGTGGTTGTAAAGGAAAAGCTAGTATGAGTAGACTTAACAAGCCATGTTCGGCTTTGTGCCCAGTTCATGGGTGACAGAGCCAGCTCTTGTCAAGATCTGAAGAGCAGCAAGGCAATCCCTCTGGGAAAGGATGTGACTTAGACGCAGGAAGGCAGGAGGATAGCTCACAGACACTATGGATCCAGCAGAAAATAGGACATTTCCAAGCTGCAGACAGGCCTAGAAGATGCATGAAACTTGGCTGGCCAAAGGTTAAGTCCAGGAATGCAGCTGAAAAAGGCAGGTCAAGCAAAGCTCTTGCCCGGGTTTTATCAGGGGTCTCACACGGGTGGCCTGCAGCTAAGATGTGTGTAGTTTGTCCCACACCATTGTACTTAATTTTCCTTTTAAGAATTGTCCTTTGAATACATTTTTGAAGTGTGGAAGCATGACCTCCAGAATTGGTTGATTCCCACGTTCCCTTATTTACAATGAGCCTTTGCAAGCCTTTGAGCTTTCAGCCTGGCCCTTCATGGCAGGACTCTGAGTTTGGCACCTTTGGGACCCCAGCCAAACTGACGCTGAGCTCTGAGCCCAGGATGTTAGAGGGTTACCTAAAGACAACCTCAAACAGTGGCCCCCAAAGGTGCCACCTGAGTGTGGACCCAGGTGATTTATTCTCTGTCCCTTGCTTGTATTCCTTGGTGTGTATGGCGAGAGAGGCAAGCCTGGCTTTGTGTTTGAAGAAAAACAGAGGGAGATTCTTTCACTGAAATGGTCCTCACCCAGTAAAACCTCCAGAAGAAGGAAGTTAGTGTTTCCTTTGAGATTAGTATTTAGTTCCAAAACTCACTGGACAGAACAACCACCCTTCACCAAGTTGTAGAATAATTTCCAAATATGCTAGGAAGTAAAGTGCTCAAAATAGTTTGTCAAACCAATATTATTTGGGGGTCTCTGAAAATTAACTTATTTGAAAGCAAACATTGATCTACATCTGATCCCTCCTGGGACATCAATTTGCTATTTGAGGGCAGAATTTATGGGATTTCAGTGTAACTTTGTAGCCAGAATTCAATTCTGAGTATGCCTGTTTTAGCTGGTTTGTCTGTTCTTTGTGTCTAAACTACTATGTTACCTGCAGCTAAATTAAAATGCTAATTTGTCTTTCTTTTTGTTTAAAAAACAACACAACAACCACCATGTCTTTCTCAGCTGAATTCTCTTCTTCCTTCTTTGATCTCTGGTTGACTGGAAAACCTGCTTCTCCTGCCTTCATTTCTCCCTCTTCTTCCAGACTGGGTCTTTGTCTAAAATGTAGTCTGGTCAGGTAATTGCGTTTCTATTTCCCCTTTGATTTAAAATGCCAACTCACCACTTGGATGTTCACATTTTCTTAAAATAGGCTCTTTCATTGATCTCAAAAGATTCATAGGTAAGATTTAAGGGAACCACAGTCCATTTTTCTTCTGTAGAACATTCATGTGAAAGAAAAATATTTGTCTTCTGTGAATCAAATAAATAAAGTAATAATAGCCACTTTCCAGAGCTTCCATCAGCATGTGCCTAATTATAGTTTCCAAAACTTTAAAACAGTCTTCCAGACAATTTGGCAGCTTCTCCCTACATTGGCAAATGCAGTGGAACCCTTCAAAAACCATCTGATTTGTTGCTTGCTGGTTCCAAGTTAAATAGGTGTAGCTCTCAAATAGGATATCAGGAATTCATGCCACAATGGAACTCCAGAAACTCAGTAGGATTAAGGCAAATCTGAAATGAAAGAAAAAAAATTTTTTTAATTAAAATTAAAAATCTGAAATGCTTTACATGGTACATTTAACTAGTGCCCTTCCAGTGTTGCGCCCTCCATACTATTAATACTTGTCAAATATGCCCACTTAGACTGGTGTCCATGGATAAATGCAATTGCTGTTCGCTTTGCCTTCCTAATGAGAAAAGGATGTGCCAAAGTAAACATGACTATTTCAGTTAAAATACATTTATTTTCTACAAACTGCCTGTTGCCAAGTACTAATAGAAGCACATGCTGGAAGGAAAGTAAATGGAACCAGAAATGTGAATCCTTGTCCAAACCAAATTAATTTCGAAGTAGCAAATCAAGAATCAAAGCTATAGAACTATTTTCTCCCCAAGATTTCCACATGTTCTCACATATGTTATTAAGTGTCAGTTTCTCTTATGGGGACAATTTGTGGTCAGTGCTTACTTTGATGAGGCTAGGCCCTGATGATGCACTTCTGAATAATCCACTCACTCCGCAGGAAACACAAAATGACTTGAGTATGAGGAAAGTGCCATTAGAAGGTTGATGCAGATTTCCTACTGCACAGAGGTATGGGGGGAAGGGGTTTATGCCCCTAACCCCCACGTTGTTCAAGAATCAATTGTATTTAAAACTGTATTCACTGCTAAGAGCATAGAAAGTTAAAAATAGGCTATATTATTTTAAATATGCTTGTATTCCAATTTTATCGACCTAAAACAATAAGTCTTTAGTGAAGAACAGGACCTAAATGCTGGATAGTTCCTGCCCATTCTCATATCAGAACGTAGGTCCAGATCTATTATAAAAACAATGGCTAATGATCCTTTCAATGCCATCCATTTCTTATCACTAGGATAAAGTGTATTAATAAGAAATCAATTCAATCAAACAAACACAGATGTGGTGATTTATTTAGACCTGGCAGAAAATATGCATGGCCATGTGTTAATTTTTTTCTGCTTTCTCTTCAATAGGATTTGAGGCCAGGAGATGTATCTGGCAAGCGGAACCTCTGGGAAAAGCAATCCGTGGATAAGGTCACAAGCCCTGCCAAGGTAATGTCAGTCCAAATGTTTATATAGTCCCCTTTTGGAATAGAGAATGTCAGCTGTCCACTGTGCATCATCATGGTTATAATGGGGCCCTTCTAGATAACATTCCCCTGAGCCAGGGTTCTGGCACGTGGAGTAAAGATATGATCTGGAATGGTAGGACTCAGAGAACACCACTCACATACAACACAGCAGGAATAGTGGCACTCCCCAGAATTGTGCAGCATAGTGACACAAGGTGGGAGGGTGACAGGGTGAGTCTTCACACATGCACTGCCCCCTCCTTCTTAATCTAGCCCAGAAACTCTTCTTTCAGTAATCTATACTAATAAAAGCCTAGGCGGTCCTCACATGCTCTTGCGATGCTCTCACATCATCTAAAATGGCCGGCAGGGGAGGGCAGTTGTGGGCAACCAGGTCAGCAGGGGAGGGCAGTTGAGGGCCATCAGGCCAGTAGGGGAGGGTAGTCGGGGGCAAGATAAGATTGGCAGGGGAGGACAGTTGGGGGCAACCAGGCCTGCAGGGGAGGGAACTGGGAGGCAATAAGGCCAGCAGAGGAGCAGTTAGGCATCAATCAGGCCAACAGGGGAGCGATTAGGGGGCGATCAGGCTGACAGGCAGGAGCAGTTAGGAGCCAGCAGTCCCAACTTGTAAGAGGAATGTTCGAAGGGTCCTAAATTGCAGGCCGGGCTAAGGCACACCCGCCCCCTACACCTTCCCCCTCCCGTGCATGAATTTCGTGCACCAAGCCTCTAGTAATTCTACAATCACTAGGACCACAGCTGAGGTTATGAGGTAGCAGAGTAGGTAGCTCCTTTGTTCCAAAATGTCAGACCTACTACACGTCATGCAGTGATTCATTTGAAATGAAAACATACAACACATTTGAAAATGCAGATTCACAGTACTACATCTGTGTCCTCAGGTTGTGCATCGCGGATTCAACCAACCACAGATTCAACCAACCTGGGACCAAAAACATTACATTGTTGCTAATGTATACTATGCAGTTAGGCCTATGGTGGTTGCTTCTGTATTGACTTTTTCTTATCACTATTCCCTAAACAATACAGTATAACAACTATTTATATAGCATTTACATTGTACTAGGTATTATAAGTAATCGAGAGATGACTTAAGGTATTTGGCTTATATGCAACTAATATGCCATTTTCTATAAAGTACTTGAGTGTCCACAGATTTTGGTGTCCATGGGGGCCTGGAACCAATCCCCCTAAGATACTGAGGGATGATTGTAGTTTAATATTTATGAACACCTCAGCAAGGATTTTTAGAAGCTAGCTGGGGGAAAGAAATGATAGACATATAAGACTATGAGTCAAATGTCAGATAAGTCTCAAGAGTAGGGCTAGAAGTACAGGAGGGAGGAAATAAAGAACAGGAGAAACCTAAAGGTAAGCATAGTCCACTTCACCCTCCTGCCTTGTCGCGTCGAGACTGCCATTCCATCATGTATGCCTGTTCTGGAATGCACACTATAGATTCCTGGCCCTTAGAGTGGGTGTTAAAAATAAAACTGCCTCTGAATGCCCTGAGCAAGGCTAAAGATCAAGATATAGAAAAGGTAATACAAAGAAGAGAGGAAGGAAGGAAAGAAAGAAAAAAAGGAAGGAAAGGGGGGAGGGAAGAGAAGGGGAGGGAAGGGAAGGGAAGGGGATGGTGTAAAAAGTCAACAGGAGAAAGACTAAGAGGAGCATATTTGAGTAGAATGCCAACAATAATCCTCCCTTTCACAAGTATTTATTCCTGACATATCATAATTTTGTTTTCTTCTGACATAAACATCTGGCAGAAACACTGTGGCCTGCCGATTTAGAGCTCTCTTCTCTTAACAGGTTTGAGACGATTCAAGAAAGAAGCCAGAGTAGCCACTCACGATGCTGGACCAGCACAGCTGAGGAGGGCTAATGTGCTCTGTTTTATATTTATGTTGATTTACTAAATTGGGTTAATCTCCTTTTGTTTTATTTTTCATTATCCCCATGTATATTATCACTATATTTAATAATCACAGTCTAGAGAAGTTCATGGTAAAAGTACTGCCTTTGCACAGGAGCCTGTTTCTAAAGAAACCCATGCTGTGAAATAGAGACTGTCTACTGATCATCTTAGCTCTGCCTGGACGGTGACGCCAGCCACGTCGGAAGTCAAGCAGAAGGAGGTTCAAGCTGGAAATTTGCCTGAGGAATGTGTGCAGTGTCCAGAAAAACAAACCAAAGTGGTGTTTGGGTTTTTTTGTTGCTTTTTTTGTTTTAAATACAAAAGTCATGTTGTTTCTGCACTTTAGAATAAAGCATGGAAGAAATGATCTTAGTAGGCAATTGTAACACTTTCTGAAAGTAACGCGTTTCAGATTTGAGATTCTGCCATGATGATTGTCTTTTTTTGAAAACGTACTGTTAAGGTATTACTTTTTTCATGCTGATGATTATCTACATTGGATGATGATGTTAGAAGACAGTGGTACTGATTTCTTTAGGTGGGTTGCTTTGTGGATTTCTCTGGTAGTGATAGTGAACCACATTTTAGATGATCTGATCATGTATGTATGTGCATACATGTATACAAACACACTAATGGTAGAAAGCTTCTTTTATGTGCTAGACTATTATATTTAGCAAGTATGTCCTTGTAACTAGCCAATATCACAGCTTTTCAAAAATTAAAAAATCACATTATATTAATATTCATATTTGCCAATAGAAACATGGCAGAATAGGTATCAATATATCTTCAATGTCCAATAAATAAACTGTAAGAAAAAAAGAAAGATTCAAAATGTCAAGATGAATTGACATTTTCTATAAAACATAGTATGTAGCTTATAATGAAAAGCAATCTTGGAAGTCCAATGTGAATTTTACTAAATCTACCATCTGGATCAAACTCAAAGCTTGCTGAGAACTTTATTTTGTTAGCAATCAAATTCACAATAGGTTGGCCTAGAAAATATCAGAGGTCTCTTCTTTGTCTAAAAATGTAAAGACGAGAATTTTAGTGACAAGATCGTCCAGATTGAAATTCCATGTGTGCGTATGCAAAGACCAGCTTTGGCTAATGTCTGGAAGCAGAAAAGAGAAGTAAGCCAATTCCAGTATTTAAGAGTCATGATAGTCCTTCCATCTTTATTATACTAAACCATTTTTTAAATTAAAGGTTTCTACTTTTATTAGTCATTGATACTTGTCATAAGTTGACAAGGTATTGAACTTTCAAAAAATATGTGTAACTTTTAGTAGTTTTACTATTTTTCCCAAGAATCTTTATCAAATCATCTTTTTTATACACGTACTCTAGACATCAGATCTTACTTTAGCTTATAAGTGTTCATCTATTCTTCACGATAGATGATAAAAGAGTACTCCTCTGTCTTGGCAATATGTTTTAGCATAGAGATATATAGGATAGTTCTATAAACTTATACCTCATTTGACTTAACCAAAAAGTGTCCTACTCTCGATTTCTACCACAATGAGGGAGCCTCACAAATGACTATTTTCTAACCTACAGTATTTCCCTGGACGAGCTAGCCAGGGCAGGCTGACCTGAGCAGTGACTACTACCTTGCAGAGTCTCTTTTTCTCAAAGATCAGGAAAGAGTAGCTGAATTCGATAGCTTTCAGCACACCTGGGCCAAAGGAAGTAAAACCACCAAGGTCGCACAAGTCATCCACCTGTGACAGAATAGATATGAATCTATGATAAGATAGCCTAGAACCCACAGGTAGTGCCTGATTTAGCACTGACTCCCATCACTGGAGTGAAATGGATCGAAGTTTGAACTAAGGCCCATGGCGATACAACATTACTTTGTTGTACTTTTGAACAAGAGCTTCTCCTGATGACTAGTATATATATTTTTTTTCTAGAAAGTCTAAAGTTGAGAAGAGAATATATCGATCCTGACTTTTATTCCAGTATTTGGATGGAATAAGTTTTAGGGTAGAATTTTGTTCCGTTTTGGATTTAATCTTTTGGGGAAAAAATAAATCCCATGTTTACTTGTTTGATTACAATTCTCTGCATTATCTTTAGGAGGTAAAACTGCAAGGTGACTAGCATGTTCTGTGAATCTGCCATTCCTAAAAATGTTATATAAACACTTGATGTTTTTCACTGATGACTGATCGCTGCAATAAATATATATTGTGAAAATGCATCCACAATAAATGGAATTCCTCCAAATGCCATCGCCTCACTTGTTTTTTATGTGCCATATTGGTTATAGGTGTTATATCTGTTGTAATAAAGATGACAGCAGAGCAAAATGTATTCTTCAGGTTGAATCTTAGTTTCACCCTTTAAAGAAGAAAAGCCATTTCATGGTTTGTAAAAACTTATTATGGGTATTTTTCTTCTAACAGCTCACCAAATATGTATGGAAAAGGTTGAAAAGAGAGATTTTAAAAACTCTTCTTTAAAAGAAATTATCAAATGTTTCTCCATCCTCCTTCTCAATCCCAATATTGTCACACACCACGTTTCTTTCTCCTAAAATGGCAGGACTGTTTCCCCAAAGGCAGTTTCTTTTATAGCAGAAATACCCATTAAATATATATCCTTTGTTTGCAGAATATTACTATTAGCAAAAACAATGGCAATTATATTTAAATCCAAAGGTGTTTCCACCTAGTAATTTTGCATATTTATATAGCACTACTTGTTCTGAAATCTGAGGTTTTTCCCATCAAGGTTTTAAGTAGTGATTTGAGAGCTCCCACGCAATCCCTAAATCCTGCCCATAAGAGTGACAGAATTAACAAAGTTACTGTAATTTTAAAAATATTTAGCACTTTTTTACTTCTATGTCCTAACAACATGGGCGACGGAAATAAGTTTAGACAATAAGATAGTTGTTATCCAAGGTAATTCACAAAACTAAGCAATGTAAAGAATACAACCTGTAATACTAATACCAAGATGATGGAACTAGAGATGGATAATAATTAATTTTAAATGTGCATATTCAGAGTACAATATAGTCTCTTGTGTGATGTAGAAACAGGTGTATTGCAGGCTTTTTCATATTTTTACTTGCATGGGAAAAAAAAATATGTATTCTTCCACAAAAGAAAGATGACTTAATCAGATCTTAATTTGAATGCCGTCAAGCTTTTTATTCACGTTGTCCAAACATTCTATATTCTTACTGATTTTTTGTTGTTCCTTTTTTACTGAGAAAAAATATAAAAATATCCCGCTATGATTATGGATTTGCCTGTTTCTCCTTATAATTTTGTTAATATCGTTTTCCATATTTTAAGATCATGTTTTAGGTACATATACAAATTTAGGATTATTATTCATTCCTAGTGAACAAAATATTTTATCCTTGTGAAATGAATTTATGGCTAGCAAAGATTTTTGCCTCTTTATTTTTTCTATTCTTATAATAATATTGCTACGGGGGGCTTCCTTTTGGTTAGCACTTGCACAATATAACTTTTCCACCCCTTTACTTTCACTCATTGTATATCCTTTGGTTTCAGATAGATGTCCTTAAAAATTGTATGGTTTGAGTTTGGGCTTTAATTCAGTCTGATCACCTTTGAGCTTTAACTGGAGTATTTAGCCCTTCTATATTTAATGTAATTTCTGATATTTTTGCATTTAAATAGCATCCTAGTTATGTGCCACCTATTGCTTTCTCTCTCTTGCCTGGATTTCTTCTGTTTCCAAGCGTGTGTTGATCTGCAAGAGTCAGTTGAGAAGGTGAGCTAGACTTGTGGCAAACCAATGGGTCTAGAGGGCAAAAGAATCATCACATGTCAAAGATAAGGGTTTGTTAAACTAGTTCCAGATTATGAGTTTCCAAAGAGCTGCTTCCTGAATGTAAGGATGAGCTTGAAGGAATCTAGTCTTCATAAAGATTGCTGCCTGCCTTCACTCTGGGGAGCAGTTAGAGTACTCTAGTGGGGAGGTCAATTATAAATAACAGACATAAAAAGTTACAAAATACTGAGTTACAATTCAAGAATTTAAGAGATAAAATATCACAAGGTTAGTACATAATTGTCAAAGAATTATGTAATATATAAGTCAGTGTTTAGAGGAAGGAGAGAATACTTCACCCTGGGATAATCAGATTAAAAAAATAAAAGTAGTTGCCTTAGTTCTTTTGTGCCCTCAGATGTATACCCAGTGCTCTACACACAGAGAGGTGCTTGGTAAGTGATAAGATGATGTTTTCCTAAGCACCCCAGTTTATAAACTGCTAGATGTACTGCTATAAATTTTTGTACAGTCCTTAGAGTTCTGAGGCTTAATTTGTTTTATGACATTTTTATTCCCAGATTTATAATTCCTGTATCCACTCGGCCCTGCATCTCAACTCCATAAAGACTGTTGGCCTCTCACTGTAATACAGATTTCATAGCAGAGTTTTGCCAAAGCATGCTTTTAGTGATGTGAGCTTTTGTTATCTCGAAGTTTTTCCCCGAAAAAGTTTCATTAAATTGGGATTTAGAAATCCCAACTGATCATTTCTACCAAGATTGAAAAAAACAACACACATACACCCTTTATTCAATAATCTCTTACTGAAGGTACTAATATAAAAATTATGCAAAAGAACTAAATCATATAGAGCTGGAGATTAGTTCCTTAGCTGGTTTTCAACCTGATCAGTGGTGGCACCATAGTTATAAAGGGATCAGTGCAGCAAGGTAAGTAGATGCCCACATACTAGAGAGATGTGGTGTCATTGTCATCAATTGGAGGCCAGCTAGTCAAATGGTATTGACAGCTAATATTAATTGGGTCCTTACCAAGTTCCAGGCAATGTTATTCACTCATGCAATCCTTACATGATAGATACTACTGTGTTATTCCCACTTTACATGTAAACAAATGGAAGCACCGGGAAGTTAAAAGGGTTGCTCAAGGTTAAATTGCTACTAGAAGCCCGATGCATGATATATTAATATGTGCACTCAGAGGGTCCCTCAGCTTGGCCTGCACCCTCTCACAGTCTGGAAACCCTCAAGGGATGTCTGACTGACCGCTTAGGCCTGCTCCCCGGCAGCGGGACATCCTTAGCTCTGTCACGGAGGCAGGTGGGAGAGGCTCCTGTGACCACCCACTCAGCTCACTCCCCATGCTCAATTTTTCCCTCTCTCCATAGCAGTTATCATCACCTAGGTGTTTGTTTTCAATCGGTTTGTCTGTCTTCTTCCAACAGAATATAACCTCATGCAATCACTTGACACTAGGAATAGTCCCTGACAAGTAGTAGGTATTCAATAAGTATTTGTTGAATAAAATAATTATGATTTTTCAAAGTTTGTTAAATTCCTAAGTACTTTTATGCACTAAAATATTTTTTCTCTGCAGGATTACTTGAAATATGACCATGGAAATATTTGGACTAAAAATCACGAGACTTAAGTCCCAGCTTAGCTATTAATTTCTTGAGTAACTTGGTTAGATAATTTTTTTGGAGCTTCACCCTTGTACATCTGACATCTTATGGCTCACAACCACGACTCTAAAATCTAACAGAAAAATAGATTCCATATAAAAATTATCTGTGCATGTCATTTTTAGTATCATGTATGGCATAAAACAAGGTACAATTATAACTGGTAAGTAGTTTTCAAGAGAGCTTTATCTAATCTTTCTTTTTCTGGAAGGTACAAACTTCTAAATTGCTGACCTCAAAAAAACCCTATTATTTTTTTCAGAAACTTACAAAATCTAAAGATAGGGACCATTTCCATGCTTAAGCCAAAGTGCTTTGACCTTTATTCTAATTTCAAACTTGCTATAATCCATTATCTCATTTCTACAATATTACAAATCTCATGACATGTAGGAACCAAACATCTAAAGACTTTTTTTTCCCTAGCCTACTTTGAAAACTGTTCCAAATACATTCAATTATCCACCAGAGCTAAAGATCAGGTGAAAATCAAGATGGGATATACAGGAATCAGGTCTAAGTCTGTAATTGGGAAGTTCGTATTTAATTAGATGAGGCAATACATGTGATTGGCATAGTGCCCTGCCAGATAACATGTTCGATGTGTTACCTAACGACTTTTATATTTAAAGAATATCTGAGCTGATAAGAACCTTGAGAGCTCACCCTAGTGTGTCTATGACTCCTCTATCAAGTATCAATATTTAATGAGAACATTTCCGAATCAAATACAGGTCAATAGTCACACAATTGCGCAGAACACAACTCAGTGTGGGGTACAAATAAAGACCTACAGAGTCTTGACCAACAAGCTCTACAGCCTCTCGGTGGTGGAGAACCCAGGAACAAATCCCTGTCCCGCCTTCTTCTCTCCTAAATTTCCTACCAGCCGGACCCCATCACCCGCACTCCTTTCACTCAAAACGGGACTCAACTCTGCCCCTAGTTCCCATCATCCTTCGGGGGTCTCCCTTCCTCCGGCCCAAATCCCGCCCAGGCTCCTCCCCCCCAACCCTCACCGGTACTCGCTAGGTGATTCCACCGGGCTTTCTGAAGTCTCGCGAGGGTGGTCCCGTTGCCCCGGTAACGAGTGGCCTTGCCTGCGGGCGAGGGGCGTGGCTAGAGCCGCTACACTGGACCGGGATTATATTGGGCTGTTACCCGCGGGGGCGGGACGGAGGGGCCGACCGAGGCGGGACGGTGACGCGCGGTTCCGAAGGAAAGGAGATCTCTGGCGCGGCGCCCCCTGCGGTAAGCGAGCGCACGTGGACACAGCCGCCGGCGGGAAAATGGGCTCCTCCCCACCCCGCCGGTTCCAGATGTGAGCGTGGGAGGACCCCTGGGACCGCGGGAATTGTGGCCTAACCGTCCTTCCCGCCGGGGAAGTCGCCGTGCCGGCCCGCAGACCTGGCGAGGCGGGGCGTGGCGGCGCCGGGGTTTGCCGCTTCTGCTCCGGCCGGGGACGGAGCGCGCGAGTGCCCACCCGGCAGTCGGTGTGTCTCTGACCCAGGTGAGCGCCAGGGTCCCTGCTCCCCTCCTCGAGGGCTTGGCTGCTTGGGATGTTCCGTTAGAGGCTGAGAGGTGGTTGTCGCTAGTTTTTGTTGTTGTTGTTGTTGTTTTATTGATTATAGTATCACATAATTGTCCTCATTCCCCCATTCCCATCCCAAACCCCTCCCTACATATGCCCCCACCCCCCTGTTGTCCATGGCCACTGGCCAGGCCCCTATGCATGCATACAAGTCCTTTGGTTGATCTCTGCCCCTAACCCCCACCTTCCCCTACTTTCCCTCTGAGGTTTGAGTGTCTGATCGCTGCTTCTCTTTCTCTGGGTCTGTTTTTGTTCATCAGTTTATGTTGTTCATTATTTCCTCTAGATGTGTGAGATCATGTGATCTAAGAAATGTCGCTAGTTTTATTTGGAGCAGGTGAAGGGAACTCACCTCCAAAGCCCTGGCCCCCTGCAGGCAGGCTGAGCTCCTGTGTGTGGACGCTATTTGGTTAATCACATGTGCATTTCTCCTTTGCAACGGGGTCTACTTACCTGGTTGGGTTCCAGTCAGGCTCATCAGGTTACATCTGCAGGTACAAAACGTGGTACCTACATTTTAACATGAAGCAAGAGTAGCATTTAAGCCCTAACCGGTTTGGCTCAGTGGATAGAGCCTCGGCCTGCAGACTGAAGGGTCCCAGGTTTGATTCCGGTCAAGGGCACGCACTTTAGTTGCTGGCACATCCCCAGTAGGAGGTGTGCAGGAGGCAGCTGATCAATGTTTCTCTCTCATCCATGTTTCTAACTCTATCCTCTCCCTTCCTCTCTGTAAAAAAATCAATAAAATATATTTTTAAAATAATAGTAATAGTAATAATGAAAAGAGTAGCATTTAGTAGAAACCACCCAGACAATAAGACCCTTGCCCTGTCTTACATTGGGTTGCCTCCTATGCTCACGTAAGAAAATAGAATCAGATTGTGCCAATCCAGTTTCCCAGACTAGGAACCGTGGTGATCCCCGGGCTGAAACTTCAAGTCTCTTGGTTTTGCAGGTCTGAATAAGCAGACTTCTCAGTTGCATTTGTAGTGATTTGCTGTGGAGCTTGGAGTTTTCTTCTATGTAGTCTTGTTCCGAAACACACTGTTGGTGGAGCGGAGCTTAAACAAATAGACTGGGAATTGGTAAATTCTTGTGGTCTAAAAAAAAAAAAGAAAGAATCTTGGTAAGGATTTCATTTCTCAGTAATGGGAGGATACCTGCATAGCAGGGATAATGGTCATCGCCAGTACAACCTTCACATAGCTTATTGAGATTTCAGTTAAGACAAATATAATTGATTATTAGAACAGAGACAGTCTCTACGGAATAGTAACCAAAATATAAAGAGTCTGTTATAGGCATTTGAGCTGCTGGTCAATTGAAAATTAAATAGAAAATAAAATTTCTCTATTGCTACATTTCACGGCCTGAGTAAGTAACTATAATTAAAAAGATTCATGATCTTTTTAATGTCTCTGAATTATTCTGAACTTGTTATTGCTCTTTGGTATTTAATTGTAAATACAGAGTGTAAATGATTTGTGTATCCTATAAATTCTTTTTTAAATTAAATTATTTACTTGATTTGTCTTTTATTGTGATTTGGTCTCTTTCTCAGAGAAATGAAAAATTTCTTCAGACTTTTGGAACTGAAGGTTTATTTAACTGTGTCCTAATAAAATAGTTTTTAAAAGAAGCCTGTTGTCAATTAAATACAATAAAATATATTTTGGATACTCATACAGTGCAATAAACATTTTCATTTAAAAACTGTCAGTAAAGTCCTTAGAAATTGTCTTACATTTACAGCCCACCAATAAAAAGAAGAAATACCAAGTCAAATACTGAAGAGATGTCAGAAGATTCAGAAGAAGACTATTCAGATAGATCAATCAGTGATGAAGATGAATCAGTATGTTTTCTTCAACCTTATCTTATTTACTTTGAGATAAAACTTGTGTTATGTCGATTTCCAGGAAAAGTATTATAAAATCAATTGAATATAAGAATCACTTGGATGTTTAACTCACTTGTCATTGAAGTTGGGAAGTAATTTGATTGAAAGCCAAGATATCACTTTGTACATTATGCTTCTTCTAGAAAGAGAACCTACTAGTATATTGGTTGTCTTTTTCTGAGAAAATTGGATAAGATTCTTCTGAATTTTACTAAAATATGTATATTAAGTCACTATTAGGGGTTTTCTTGCTCCCTGTCCTCTTTCTTATATGTACTGAGTCTATTGTACTCATCATAATATGTATCATAGATTGGAACCTTCTGTGTTTTAAACCTATTCTGTAACTCTGTAATAGGCTTACTGTGGCTCTGATGTAACAAAGGAAAGGAGATGGAGGAAGAAAAAGGGGGAAAAAACAAAATGCAGTATTTAAAAACATTTTGTCTGATTCTAGTAATATTTGTGATATGTTTTCATCACACTTCAGTAAAATATAAATTATCATGTATATAAGTTAAGGTCCCCAAATAAGCTCCCCAAAATGATGTTTATCCCTTTAAATCTCTGGCCTTCTGCATTTATTTATTTATTTATTTATTTATTTATTTATTTATTTTAAATAATACTGCCCTAACCAGTTTGGCTCAATGGATAAAGCATCGGCCTGTGGACTGAAGGGTCCCAGGTTCAAGTCCCGTCAAGGGCATGTACCCTGGTTGCGGGCACATCCCCAGTAGGGGGTGTGCAGGAGGCAGCTGATCGATGTTTCTCTCTCATCGATGAGAAAAAAATCAATAAAATATATTTAAATAATAATAGTACTTTTATTTTTACAGCTAGAGAAAGGGAGAGGGAGAAAGAGAAGCATCCATGTGAGAGTGGAACATGGACCAGCTCCCTCCTGCACACCCCCTACAGGAGAATCGGGCCTACAACCCAGATGTGCCCTGACCTGGAATGGAACCCACAACCTTTGGATGCATGGGATGGTGCCCAGTGAACTAAGCCACACAGGCCAGGGCTGGGCTTCTTTTCTTTTTGTTACTTTTTCTTCATTTAGATTGTTTTGCTAAGCTTTAAACTTTATTTCTTCCCTACAATTATTAATATGACCTTATCCTATGGAAGAAGAGGAATGAAAGATGAAAACTTGAAGGTTTCAGGATATTTGAAGTGTGTGCTTTGAGACCAGTAGCCTATAATAATCCTTTACTTTTTTTCACTAAAGATTAAACACATACACCTAATTCTAAGTACAAACAAGTTGTAAAAAATTTCTGGCTTCGTAAGCTGTTGGATTTTAAAAGAGAAATGTTTTTGAACTCTCTTGTTTTAGGATGAGGATTCCTTCATGAAATTTGAAGAACTCCACCAATGTGCACTTTTAACAGGTTTGAATTTATCCATATATTCTCCCTTCTCTTTATGATATGATATGAGTGGAGGAAAAATAGTAAGATGAGGAAACTAGAACAAAAGTAAGCTTGAATAATATAGGGAATTATTATATTATTCTGTTATTGGATAAGAAGAGATAAATGTATTCACTTTTATAAGAATCTTTTGGAGTTAAAACGTTTAAAATTTGTTTTAGGTAAACCTGATTTTAATGAAAATGGTCAGTAGTTTATAAAGAACTTAATACAAGAATTTACCTTGACATTTCTTTAAATAATCAATTCTTTAAATGCATTTACAGTTAACTGGAGTTATAATGGACACAATGTTTTGGAACTACATCTTTATTTAAATGAAGTATGCCTATAGAGAGTTTCCTTAAAGTCATTCATTAGCAAATTTACGTGTACATATGGGCATCTTGATGTATACTTGATTTTTTAGAATTTATACATTTAGAATTGTGCTTTCAAATACACATTTAAATGTTTTTCCCAAATATTCATGTTTCTATCACAGATATTTTGAAATTGAAGATAAGGCCTTTATTATTTTTATTACTGTCTTTTTCACTGCCATCCTAAAGCAAATATTCACTTTGGACATAACCACTATTTTCAGTTTGGTTTTTACCCTTCTAGAATTTTTCCTTGCATTTGTACACATATCTGTACCCATAGTCATAGAAAATTTGTGACTAAAAGTTTAAGGACACTCAACTGTAAATAGTTTGCTGAAAAAAATTGTGGTACTATTTTGTGGACTTCCTGCCGCCCTTCTTTTTCTTTTTAAATTTTTAAAAAGTCTGTTGGATAAAAAGGAGGAAATTCACTGTTTTAGCTAACATTTCCTTAGTTGCTAAGAAATTGAGAATTGTTTCAAATGCTTGTATATTTATATTCCCTTGTGTTATGAATTGCTCTTTCATAGTAATCCTTGTTAACTTTGTTTATATTGCTTTTATTGTTTGGGATTATTTTAAGGTTGTTTATCATTCGTTTGTGGCTCTTTTTTTAATACATCTGTTTAAGCTACAAAGGCCCCTACTCTAAGATCATTAATATAATTATCAAAGTTTTCTTCAAATACTTTTTTGTACTTGTTTGAATTTTGGTATTTCATTTCTTTAAAATTTACATTTACAAATCATATGAGTTATGAATCCAATTTTATTTCCTAATTCATAAATAGTTGCCATTTTTGAATCATATATAAATAGACAAAGTGTGATCTACTCACACAGTGGCATACTAGATGCTTAATAACTGTCTGTTGAATAAATGGATCTATATAACAATCTTGAGAAGTAGCAATGGAAGGTAATATTTCTAATTTACAAGTAATAAGATTTATGTTCAAAGAGGCCAACCAAAATCATGTAGAAACAAAGTGGTAGAACAGAACTCAGTTTGTCTGAGCCCTAGTCCAGTTATCTGCTATTACACAGAAATAACCCACAACTATATCTAGGTTAAAAGCCACGGTTCAGAGGTGGAAAAGCAAGAGGAATCAGTGGGACAAATGGAACCAAGTGCGTAAAAGATAGAGAGAAAACCAGGAAGTGTACCATGATAAAAGACAAGGGACATGATCTTAAGGAAGAGTGATTATCAACATCAAGTTGAGGCCCCAGTTATCCAATTGAAACAGAGACAGCCTCCACACTGTCTACTTGGGACAATTCCATCTTATTCTGTGTGAATTATGTTCCTGGGATTGTGTCACACAGTAGCCCTAGAATGAGAACTCAAGAAGTTTTAACTGAAAGTTCACTATAACAGCCTTAGAGAATATAGTTCCAGTAGGTGGTGAGGAACTACGGTCGGTGGGTGTAACCTATTAGACAAATAGTTGCCTCAGTGTGATTGAGTTTAAGAAGATTCAACAGTAAACAGTTTGCTAAAAAAAAAAAATCTGCAAAAACCAAATGCAATCCTATCAAAATCAAAAATGTTTTTGGAATGGCAGTGACAATTTGGTATAATTTATAGTATTTGATATGAACAACTTTTCTTTAGCTATTGTGAAGATCAGTTGTAAAAAATTTCTATAGTACTGCCAAAACCAGTTTGGCTCAGTAAATAGAGCGTCGGCCTGCAAATTAAAGGGTCCCAGGTTCAATTCCGGTCAAGGGCATCTACCTTGGTTGTAGGCACATCCCCAGTGGGGGTGTGCAAGAGGCAGCTGATCGATGATTCTCTCTCATCGATGTTTCTAACTCTATCCCTTTCTCTTCCACTATGTAAAAAATCAATAAAATATATATATTTTAAATTTTCTATAGTACTTTTTATTTTTTAAATGCCATAAATTATAAGTTATTTATAATTATATCTACAGATATTTACAAATTAATGGTATTGGGGGGGGGGGGATAATACATTAAAAATTATAGGGATTTGCCCTGGCCAAGTAGCTCAGTTGGTTAGAGCATTATCCTGATACACTAAGGTTCTGGGTTCAATCCTCAGTCAGGGCACATACAAGAATCAATCAACAATAAGTGGATCAACAAATCGGTGTTATTTTCTCTCCCTCTCCGTCTCCTTTCCTCTTCTTCCCTCCCTTCCTCCCTTCCTTCTCTCTCTTTCTAGAATCAATTTTAAAAATTATGGCAATTGGAGTTTTGCTTCTTAACACTCATACTTGTGTTTGAATCTTTTTCCAGCTGACTCTATCACTGACCCATTTTTCCCCCGGACTACGCAGATACTATTGGAATACCAGCTAGGGAGATGGGTGCCACGCCTTCGTGAGCCACGAGATTTGTATGGTGTCTCTTCTTCTGGTGAACTGAGCCCAACACGGTGGCCGTACCACTGTGAGGTCATTGATGAAAAAGTCCAGCATATTGGTAGGTTCTTTGCGGTTTTGGGGATTTAAACATTAGCAAATTTACTTTGCCAACCTTAATTTTAATGAGAAGACTCCCAGTGTTAGAATAATCATTCCAACAGAAGTATAATATGAGCCATACAGGGGTAGGAAAAAGTAGTTTTGTATGGAAAATAATACAGTCCTATATAATAAAAGGCCAATATGCAAATTGTCCCCCCCAGGCAGGAATTCCACTGTTTGGGAGCTCGACCTGTCACTATGACTACACTGCGGCTGCCAACTGGCCTGATCTGGGTCTGATCAGCTCCCTCCAATCGGGCCTCCCCACCCCAATTGGGGCAGGGCTGGCCAGCCACCACCCACAGCCCCTCCCCCTGGCCAGCCAGCTCCTCAATAGGCCTCAATCACTGGCCAGGCTGAGGGACCCCACCTGTGTATGAATTCATGCACCGGTCCTCTAGTCCTAAATAAAAGGCTAATATGCAAATCCAAACGGTGGAACAACACTATGATGCACACTGACCACCAGGGGGCAGACCTTCAATGCCGGAACTGGGCTCACAGCAGGTGAGCACAGCCGCAGTGGTGGGAGCAGGCCTAAGCCGAGGGATCTTGGGCTGCGAGAGGGCACGGTCTGGGCTGAGGTGGCTCAAATGTCGTGCCCTGGGCCGCTAGTGATTAATAAATAATGTACTGTAAACCTACTTTGCCCACCACTTATATGTAATTTTAAATTTTTTAGTAACCACATTTAAAAAGATTAAAAAGAAACAAGTGTAATTGATTTCAAAACTATTTTTTATTTAACCCAAATATATCCTAAATATTTTATGTTCTTTTTTTATATGGAGTCTTTGAAAACTGGTATGCATTTATACTTATATTTCAATTAAATCCAATTTGTTCGCATCCTTACCAACACTTATTTTATTGTTGTATTTTTAAATAGCCATCTAGTCCTAGCTGGTTTGGTTCAGTGGATTCAGAGTTGGCCTGTAGACCAAAGGGTTCCAGGTTTGATTTCAACCAAGGGCACGTCCCACGGTTGTGCAGGAGGCAATCAATGGATGTGTTTCTCTCACATGTGATATTTCTGACTTTCCCTCTTCCACTCTAAAAAAATCAATGGAAAGATATCCTCAGGTGAGGATTGAAAAAATAAAATATTTAATAAATAGCCATTCTAACATGTGTGAGATATCTCACTGTGATGTTGATTTACATTTCCCTGAATATCAGTGATGTTGACAGTGCAATCCCTATCAAAATCTCAGTGCCACTTTTTCATAGGAATAGAAAAACAACTATAAAATTTATATAAAGCCACAAAAGCTTCCAAACAGCCAAATCAATCTTGAGAAAGAAGAGCAAAGCTGAAGTCATGACACTTTCTGATTTCAAAGTATATTACAAAACCGTAGTGATCAAAACAGTATGGTACTGGTATAAAGACAGACATACAGACCTTGAAAGACCAAAAGTAAATCCACATACATATGTTCAACTGATCTTTGACAAGACTGTCAAGAATGCACAATGGAGAAAGGATAGTCTCTTCAACAAATGTTAAGAAAATTTAATATCCACATGCAAAATATGAAATTGGACCCTGGTCTTACACAATACAAAGAAACTCAAACTAGAAGTATATTGAAGACTTGAACATAAGACCTGAAACTGTAAAACTACAAGAAAACATAGGAGGAAAGCTTCATAAAATTGTTCTCGGCAATGATATAATGGATATGACACCAAAAGCAAAAGTAACAAAAGCAAAACTAAACAAGTGGGACAACAAAAAACTTCTGTACAACAAAGGAATAATATAGTGAAAAGGCAACCTGTGGATTAAGAAAATTATTTGCAAACTATATTTCTGATGAGTTAATCTCTAAAATATATAAGGAATTTTTACAACTCAATAGCAAACTCATAACCAGATTTAAAAAATGGACTAAGGACTTGAATGGATGTCTTTTCAAAGAAGACACAAATAACGAACAGATATATTTATTGATTTTTTTATGTAAACTGATAAAATTCTTTGCCATTTTGTTGTTGGTTGAATTTTTTGTTTTCTTCTTGGTCTCTAAATGCTCTCTATATATTCATGAGATTAGCTTAATGTTATGTATGTTGCATACTTTTTCTCAGTTTGTCATTTGCCTTTTTTCTTTCTCATGCAGAAAATTTTAATTTTTATGTAATCATTTTGTCTATCATTTTTCTGTCTTCTGGATTTTGAAAATCTCATGTTTCTGTTAGCACATTTCAAGTTATATTTTTTTGTGATTAAAATTTTTTATCATCAGGAATCATTTTGATGCAAGAAGTGAGCTCCCAATCCAGTTCTGCTATCTATCCTGTTATTCCAACAAAATTATTAAATAATTTTTTCTCTACTGATTGGCAATGCCACAATTATTATATATTCAATTCCTAATCCTGATTTTGAATTATATCCTATTCCACTAACCTGTCTACTCATCTGATGGCTTAAAACCTTTAATGCTTAATTTTTAAAACTATACATTTTGTTAGGTGGTAAACTTAGTTCCCCATCATTCTTTTTATTCTTTTAAAAATTTTTCTAACTTCTTGGCTTATTATATTTCACCTTATTGTATGTATTTCTATATGAAACTTAAAATAAGCTTTCCTAGTTGTCCCAAAATTAATACGGTAACTTTATTGTGATCACATTACATTTGTAGATTAAGCAAGAGCGACATCTTTACAATATTGCATCTTCCTAACCAAGAACAAGGTATGTTTCATGATTTACCCTAGTTTTCCTTTATCTTCCTTAATATAATTTTAAATTTTTTTCTTGCACTATTTCTAAGTTTTATTGTTAGGTATTTTATTTTGTTACTTTAAATAAAATCTTTATTGCATATTATTTTCTAACTTGTTTTGTAGAGGAAAGTTAAGTTTTGTGTATTAATTTTGAAACCACCCAACTCTTATTTCTAGTTTTTAAGTTATTGCATATGTGCTTTTATACAATTATATCATCAAGTAGAAATGTAATTAAATCTCCTCGTTTCTATAGTTTGTATATCATACTTCTTTTTCTTGACTGAATGCATTGACTGGTATTTTCAAAAAACATTTAAAGTTTTATACTCATCTTGTTCTTCATTTTCATGGGAATGCTTTTAGTGTTTTCTCTTTAAGCAAAATATTGTCTCATGGATTGAATTAAATTTGCTTTTGACTTTATTAAGGAAGTATCCATTTATTATTAAGAAAATTTACCCAGAAATAATTATTAAATTTTATTAAATGCCTTTCAATATTTACAGAGAGAGTGTCATAAGGTTCTCATATGATACATTAAAATAGATGTATTTTAACCCTCACTGGAGGATGTTTTCATTAATTTTAGAGAGAGGAAGAGGGGAAGGGATGGAGGAGAGGAGGAGAAGAGAGTGGGAGAGAGAGACAGAGAGAAAGTGAAACATCGATTGGCTGTCTCCCTAAAATATCCCAACCAGTGATCGAGCCTGTAACCTATGTATGTTTCCATGTGCCCTGACCATTTGATGCATTGGACAATGTTCCAACCAAGAGCCATCAGCCATCTGACTGCTGTTAGTCATTGTGTATTATTTTGTGTGTTGCTAAAGTCTATTTGCTAATATATAGGATTTTTACTTTAATACTCATAAGTAAGATGATTTACGTTTTTCTAACTTTTGTACTTTTTTAGATTTTAGTATAAATATTATTCAAAATTCTTCTTTCCTTGTAGAAGAATTTCTCCTATTCTAGAACAGTTTGAATAACACTGTAATTAACTGTTTTTTTGAAAGTTTGATAGAATTTGCCTAAAACAGTTTGGACATATTTGTTATTGTTATTTTAGATATACATAGAATATTTTTTTTGTAAAACTTCTCTTCTTTGTTAGTTCTGTTTAAATGTTCTATTTATTTTAGGGACAGTTTTGATTATTTGTATTTTCCTATAAAAATAATGCTTTTATGCAGAACTTTCATTCATTTACAAAGATTTGGTTAAAATATTCTCTTGTAATTGTTATACTATCCTTTGACATTTTGGGACTTTCCCCCTCTGTTATCATGTTTTTGTTAAGTATTTGTACATTCTTATTTTCCTCTCCCCTGAATATGTTAATGGATGTAATTATCTTGTTAGTTTTTTTAAAGAATCAATGTTTAATTATATTAGTTCTGTTGTACTGTTTTCTTATTAATTTATAATTTTTTATTTATCTGACTCATTTAGGTTTTTTTTTTAACTTCTTGTTTCCTAATATTTTATTATGAAAAAGTTTAAATAGAGAGAGAATTTGAAAGGATTGTACAGGAACACCCACACTCACCAGCTAGATTCTTATTATTAACTAGAGGCTCGATGCATAAAATTCATGCAAGAGTAGGCCTTTCTTCCCCCAGCTAATGGCACCAGCTTCCCTCTGGCACCCAGGACTCAGGCTTCCCTTGCAGCCCCAGCTTTGTCTGGAAACTTGTCATGCTTTTATTATTATAGATTATTTGCCATATTTCTTGATCACATATATAGCCAACTATCTATCCCTCTCTATCCATCAGACCATCTTAATTTTTATTTATTTCAAAATAAGTTGCAGGCATCCTTATAGTCCAACTTTAAATGTTTTAGCATGTAGCCAAAACTGGTTTGGCTCAGTGGATAGAGCGTCGGCCTGCAGACTGAAAGGTTCGATTCTGGTCAAGGGCATGGACCTTGGTTGCGGGCACATTCCCAGTAGGGGGTGTGCAAGAGGCAGCTGATCGATGATTCTCTCTCATCGATATTTCTAACTCTCTATCCCTCTCTCTTCCTCTCTGTAAAAAATCAATAAAATATATTTATAAATAAATAAATAAATAAATAAATGTTTTAGCATGTATTTTAGCTAGAATTTAATCCTGTTTTATTATTATGTTTTTAGGTAAATTTTATATTCAATGAAATGCATGAATCTAAGTGTACCAATCAATGAATTTTAGGAAATGCATATATCTGTGTAGTCCAAACCCCTACTATACAATATAGAACATTATCATTATAATCACTTAAACATTTTAAATATTACTTGTATGCTTAAAACTATATAATGCTAATAAAAGAAATCAAAGAATATTTGAATAAATCAAGAAATGTACCATGTTCATGGATTAGAAAACTCAATTTAGTAAAGGTGTCAGTTCTCCTGAAATGGATAGGTTCTAGGCAATTTCTATCAAGAATTTTTTTGTAGATGTAGAGAAGATTGTTCTAAAATTTATATGGAAAAGTAAAGGAACTGAAAGTAACTAAAACAGTTTTGAAAAGAAACATAAAATTGGAGGAATCAGCCTATGTGATTTCAAGGCCTTTTATATAACTATTGTATTGTCAAAGCCCTGTCATATTGGTGGAGAGATATGCATAGATCAGTGGAAGAAGAGAACCCAGAAACCGAAACACACAAATATGTCCAACTGATTTTTTGCAAAGGTGCAAAAGCAATTCAATGAAGAAAAGTTAGCATTTTCATCAAATGATAGACATCCATAGGACAAAAAGAAAAAATGAACTTGAATTTAAGTCTAATGTTTTATAAGAAAAATTAATTCAAACTGGATCACAGACTTAAATGTAGCATAAAATTATAAAACTTTAAATTAAGAGAAAATATTTTCAATCAAAAGCTAAGCAAGTTCTTAGAATTGACACCGAAAACAATAAAATGAAAAATTGATAAGTTGGACTTCATCAATATTGAAAATTTTTATAAGAGGTCTTAAGAGGAAGAAGAAAAACAAAGGGTAACATATACATGCCAACTGATTCTGCTCCTTTTTATGAGGAAAACAACTTTCCCAAAAAATTTCACCAGTAATCTTTGTACATCTCCTTTATATTATGTGATTACTCCTAGTCACAGGGAAGGTTGGAAAATTGGGGTCTTTAATGAATCTCATGCCACTCTCATTCAGATTTTTTGTCATAAAAGCAAACAAGAAGTCAAATATTGGGAGGGCAACTAGAAGTGTATGCAACAACTGCAATTTAGCAGGCCCTTCTATTCCTAAACATTCTTTTGTTCATGTAACAGTGAATAAACTTGAACTAATATTTGATGCTGGCAATTATCCTGGTAATTAAAGTCATGCAGTCTGCCCTATGGCAAATATTCATCTTTGATATCAACCTCTTAAGACAAAATTAAGTGGCTCCTTAGCACTACTGTACTTTAAATGTGCTGAGAAGCCTTTTGGAGGAACACCTACATTTTGTATATCCTTGGCAAGAAGTATGCAAAAGCTTTCTGGCAGATAACTCAAATGCAGAACAAAATCACCATGATTGAGAACACTTAAAGGCTTGAATAGTCTAAAATTTGAGAATGTATTTAACTGTCCTAAGAAGCCTGTGCCAGAAATCTAGGAGTATGTAATTATCAAATTAAATGAGAACCAGATATAGACTAATAAATGATGTCAATGAGTTAGATAATTTAGCTGTAACAGACAAGTGCCTGGAAAGACAAGACTTCTAAAACTGATTCAAGAGGAAATAGAAAACATAAATAGATATATAGTAAGTAGAGAGATTGAATTAGTAATAGAATACCTACAAAAAGCCCAAACTCAGATAGCTTCATTGCTGAATTCTACACAATGTTTGGAACAGTTTACCAAAATTCCTACCAGTTCTTCACAAACTTTTCCAAAAATAGGAGAGGAGGGAAAACTTTAGGAGATCAGTATTACCCTGTATACAAAGCCAAAACAAGATATCACAAGAAAACTACAAACCAATATGTATATGGATATAGATGCAAATTTTCTCAACAAAATACTATTCAACTGAATCTAGCAACACATAAAAAGAATTATTCAATATGACCAAGTAGAATTTATCCAGAAATTCAAGGTTAGTTTAGCATTCAAAAATCAAGTAACGTAATTGATGTAATGAAATAACTAATGTAATATAGCATATCAATAGAATAAAAAACAAAAAGTATAATATATCTTCTCAATAGCTACAGAAAAAGTATTATTTAAAATCCAGCACACTCTCCTGGAGAAAACTGCTGACTTTGAAGCTTTGTAATTTCTGGAGCCTGAATTATCTGGCCTTGGTTTTTGGTTACTAAAGGAGATAATCTTTTGAGTCCTAAGAACCAAAAAAATGCTCACCATATATTGACCCAATGCTGATGTTACAGGATTCCCTGCTCTCCTAGTTTTGATGAGCCAGCCTTGTGAAATTAATGGCTGGAATACTGCTAACTTCTTGAAACTGCTGCAGCTGAGAGAGAGATCATGGATATCTTGACATCAATATTTTAATCTATGCTTTCTCTGTAGCTAAACTTGACCCCGATTAATTATGTCAGATATACGTATGTAGCTAAAGCAGTTGTATACATAATCCCCAAAATGTTTGTCCAGTGACACTTCTTTATTACCACCAAATTGGTTTTATTATTATTATTATTATTATTATTATTATTGTCTCAATGACTATATTCGGGATCATAGAGGCTAACTCCCTCTGTAGGAATATATTTATTACCTGAACCAAGCCACACATAAGTCTGACATACATAAGCCAAAAATAAGAGTAGAAAAATGAGTCGTCACCAAATTCTTGTTCTAAAAGGTGGGAACAAATAAGGTAGTTGGACTGTGAAGTTATTTTCTCCAAATAGATCATAGTCAAAGATAAACTATGCACTTGGTCCTAAAAATAATGAAGAAAAGGAAAGCTGGTGTAGCTAAAGAAGATGTTGGGGTGGGTTGGGGGGGGGGCGGGGAGTCTAAGGATAGCCTTTCTTTGGGGAGACAGTAATGTTGGTGTTGCAAGGGTTTAGGAAGTCCCTGTTTGGGCTCCATTAATATCAGGGTTCTTTTTCCAGCATTACAAAGGATTCAGCAATCTGGAGAAAGGCTGTGCATAGATTAAATAAGAGTCCAGAGACGAAAGATAATTTTGAAAGGCATTGGGAGTCAGAGGAGCTTCAGCTAAAGGAGCTAAAAAAATTTTCCTTGTCTCAGGCCCCTTGTTTTTTATTAACACAATTTGTTCTAAGGCAAGGTAGAGATAATATGCTTCAAAGGGTACAGAAGCATTGTCAGATTGGGGAATAGCCTACAGCTGTTCAGATGTTTGGCCAACATGAGGCAATAACGTGTAGATTAAGATGCCCTGAGCTGTCTGGCAGCAAACAATTATCCTATTCAGGTTTTGGGGAATTGCCTTTCAGTCTTTCCAACAGGTGATTACATATGTGACTCAGCCCTTGTTGAGCACCCAAGTTTCATAAACCTTTTGATGAAAATTCTTATAATTATGACACGCTGGAATTGGCTTCCGGCAAGGCAGAAGACACTTGAACATGTTTATAAGCTTAGGAGACAACCATCATCAGGCAAGATGCTGAAGATGAAGGGGAAGGGAGAAAAAAGATGGAGCAAGATTCCCAGAGGTGGGTCAGAAAGATATCAAGTGCACAGGAGAAATAGAAACTTAGTGTAAAAATCTATGACACTAAATAATGAAATAATAATGATTTAGAACAAGGTGCCAGTGAAATGTTATGGGTTTTGTTATGTGACAATGTTCATTACTGCCAGTGAATCCTTGGTAAAATCCAGCCCCTCACAAAACTATAAAATTTAGCCTAGATCTATCAGTAAACAACTTTAAAATGTATAATAAAATTTCCTGTTTTATCTTTGTCACATTCAAATAATGTATTCTCTTTTATATACATATATAGATTCGACTCCTCCTTATTCTGAGCCAGTGTACATCCCAACAGGCCTAGAGACCGAACCCATTTATTCAAACTCCAAGGAAGATACAGTAGTTTATCTAGCTGAAGATGGTGGGTACATAATGAAATATGTTGTTATACAAATGTAATTTGGTACCTGGGCTAATCTCTTAGTTATATTTGTTTTTGCTGATTATAGTAGAAATTGGAGATTACCGGGAAATCCCTGTCCCCATAAAAATGTTTGGTTAAGCCCTAGCCAGTTTGGCTCAGTGGATAGAGCAACGGCCCGCATACTGAAGGGTTCCACTCAAAGGCACGTTCTTTGATTGCAGGCTTGATTATGTGTAGGAGGCAAGCAATCACTATGTCTCTCTCTCATCAATGTTGTTCTCTCACTGTCTCTCTCCCTCCACTGTCTCTAAAAATCAATGGAAAAATATCCTCAGGTGAGGATTAACAAATATATATATATTTGGATCAATAATAACCATATATATATATATATATATATATATATATATGGTTATTATATTAATCAATATTTGGATCAATAATAACCATATATATATATATGGTTATTATTGATCCAAATGTTGATTTAGTGCTAATTATATTAAGTTGTATTTCAGTTCATGTAAAGTTACTTTAAAATAAAACATCAAAATAAAACATTAGAATGGGGTTATATTTAGAAGGAATTAAGCTTCACATCAGTTTTCAAAGGTAAATCCAGTGGGGTGCTCTACAACTATTGTTGCCTCTCAATTGACAGGTCATTTTCATGCAATTTTTCAGATGTGTGGGTTTTCTTTTTTTCCATTTCCTGCCAATTTGATGCGATTCCTATCTTAAAAGAGGAACGCTCCCACAATAAAATTAATCTATGATATAGCTCAGAAGGGTGATCTATATTAATACTTTGAGAACTCTAGTAATCAAAAGCTTATATCCACTTTATGATAGACTATACTGATGATGAAACATAGATATTTCAGCCTTTATCCTAAACTGTGCTACTCCTAATACACCAACATGAGGAAGTTGGGACTCCTGCACAATGTCACCATCAGAGTTCTATGTCTTACAGTAGATGTTAGATACCTTCCAGGGAACATATGTGTTTTATTTAAAGGGCTGGCAAAACAGATAAATTCAAAGGGATTGTTTCCTGTACAAGTTGTAATTCTAGAATTTACTCCCTTATTTTTTAACAGCTGAAGTGAGAGAAGCACTTCTGATTTTTCTATTTGATTTCAAATATTTTTATGACTAAACTTTCGAATATTTGCATGGCTAGTAGTAGAACTTCAACACATAACTTAAATGAGATCTAATAAAAAATTGAAATAATCAGGGTCTTGTTGGGAATTGGATTAATTTGTATTAGTTCAGTGAAAGTATAACTTAGAATGGACAGAGTTAAGGGAAACAACCAAGGGATGGTGAAGCAACATAAGACTATCAACAGAGGAGAACCATTGCATTTTCTTGACCTGAAAGGATAAATTGACAGATGATTGTTGGACCTGTGGCCGTTGGACAGGGAAGTCCCCAAACAACTGGCTATATAGAATTCTGGTGGACAACTTTTCTTTCAAAGATGTATTTCTTTAAATGTATGTTCCAATGTCTTGTGACGTCTATTGTCTTTAATAAAAGTCAGCCATAATTTATATCATTGTGCCCTATTTATGGTGTGCCTTTTGTTTCTGGCTATTTTCAGCAAACTAAGCCTGGCCTAGATTTGATTATCTTTATATTTATTCTGCATGGAGTTCACTGATCTTATTGGATTCATTGATTAATAGAGTGCTTTCCCCCACCCCCTTTGAGAATTTTTCAACCATTATTTCTTCATATATTTTTCTATACTATTATTTCTTTTCTGCCCTTTGGAATTCCAATTACATATATGTTGGATTTCTAGCTGTGTGCCACATGTCCCTGGATCTTTGTTGATTTTATTTTTGTCCTCCTCTGTCCTTGAGTTTTTGTTTTTAAATTCACAGTCTTTCTTCTGCAATCCTTAGTATGTCTTTTAAGCCCATCCAATAAATATTTCATTTCAATTATTGCACTTTTTATTTCTAGAATTTCCATTTGCTTTTCTTAATAGTTTTCATTTATATTAATCTGCTTCTTATTATCTCTATCTTTTCCTTTAAACCTTTAAACATGATTTCTGAGTCCTTTGTAAATCCCATCTAAATTGTCTTCAAGGTGTGTGTGTGTGTGTGTGTGTGTGTGTGTGTGTGTGTGTGTGTGTTTCATTATGGATCATACTTCCCTGCTTCTCTGCATGCTTTGTAATTTTTTTATCATATGGTTATATGAAATAATTCTGTCTCTCTCCCTCCACTGTCTCTAAAAATCAATGTTGCAATTGTGAAATTGTGAAAGATATGAGGATGGTGCAATTGTGAAAGATATGTTATAGGAGTCTATATTATTTTTATATTATATTTTAAACTTACGTTGAATTTTGTTCTGGTAGGCAGCTAAATTGCTGGTAGGTGATTCTGCATCTTCCAGGCTGGTTTTATTTATTTGTTTGTTTGTTTGTTTTGTAGGGCCAATTTATTTTCATTTTGCCTTAGTACTAGGTCATGGCCTTGACTCTTAGATGTGGTTCTTATGCCTAAAGTGCAGCTTTTCTAGTGTCACGATGAAATGTCTGAGGAGCTTAGTGAAATATTTCCACTCTAGGTATGTTGTAATTCCAGTATATTCTGAAATTGTATATCCTCTATTATCTCACCCCTAATGGCACTCTTTCCTACCTTGCTTATTCTCATCCTCTGCTTACACAGCCAAGCCCTCAGCAGAGGACTCGGGGGAAAAACCATATATACTGTTGTGACCCTCCCTCTATGTAACTGTCTTTTCTCTGTGCCCTACCTCACAAATCCTAGCAGCCCCGAGCAACAATCTTGCCTCCTCAGCCCAGCAAGACTGTTACACGCTTCATAAATGCCTCCTTCCTGAGGTGTGGTTAGAAAGTATTCATAGGAAGAAAGCCAAGGGTAAGCATGGGCTTACTTGGTGTATTTATCTTTTTTTCAAGAATCCTATATAGTTCTGGTCTATGTGTTGTTCAAAAATATGGGAAAAAAAAATTGGCTCATATTTTTTGTCCAGTTTTGTAGTCATTCATAGTAAAAGGTCAAGTTCAGAATTATTTCATATAACCAGAAGCAGAATGAGTATTTTAATGTGAGTAGCATATGAGTCTATTTTAGGCATTGTTTTTCTTATCTAAGTATTCTTAAATTTTCTTGCTTCAACATAAATCTATATATTGGTATGAAATTTTTTTACAAATTAAAATTCTTAGTGACCACTTAATACTATAGCTGCTAGCTCTATGCAGAATAGCCTATACTTTAGGCATGGCTTAATATCTTTATGGCCTGTTTCTCTCATCAGCTTACAAAGAGCCGTGTTTTGTGTATTCTCGCGTTGGAGGCAACCGAACAGCCCTGAAGCAGCCAGTGGATGATTGTGACAGCACTCTGATGTTTGAAGCAAGGTTTGAGAGTGGTAATCTACAGAAGGTAGTCAAAGTGTAGGTTTTAATTATGTTTATTTGAGGAGCTAGACCATCAACTGTTTATTAGTTTCTGTATTTTGTACATTAAAATGTTAGTATTCATCACTGAACTTAACTCCTTGAAGTATAGATGATAGAGATTATCTTGGTGGGGGTATATGAAAGATTCAAATAATTTTGAAAATTATGACAAAGTAAGCAGATTTCTGCATTTTCAGTATGCCAATATGAATTCTCTCTCTCTCTCTCTCTCTCTCTCTCTCTCTCTCTCTCACACACACACACACACACACACACACACACACACACACATAGTGCATGGTGCTAAGGAACAGAAATTACTTGGTAAAGAAAAAAGTCACAACTAACCAAGTAAGTTTGATATATGTATATATTATAAATAATACACAGTAAGTTATTTTAGCCTTTATATAAGTACTAGAGGCCCAGTGCATGAAAATTTATGCACTGGAGGGGGGTTACCTCAGCCTGGCCTGCCCCTTCTCATAGTTTGGGAGCCCTCAGGGGCAGGAGGCAACCTGGTGATCAGGGTAAGGCGATGCTCCCTCATACCTCTGCTGCTGCCACTGCCAGCAGCACAAGCCTCTGCTGGTCCTGGTTACCTGAGCCTCGAGTGGCTGTGGATGGCTGGGCAGCCGCCATCCAAGGCTTGCCTGTGCCTCGGGCCAGGTTGGGCAGCTGCAGGGCTGAGGAGACTGGGGGACTCCAGCGGCAGGCATGCAGAGTGGCTGGGCCTGCTTGGTGCCAGGCCCAGCCTTACTGTGCACCGGCCAACCCAGTGGGGCTGAGGGGACTGGGCACCACCATCTTGTGGCTGTGGGTCCTGCCATCTTTGAGGATGGTGCAATCAATTAGCATATTCCCTCCTTATTGGCTGTGGGCACCACCATCTTTGAGGGCAGGGCCATGATTAGCATATTCCCTCTTTATTAGATGGGATTCTGAATGACTCCGTATGGGAGATACAAATAGTGATAAGATATCATTCTCAAAGTATAATTTTATAATCTGTTGGTCATATTAATGTCTACTTATTTTTAAATATTCTCAATAATAGTTATATCAGATCCCTAGAATTGGAATCTAATAGAAAACAAATATATATCTGAAGTAAAAAAGAAACATTGTACTTTAACTCAGTTTTAAGAACTCTAATCATTTTTTATAGGAAACATAATTGGAGTGAAAATGTAATTTTTATCAAATCTCATTTTATGTTCTCTCTTCAGTAATAATAAAAAAGGCTTTACAATAACGCATAGAAACAATTTCATATCCAATAAAAGGAAATTTCAAAACTTTTTTTTTTAATATTTTATTGATTTTTTACAGAGAGGAAGGGAGAGAGAGAGAGCCAGAAATGTCGATGAGAGAAACATCGACCAGCCGCCTCTTGCACATCCCGCACTGGGGATGTGCCCGCAGCCAACGTACATGCCCTTGACCGGAATCGAACCCAGGACCTTTCAGTCTGCAGACCGACGCTCTACCACTGAGCCAAACCGGTTTTGGTGGAAATTTCAAAACTTTTATCTTTTTCAATTAATTACCTGCTATTTAGAATATTGCTTAAATAAACATTGTCCAACCACCAGACCCCAAAAAAACTTTTTGTGAATATATAAAAATAATTTTCCTTATTTATTTAAAACCAAATGTCATTTTTACATTTTTATGTGCTTTTCCCCCTTTCTTTCTTATGTATTAGGGCAGAATATGAATACCAGTTGACTGTGCGCCCTGACCTCTTCACAAATAAGCACACCCAGTGGTACTATTTCCAAGTCACTAATACCCAAGCAGAAATAGCCTACAGATTCACTATTATCAATTTTACCAAGCCTGCTAGTCTTTACAACCGGGGTATGCGCCCACTGTTTTATTCTGAAAAAGAGGCCAAAACTAATAACATTGGCTGGAGGAGAATAGGAGAGCAAATCAAGTATTACAGGAACAACCCCGGGCAAGATGGGCGCCATTATTTCTCTCTCACGTGGACCTTTCAGTTTCCACACAGCAACGATACCTGCTACTTTGCTCACTGCTATCCGTACACGTACACCAACCTGCAAGAATACCTTTCTAGCATCAACAACGACCCAGTACGGTCCAAGTTCTGTAAAATACGTGTCTTGTGCCACACAATCGCTAGGAACATGGTGTACATTTTAACGATCACTACCCCCTTGAAGAACGCTGACTCGAGAAAACGAAAAGCCGTGATTTTGACGGCAAGGGTCCATCCGGGAGAAACCAACAGCTCGTGGATCATGAAAGGCTTCCTGGACTTTATCTTAGGCAGCTCACGGGACGCGCAGCTGCTTCGGGACACTTTCATCTTCAAGGTGGTGCCCATGCTGAATCCCGATGGCGTGATTGTAGGAAACTACCGGTGTTCCTTAGCTGGACGGGACTTAAACCGTAACTACACCTCTCTCCTCAAGGAATCGTTCCCTTCCGTTTGGTATACCCGGAACATGATCCACAGGTAAAATGAGCCTCAAATTGCCTCTCTGCTTATTTAGTAACCCTGGGAGTAAGAATTTTGGTCTCACAATCCCACTCATGTTAACTCTCCATTTTCCTCAGATAGTTTGATTATACCTACTTAATTTTCCCCCCATTCTTCCTAACTCGGCTCCTGTGCCTTTCTGGCATTGTGCCACTGGATTCACTAACCTTTCATTAAATAATGATCCCGACTCTAGGACATTATAATGGCTCCGTGAAACAAATGGTTTGCATATCCCATATTTGATTTCTTGCTAAAGCTGATGGTAGCATCGATGTTTACTTTGGGATCCTTGAATACCTTATATGTGGAAATTAATTACATCTCATAAAGCCTTCTGGCACTATGTTGATCATATATTGCTCTATGATGAGTCTTTTGATTAACAGGTTACATAGTAATTTAAAATTTTCATAAATACTATTCTTATTTGTTCCTTGAAAAATTGGACAGCTTTAAATTTTCCTAAGAATTCAGAATAGTAAAATCCCTATAATATTTAAAATTTTTGTTGAAAGACTAGTTAAGTGTATGGAGCTGGAGTTAAACATATCAGATTTGAATCCCTGTTATATCACTTGCTGTGTGACCTTGAGCAATTTAAAAATAAATCTATCCTTAGCTGGTTTGGTTTAGTGGATAGAGCGTCGGCCTGCAGACTGAAGGATCCTGGGTTCGGGCATGTGTCTCAGTTGCAGGCTTCTTCCCAGCTTGGGCCCTGGTCAGGGCACATGGAAGAGGCAGCCAATTGATGTGTTCCTCTCACATCGATATTTCTCTCTGTCTTTCCCTTCTCTTTCACTCTCTCTAAGAAATCAATGGAAAAAATATCCTCGGGTGAGGATTCAAAAACAAATCTAAACCTCATTTTTATCATCTATAAAAGGGGAACAATAGTACTTACCTCATAGATGGGAGGATTAAATTATTGTTACTAAAGTACCCGGAATAAAATCTGGAACATCGGAAGCTTTAAATGTATTCAGTGTTTCCTCTAATATAAAAAAAGAAAAAAGTTGTTTAAAAATATTGAAAATTAGAGATTTTAATATAAGGTATTAAAATATCTGTAAGAAAAATTGTCAAAGTGTTTCTAAAATGGTGTAAAGGAATATAAGATGAGACCCTAAAATCTTGTTTTACTTCAGAAGTAATAACATTTCTTTGGGAATTAATTACTTAGAAGTAAAGGTTTCTTTTGACTCACGAGAAACAGAAAGACCACTAAAATTGAGAAAATGTGGGTTTAAAAATGTACAGCCGATTTCATATTTAAGGAGCTCATACGATAATCTTGTTTTATAATCTAGTTAGTTCTCTAAAAACTTGAAATGTTGTTCAGTGACTTTATGTCAATCTGTTATTAGAATTTTGGGCACCAAATGAGAAAGGGGCAATAAGTTAATACATGTAACTGACTTCGATATGAAATTTCACTCTAGTTTAAAAATATATTTTATTGATTTTTTACAGAGAGGAAGGGAGAGATATAGAGAGCTAGAAACGTCGATGAGAGAGAAACATCGACCTCTTGCACACCCCCCACTGGGGATGTGCCCAAAACTCGGGTACATACCCTTGACTGGAATCGAACCTGGGACCTTTCAGTCCGCAGAGCCAAACCGGTTTCGGCAAATTTCACTCTAGTTTAAAGGATATTGTTTCTAATACAAGCTATGCTTTAAAAGTTTTGACTTTAGGTTTTAGTATTTTTGTTATAAAAGTACAGTAGTTTATCATCCACAATTTCACTTCCATAGTTGTTTCCCATAGTCAGCTGCAGTCTGAAAGTATTAAACGGAAAAATTCCAGAAATAAACAATTCATAAGTTTTAAATTACATACGATTCTGCATAGCATGATGAAATCTCGCCTTGTACCATCTGGGACATGAATGACCCCTTTGTCCGGTGCATCCATGTTGTATATGTTACCCTCCTGTAATGCATTTAGTAGCCATCTCATTATCACATTGCCAGAGAGATGCCGTAAAGTGTATGCATATGTAGGAAATATATATATATATATATATATATATATATATATATATATATATATATATATATATATATATTACTATCCGAAGTTTCAGGCATCCACTGGGTCTTGGAATATATCCCCTGCAGCTAAGGGGGAGATTGCTGTAAAACATTTCATATTACTATAAAAACCATTACTAACCTTTTGGTATTTAACCTTCCAGATATAGCAAATAATATAAATTTTTTATTACTTAAGTAATATAATAATGTTATATAAAGTTTAGAATTGTGGGTAAAAAGACGGCCCAGCCGACGTGGCTCAGTGGTTGAGTGTTGACCTATGAACCAGAAGGTCACAGTTCAGATTCTCGGTCACGGTACATACTCAGTTAGTTGCAGGCTCCATCGCCAGGTTGGGGTGTGCAGGAGACAGCCGATCAGTGATTCTCTCTCATCACTGATATTTCTTTCTCTCCCTTCCTCTCTGAAATCAATAAAAAATATTTTTATTTAAAAAGAAAGAAAAGGCCAAAATGCCCATAATTCTATCACCTTCACAAGCACCACTTTTTTCCCTTTTGAAAACCAACATCAATCAGTTGGGGGAGGAGGGGCTTATTTTTTTATTACTTTAATATTTATTGAATGCCTAAATTATACAAGCTAAGGATTATGCTCTTAATAATAACTAATAATTTTCTTAAATTTACCAGAAAAAAAGTCAATTCAAACTTTAAGACCATTTTTCTCAAAATGATATATACTCACATTAATCAAGGATTAATTCATTGGCTTCAGCACCAAATCATAGACACTCTACTTTTAACAAATATTTTGGGTATTTGTGTGCATAGCATTATTCTGGATGACTTAAAGCATTCCCTGCCCTTAACAAGATTCAATATCAAAAATATGAAAACTTTCCTCCATAGTGCCAAGTAAATGGTATCAATATTAAGGGCTATAGGAGTTCAGAAAAAGGACAGCTCTATAGCCTCGACTAGTTAGAGAGGAAATGAGACATGAGGTCAGTTTTGGGGAAGAGGGGTAATATCTGCATTTACAAAGATGAAGAAAGAAGATATTCCAGTCAGAAATATCTATGTGAGAGTTAATGGAGAAAGATGGCAGAGAACTTTTTTCTGTGTACAACAAAAAGTCAGAATTACCAAATTCTGTTGGAAAAAGCGTTGAGAGTAAGGTAAATTTTGTCCTTTTATAATGGAAGGCATTTTGTGTTTTATATATGGTTAATGGGGAATTATTTCAGACATTTAAAAATTGTATATTAATAATATGCAGTATAGATAAGAGAAATTGAAAACTAGTATGTAGGAAATTCTATTCATTTGGATGTTAGACTTATAAATTTGTAGTTATACCCATGAAAGAAAAATGCAGAAGTAAAATTTAGTAACTTACCCTTTTCTTCTCGGTAGATTGATGGAGAAGCGAGAGGTCATTTTATATTGTGACCTTCATGGCCATAGCAGGAAAGAGAACATCTTCATGTATGGCTGTGGCGGAAGTGCTAAGTGTAAAGCATTATACTTACAGCAACGAATCTTCCCACTTATGATGAGCAAAAATTGTCCAGATAAAGTAAGCACTTTTTAAGATTTTAACTTTTCTTTTACTAAACAAATGTCCACATGAGACAGCAAAATGGAAAATCTTATTCAGTAAATTGATTTTTTTATTATTTTGCCTGGTTTTACAGTTGTCCATAAGAAAGCAACTATGGCCGCAACTGGTTTGGCTCAGTGGATAGAGCGTCAGCCTGTGGACTGAAGGGTCCCAGGTTCGATTCCGGTCAAGGGCATGTACCTTGGTTGCGGGCACATCCCCAGTTGGGAGCGTGCAGGAGGCGGCTGGTTGATGTTTCTCTCTCATCAATGTTTCTGACTCTCTATCCCTCTCCCTTCCTCTCTGTGAAAAATAAATAAAATATATTTTTTTAAAAAGCAACTATGTAGTTTGTTTAGCAGCCAGTAATTTGAAATATGAAGAAGAAAATACCCATTATCCTGCCATTGTACTTAATGGTAAAAAAAAAAAAAACAACAAAAAATGCACCTGATTGTTTTCCTCCTAAAGTCAAGAACAGGCAAGGATTATTCACTATTACCCCTTCAATTTGCCTTTTCCTAGAGGTTCTAACAAGTGTAATAAGGTAAGAAAAAGAAATAAAAGGCAGACAGATTAGGAAGAAAGAAATAATAAAGATGACATGGTGGTCTTCATAGAAAATCCAAAGCAATCCATAAAAAACAAGTGACATTTAGTAATGTCTTAGGATACACAGTCAACCCACAAAAAACAATTTAATTTCTATATACTCACAATTAGAAACTAACATTACAAACAATACCATTTACTGTACTCCAAAAGAAATTAAATACTTGTGACTGCAAAGGGATAGCATAAAGAAGTGTTTTAGAAGTGGTGGGGTTATTTTCTATGCTGATCATGATACCGGTTACACAAATCTACACGCGTTAAAAATTAATAGAATGGAACACAAAAAGTCATTTATTATATATTAATTTAAAATAAAATGACAAAAACTTTGTAGATAAGATATGTTTTTCGGGCAGCTTTCAAATGATCTTTCATATGAAAATAAAGCATCTCTATTCTGAAAATTTATAACATTAATCTTCACTCCTAAATATGTTTAAGCCCCTTCTATAATTTTTAGTTGTATAAGATCTTATTCCATCAGTATCAAGAATTATTCAACTGGTTTTGACTATATATGCTATGTATAGCTAGAAAGTAAAATTTATTGCTAGAATTTAAGTCTGCAGTCCTTAGAAATGTAAATACATCATTTCGATATATTTGAATTACATATGAGTTATTTCCATTGGTCAGGAAACAAAAGCAGCTCCTGAAGTATTAGAGAGAATTACTGCTTTTGCACAACTACTTTTCCATTTTCAATCCTACTTCCTAAGAAAGACATTGTTATAAAAAAGATGGGTCTCGTTCATTTGCTTCTTTCCAGTTTTCATTCTCAGCTTGCAAGTTTAATGTTCAGAGGAGCAAAGAAGGAACAGGAAGGGTGGTGATGTGGAAAATGGGAATCAGAAACAGCTTTACCATGGAGGCCACTTTTTGTGGATCTACTCTGGGTAAGACCAAGTGTTCTCATTCATGGCTCTCAGAGCTTTAAAATGGAGACATTTTTAATGTAAGATTAATAGAGTAGATAGTTTAATAGTGAGCATTTTCTTCCCATTTAGATGCCTACTCATATCTAATCAATTCTATTAATTGGGATGAATAAACTCTCACTATATATACCTCTATTTCATCATTTCCCTTTGTAAGAACAGGACATTTTAGCATGCAAATAGAATACCTAATTGGTTGTTTCATGAGTTAAATCTTAATTGCTTGGTTGTTGTTGTTTTTACAGGTGACTAATGATTTTAGAAAAACATGTTCATACTTAAAATATCAAGATAGAACTGTTTTAGTGGATTTATTATTTGTAAAGCAAATAGACTATTTGTAAGGCAAATAGTTGGTTTGTTTGTTTGTTGGTCAATTTATGTTTTAATGGAAGCACTTGATTCCTTGAACTAAAAATAAGAATGTTCTGTAATTCTACTTAAGAAATCTTTTAGTCACATCTATCATGTCCTTACAATACTCCATATTAAGATAATTGTCACATTTTTAGAAAATGTATCAATTCAAAAGAAAGCTGAACATCTACACATAATTTTTAGAAGCATCTTGAAACTGATAAAATATTATAGATGATGAAAACATTGAAATCATTACCCAGGTTTTTCTTTAAATGATAATTAGATTGTTTATAACTGGTAACCAAGTATTCCATAACTTTCTTATTGAATTTTATTCTGCCTTACAAGATAGATGATCCATGTTAAGTCACCTTTTGTCCATGGTGGAGGGGGAATGAAGGAAAGCAATTAGCTGTTAAACGACATGCCCCCAGAAAAGAAAATCCAAAGGACAGGATATAAAATCATATCAGATGTTTTGCTTATGCTTTGTTTTACAACTTAGACCTACCTGCTAAGGAAAAGTTAAGTCATCCTCAAGGGTAGATTAACTTATTGATGTTTTAGGTAATAAACGAGGCACTCATTTCAACACAAAAGATTTGGAGTCAATGGGGTATCATTTTTGTGATTCTCTCTTGGACTATTGTGATCCAGACCGAAGCAAGGTAAGCAAAGTCCGTTTGGTAACACTCCAGTCTATCCCATAACATAGCAACCTGCTTATGGGACTGTGGCAGCTTATTCCTTTTAATGTCCTAACAACAATGTTCAGGGCATTTTGATAGTTGATGTCCCAGTAGCTTTTGTTCTAGGATTCTATAAATATTCAATTAATTTAATTAGGAAATAAAGTTATTTTATTATTAACTCACTTATTATTTTCCCCTAGTATTATCAGTGTCTAAAAGAATTAGAAGAAATGCAGAAACATATAAACTTGGAAAAAGTCCTTGATGATTCAGATACTTCTTTGAAAGAAATTACATTGGAGTCTAGGTAAGTCAATATGGTGGAAGTAATGTAATTTGGTGTGCTGTTTTACTGTGCTATTTGTAATATTTCTAAGATATAATTTTATCAGTCTCAACTGAAAATACTGACTAAATGTGGAGGAAAATTTTTCCCATGCACATTACTTTGGCCAAACTTGATTTATTTATCTAGTCAACTAATATTAAATGAGCGCCTACTATGTATTATACATAAAAGACATATTCAAATTTTTTTTAAATTTGAATTATTTTATAGATTTTTTTACAGAGAGGAAGAGAGAGGGGTAGAGAGCTAGAAACATCGATGAGAAACATCGACCAGCTGCCTCTTGCACACCTCCCACTGGGGATGTGCCCGCAATCAATGCACATTCATGCCCTTGACCGCAATCAAACCTGGGACCTTTCAGTCCACAGACCGACACTCTACTGAGCCAAACCAGTTTCGGCTCAAATTGTTTTTAATGCTGTCATTACCCACAGAGAACTGACACATTTTAAAAGATGTCACATAAATACTCAAGTTAGTGAATAATAAGTGCAAAATTTAGTGCTAAGAGAATGGTTTTGGAAGAAAAGAGGTACTAATTTTAGTATAGTCCTAAAGAAAAAGCAGAATAAATGTTTGATTCTTCCCATTTATTTATAAATTTTCAGACTTTGAGTTAGTGCCCCTGTAACCTCCAGTGGTGACTAATAAGTTTATTTGCAGAAATAGAGTATCATTTTGAACTCAGGGATTTGTTTATATTTGTTTTGTTCCAATCAATTTCAGTCATTATTCTTCTAATAACCTAAGATGCCTAGAACTACCAAACATATACACCACCTTTGTAAACATTCTTCTCATAATTAGAACTATTTCTACCATTCCAGTAAAGTAATAAAGCAAAAGTAACTTTGCAATTTTAAAATGGCACCAAAACATTCTGTAAATTAAAATAATAATTTATTATTTTTTGTAGTAGCCGAGGCTCTGACAGTTCAGATTCGAATGAGTCTCAGAGTTATATTCTCAAGTTAACTTCTCAGGTATGATTGAAAACTTCTGCATATGGTATGTGTATGCTAAATAGGTACTCTTCTTATTTGACTAACAATCGGGGGTTGGGGGGAAGGTTACAGTTGTATGATTATTGTGTAGCCAAAATTGTGATTCTCTGATTATGTACCATATCTTTACATCATAGAATTCTCTAACCTTATGGTTTCTTAGCACTCTTATTTTATAGATGAAAACAGTTAATATCCAGAGAGATTAAATTCATTATCAAAAGCCCACCACTTGTTAATGGGAGTTGGTAGCATAGTATACATCACCTGACTGCTAGTCCAATATTTGCTTATTAACTATCATGTGTTGACTCCAGCTGTATGCTCTAGGGATAATACATTAAATAAAATAAGACAAAAATCTTTCCCTTTCATTGCTTATATTCTAGTTGGTGGATATACAAAATTAAATAAGTGAGATATATGACATATGAAATGATTAGTGTTTATGGAGAAGATTAGAGTGGAAGAGACCTTTGGTGGTGTTAAGTGCTAAATGTGTGTGCTCCCTACCAAGTATGCATGTTTAGACACTGATCCCAGGGTAATGCTATTAGGAGGTGACTAAGACAGCACTCTCTGGTCCTGAGAGTGCAGCGCTGCTGTAACAAATGCCTACAAATGGTGGTGGTGGCTTTGGAACTGGTTGATGGGTAGAGGCTGGAAGAGTTTTGAAGTGCATGTTAGAAAATGCTATTATCATGAAGGGATTTTAAAGATGATCTGGTGAGAGTTCAGAAAGAAAAGAGGGGAATTGTAGAGAATACATAAAGGATCGTATGCAGAATGTTGGTAGAAATGTGACTGTTAAGGGTGGTTCTGATGGGGTCTCAGGCAGAAATGAGGAACATGTGTTACTGGGACATGTTAGTGGAGAAAATGCAGTCCTTGCTATCAGCTGGCAGAGAACTTGGCCAAACTATATTTATGTTCTGGTGTTTTGTGGAAAGTAGAACTTGTGACTGATAAAAGTGGATATTTAGCTGAGAAGTGTTGGAGGAGTGGCTTGGTTCCTCCTGACTGCTTATAGTAAAATGTAAGAAGAGAGAAATGAATTGAGCAAGGAATTGCTAAGCAAAAAGGAACCAGAACATAAAGATTTAGAAAATTCTCTGCCTGTCCATATTGCGGAAGGAAGGAAGGAAGGAAGGAAGGAAGGAAGGAAGGAAGGAAGGAAGGAAGGAAGGAAGGAAGGAAGGAAGGAAGGAAGGAAGGAAGGAAGGAAGGAAGGAAAGAAAGAAGGGAGGGAGGGAGGGAGGGAGGGTGGGTGTGCTGCACCTTGGGAACCCTTGGGCTTGACACTTTTCCTCTCTGAGCTTCATTTCTGAATATATACTCATATACCATGGGGATTGTAATCTCTTCTCCACCTACCTCACTGGGTTGTCATGAGGAGGTTCTGAGCTAATAAACCCAGAAATGTTTCATCAAGTAAGTGATGTCTAAACGGGAAGGTATTGTTATTTTTAAGCCCACGGGTACCCTCGCAGGTGGCAGGTGCTGATTAGGGGAGGAGGGCATGATTGTTTCCTGGGACTGTAGCTATGGAAGCTTTGCAGAGAGTTCCCCAGGCCCTGGCCAGCAGCCCTGTAGTGGTGGTCGTCCCTGGAGGCACTGGCGGGGGGGAGGCGGAAAGGGGAGTAACTGTCAAACCTCCCCGCTTGGCGCCATTCTTTAAATTGTATGTGGCCATTTTACAGCTGTACCTGCTCAGAGCGGGGCTCCAATCTCCTGAAGCAGGGCCGGGGCCAGGCCAGGGTGGGGCCAGGTGGGCTAGGGCGGCGGGTTTGGCCGCAGCCTCCTGCGAGATTCAGGGCGCTTCGGCTGCAGAGACAGTGCTGCTGCTGTTGGCAAAGATGCATCTGACCCTGGGGGGCCCTCGGGCCTGCCTCCACCTGAGTCTGGAGTTATAGGGAGGAGAGGCATTCCTGGCCCCAGCGGAGCCACCCTTTCCCCCAATCCTCCCCCCCCCCCCCCAAGCAGCAAGGTACCTTGGGGGTGTTGATGGGTCATCGCCTGCGTGCTGTTGTTGTGGGTGACCCTGACCCTGGCAGGGGTGGCAAGGGAAGAGATCAGGAGTCAGAGGTGCGGGTTGCAGCTACCCCCTGTCCGGTCAGCTTCCCTGTCTCCCCAGGGGTGTCAGGCTGGGGTAGGGTGTCTGTTCAGGGGGATTGGAAGAGTTCCCAGTGGCTGCTTCCTCTGACTACTTTGCAGTCCTGGCTCCTGTCAGGCGCTCTCCTAGACCCCTGGGAACTTGGCTCCAGCCATCCCGCCCCCGCCCCACTTGGCAGCCCGCCTATCAGGAGGCTGCCAGGGCACCCTCCTTTGGGCAGTGCGGTCCTGGGGCAAGGGGTGGAAGTGTGGGGAGCAGCTCCAGTAAAATTTAGTAAATCCTGGGTTTGTGTTGATTTGGCTGCAGGGCTGTGGGGGAGTCTGCCTAGGATGAAATCTCGTGCCTCATGGCCCCACTGAATGGCTGTGATGTGCCAGCATCCCAGCTAATTTGCAAATTCCTCTATTAGATGGTCTGGCAGTAGATTTATAAATGTTTATAGTTGTTATATCTTGCCGTATTGAACCTTTTATTAATATTTAGTGTCTTTTGTCTCATAATATTTTTAAAGTTCATTTTGTCTGATATAAGTATCATCATCTCTGCTCTCTTTGGTTCCTATTTGCATGAAATATTTTTTCCATTCTTTCACTTTCAACTTGTTTGTATTTTGCATTTTTTTGAGTCTTTTATAGATAGCATATAATTGCATCATGTGTTTTATCCATTCTGTGAATATCTGTCTTTTGACTAGAAAGTTTAATCTATTTATAATTAAAATACTAATGCAAAGGGATTACTTCTCACACTCTGCTGTTTGTTTTCCATGTGTCTTACAGTATTTTGGTCACTCAGATCACATTATTGTCTCCAGCTGATTTTTTTTGTAGTGAAATGTTTAAATTTCTTTCTCATTTCCTTTTGTGTCTATTCTATAGGTGTTTTCTTTGTGCTCACTGTGGGGATTACATTTAATATCCTAAAGTAATAACATTCTAATTGTGACTTAGTCTGGCTTACCTTCAATAGTGTACAAAAATTCTGCTCTACAGCTGCAATCCCACCACTTTGGTTATCAATGTCAAAAATCACATATACACTGTGTGCCACTAATACTTTCTTTAATCGTATTAGTCTCTTAAATTATGTAGAAAACAAAATTCTAGGTGTGGCTCAGTTGTTGAATGATTGGGCATCAATCTATGAACCATTAGGAGACCATGCTTTGATTCCCAGGCAGGGCACATGCCTGGGTTGTGGGCTCCATCCCCTGTAGGGGGCATGCAGGAAGCAACCTATGAATGGCTCTCTCTCATCATTGATGTTTCTATCTCTCTCCCTCTTCCTTCCTCTCTAAAACCAATAAAAATATATTTAAAAAAAACAACAAGATTCTGACTTACAAACCAAAGTTACAGTAGTACTAGCTTTTACAATAATAATAATAGGGGTTTTTCTTTAAATGTTGGTCATTTACCATGTAGAAACAAGGTGCCATTTCAAACTATTGTTGCAATAACACTAGCTTTTATTATTGTACTTAATATATTGAGATCTTTAATTCTCCATATACCTTCAAGTTACTGACTAAAGGGGTCCATTTTCCCAAAAAGCCCAATAAGACACATACCTGAACTTGCAGCAAAGAAAGTAAGTTTATTTCAGGAAGTGGCCCTTGCCTGGAGACAGGTTAGCTAATGCCAAAAAACCTGGCTCCCTGGTGGCTTCCAAGGGGTGGGTTATAGAGGAGAGGGAAATTACTAATCATGATGAGTGAGGGAGTTAGGGTTGTGGTCTCTACTGATTGGTCAGTGATAGGGAAAGAGGTAGTTGATCAGTGCATCTGGCCCTGTTGTCATCCATGGCCCTTGCTTTGTCTGGTTTCACCAATTTTATGGGCCTTGAGCTGAAACCCAGTTATGGTCTAGATGTTATCTTTAGTTTGATAGAAACTCTGTCTCTGGGATTAACAGACCCATTTAGGATCATCAGACCTGAGGCTTTGTTCTTAAGATTATTTGAGGCTGGCCAGAACCTCAGTGTCCTCAGGGCTTAATGTTTAAGGGAGTGCTCCTGCAAAGGAGAGGGAGGCAGGTGAGTCAGGGTGCTGGGTGAGACCAGTTTGACTCGAAAGAAAGCAGAAAGAGTCATAGTAAAGAAATGAATTTTCTGCGAGGTTACGCTGACCAGTGTCTTTTCATTTCACCTTGCAGAACTCCATTGAAAATTTCTTGCAAGGCAGGTCTAGAGGTCATGAATGCCCTAAGCTTTTGTGTTTCTGGGAATGTCTTCATTTCTCCCCCATTTTTGAAGGACTTTTCTACCCAATATTGTTTGCCTTTAAGCACTGTGAATATATTTGCATATTGTCTTCTGGCAGTATGCCAATAAAAGTTTCTGATGAGAAATTTGCTAATGATCTTATTGAGAATCCCTTGAATGTAACCTCTCTTGCTGCTTTCAAGATTCTCTTTTAATCTTTGACTTTGAATGTTTGATTATGATGTGTCTTGATATGGGCTTTTTTATTGCAGATATGTTTTTAAAGTCTTTTAAATTTAAGTATAGTTGGTATACAATATTATATTACTTTCCAGTGTACAACACAGTGATTTGACATTTACATACCTTATAATGTCACAGTGAAAACCCATCATAGTATTATCTATACTAATAAAAGCATAATATGCTAATTAGACCGACATCCTTCTGGATGACGTTTCGGACTAAGCTGCGGCAGCAGGGGCCCCCAGCTGCCATAACGGGTGGAGGCCGAGGCCAAGGCATAGGTGGCCACAGCGATGGTGGGGACCAAGCCCCTTGCACGAATTTTGTGCATTGGGCCTCTAGTTGATTATATTCACCATCACCTTATTACCTCTCCCTCCAGCCCCCTTCCATCTGACAATTATCAGTTTGATCTCTTTTTATGAATCTATTTTTTCTTGTATGTTTGTGAAAGATTTGGAGTGGGCTGGAGTCATGCATCTATGGCATGAGGCTGTAATGTATCAAAAGGCTTTTATTTCAAGCGCCTGGGTGCAGATGGGCTGAGGCTGACAAAAAAGGAGTCAGTGGTGAATGAAGGGAGAGGCAGGTTTTTATTACTCTTTACTGGCTACAAGTTGGGTCTGATCTGACCATGATCCTCCCATGCCAGCTGTCTTCTGATTATCTGGGCTATGCTGTGCTCAAGGCTGCAAGCTTCCTGCAAGATATCTGCTAAGCACAATAAGTTTTCACTGCCCCATTTTATTCTCTTTTACCCTTTCAGTTTGTTCATTTGTTTGTGTTTTAGATCCCATATATAAATTAAATCTTATGATTAACTATCCGATTAACATCACTAAAATGATCATACTACCCAAACTAATCTACAGATTCAATGTGATCTTTATTAAAATACCAATGGCATTCTTCTCAGACCTAGCACAAATAATCCTAAAATTTATAGGGAATTGGTGTGGAATTTTTTATTTCTTCTTACTTGAAATTCATTAAGTATCTTGGATGTTTACATTCATGTCTTCCATCAAATTTAGGAAGTTTTCAGCCATTATTTCTTAACTAAGATTATTTGATGCTGGCCAGAACCTCATTGTCCTCAGGGCTTAATGATTAAGGGAGTGCAACCTGCACGGGAGAGGGAGGCAGGTGGGTCATGGGAATTACACAGGAAACTACTCAACGTCAAGGGAATTACACAGGAAACTACTCATGTTGCTTCCTCTGCTCCTCAGAACACTCACCAGTTTGCCTTCTTTTTTATACCTTTTAGAGCATCTTATATTTATTTTGTATATAATACCCAGTGTTTTTAGTTATACTTAGATAAAGGAATAGGAAAAGTACTTCTTACAAATGGAAGCCTCAAGATATTTTATGTCTTCATATATATTATGTTGAGGTTTTTTTTTAATTCATGTTTATTCTTTAATGTTTTTGTTAATTTTAGAGAGAGAGGAAGGGAGGGAGAGAGAAACATTGAGGTGAGAGAGAAACATTGATCAGCTAGCTGCCTCCTGCACGCTCCCCACTGGGGATTGAGCCCAAAACTTGGGAATGTTGATTTTAAATATGATTCTTTTACCTAGATAAAACCCAAGAAAAAACATCTGAGAACAAAGAAGGAAAGAAATTCTACCCTAGCAAGACATCAAAATGCCAGACAAGAGCGAGAGGTAAATAAAGTATCCATTGATCTGGTTCTTAGCAGCTTCGGGGGGGAAAAAAAAAAATGTTTGCAAGAGAATGGCAAGTTATTTTCTCTTACACTTCCCATACCCTAATTTTTCCTCAGGAAAATTTTCTCATCTTATTCACTGTTTATAAAAGCACAAAAGAACCTTGACAGATGAGAGGTGGGTGTGATATTTAAATTTGATTAAGGTGTGATATTTAAATTTGACTATGCTTACCTTACTCAGAAAAGTATTTGAGTCATCTGACAAAGATGCATCCAGGATAGCAAGAAATAAATTAAAATTAAGAAAAATTAAATGGGAATACAAACGTATAAATTAGATGGTGCGGGGAAGTTAGCTTCTACAATGGCAGAATGGGAGCTCTGCAGACCCATTCACTAGCAAAAGTGGGTGAGAAATATTAAAAACAAAACCAAAAGCAACCATTTAAGCAATGAGGTTCAAAGATTTCTTCCACAAAGAAGTAAAAAAGCAGGAGGCTGGTGTTGCCCCCGAGAGAAAGTAAATGAAAGCTGAAGGGTGTGGCATTCCCTAGTTCTTGGGGTGCAGCCCCTGGGTTCTGTTGTACTTTTCAGTTATACTGATGAGGTCATTGTTATTCCCAACTCTGAAAAATTTTATACTTTCATAGTTTTTATACTTTTCTACATTTGGAAGACTACACACCAAACTTACCATTGATTATCTCTAGCATATGGGAACACGTTCACTTTTCACTGCTTGCATCTCTGTTGTTTGGATTATACGATATGTTATTGTAATTTTCTTACAATTTGTAAGAAAATACCCCAAAAAAGAATATTCTTTCTAATGGATTCAGCTACTTATCAATGAAAAAGTTGAGCCTTTTGGTCAAGATTAAGGGAGGACTGGGGCATGAGTATTTCATGGGGACTGCTTCATTTTGGAAAAATGAAAGGGTTCTGGAGATGGGTGGTGGTATTGGTTGCACAGCGGTATTAAGTACTTAAGGACATTGAACACTACACTTAAAAATGGTTAAGATGCCGAAACTGGTTTGGCCCAGTGGTAGAGCTTCAGTCTGCGGACTGAAAGGTCCCAGGTTCGATTCCGATCAAGGGCATATACATTGGTTACGGGCACATCCCCAGTAGATGGTGTGCAGGAGGCAGCTGGTTGATGTTTCTCTGTCATCAACATTTCTAGCTCTCTATCTCTCTCCCTTCCTCTCTGTAAAATATCAATAAAATATATATTTTTTTAAAAATGGTTAAGATGGTAAGTTATATGTTTGATGTATTTTATCTCACACACACACACACAGAATATTAAGGGATGATTTAAACAGTGAATTTACACTGGCTGCTATGAGATTGAGCTAAAGATTAAAATCAAGCGCACACACACAATTAGGGAAAACACGCTCAATAATGGGGCATTTTAAACACACTGAGCATTTTATAACAAGTCTTTATTTGTTATGAACACCCTGCCTGTCATCCCAACATTCCTTTCCCCATCACAAGGAACATTCACACACTGATATACTATGTTACTGTTGGCAGAAATAATTCAATATAGATTTCTAAAACTAAAATAACATCAATAAAAATAATGCCTCTAGAAATGGCCCTAAGAACATATAGCAAATGAAAAAAACACACACACATATATTTATGAAAAAATACACCTTGGTTAAAAACCAACAGTGAAAGTCTATGGCGTTTGAATCAACATTCCTTGCTCCCCTCACCCTCTCCTCACCTTCCCCTCAATGAGTCTGAGACTCGGACTGTAGACCAGTGCAGCCCAGACACAGGGCCTCCTCTCCCCACAGATACCAGTCAGAGAGATGTCTTCCCGGGAAGGTTATCCTGACTCCAGTGCTGAAACTAAATTCCAGGTGAGTACAGCCCAGAAATGGCCGTCCCTCCTTCTACCCAGACCCCATTCATGAAAGAGGCTCTACTCTGGGTGCCACATCACAGAGAATATTTTTGGCCTAATCGCCCTTTGGCTCGTCGTGTGGTTTTTCCACACTGGAAAAAGCGAATTTAGAGAAGACCAGAAACTACTGCCCTCTTTCCACCTACAGCCCAGCTCCTAAAGTGAGGTACCACTGAGAGAAGGTCATTGTCCCCACTCCCAGATCCAGAGACACTTGGGTCAGAACCTTTGACTTGGGGGAGAACCGGATGAAATACAGCTCCTAATTTCTCTTCCAAACAAGTGACTTAATTTGCAACAGGACCTGGAGAAATTCAAGTTCCAGGGCATTCTCAAAATCAATACAAGTATGGTAAAAGGGATTGGGGGGTTCATTGGCAATATAGGCTAAGGAGTAAGCCAGATGATTTGCTAGAGAAAACTGGGGAAAGAGGCAGCTGGGAGGAGCCCACCTGAGGTCAGAACAAATCTCAAACACTGACCTCAGGAGCTATGCCTTCAAAGGAACACAAATTTGGATTGGCCTGCACAATAATATATGCCCCAGGGCATTGTTGAAAACTGTAAAGCTAATAGCCAAAATGAGTGGAACTTAATTGCTGGCTGTGGTCAGGGAAAGAGACCAAGACCACCCTGCCAAAACCACTACCATCCCAGGTGAATGTGGGCATATCCAAGTCCCCATCCCTGAGGAGCAAAATCAGGAGCTTAACACTGCAGGTGGCTAAGGGCTTCACTAAAATAATGCAGCCTGTCACCAGAGAAACAAATTTTCTAAAATGGTGTTAATGCAGTGTCATTTATAGAACCCAAATTAAGTTAGATGTGTTTGGGAGCTTGTTTTTTATTTTATTTATTTTTCTGTATGTAGATATTGTGAGACACATTTATTTAGTTCTCATAAACATGTCCACATAGTGGTTTTCCTCATAAATATCTGTGGGGCTTTTTTACCTTCCTTAATTGGAGCTTTTAAAATTGTTATGAAATTATAATCTACATTTAATGTTGGGTTTTCCAAATGGAAAACAATATCATCATTTGATCATTTCAGAATGTTGCATATATTCTAAATGTGTTCATAAATGAATGGGAGTTCTTAGTCATCGATCCTGAAATTTATTTTCTATTAAATTTTGACAAAAAGGCTGAAAAAAGTCATCTTACTGAAGTGAACATCTGAGGACTGCTCAAATTTATGCTCTTGATTTATTTATTTTTTAAAATATATTTTATTGATTTCTTTTACAGAAAGGAAGGGAAAGGGATAGAGAGTTATAAACATTGATGAGAGAGGTACATCAATCAGCTGCCTCCTGCACACCCCCTACTGGGGATGTGCCCACAACCAAGGTACATGCCCTTGACCGGAATCAAACCTGGGACCCCCCAGTCTGCAGGCCAATGCTCTATCCACTGAACCAAACCAGTTAGGGCAATTTATTTTAATGGTTTGCTTATAAGACATCAATGCATCCCAAAATAATAATAGTAAATTATTTTTAAAATTCTTTAGTTAACTTTATCTCCTACTAATGAATTTTGAAGACTTTTAGCACAAACAATTACAGATTTCTATGGTTAAAATTTGTAGATCATATTCATAAAGATATTAGCCTGGTGGTTTTCTATGGGATGAATGCAACAGTTTATTATGGTTCACAGCATCATTTTAATTCAGGAAGAGGGTGAAAAATGCAGAAATTTTTTTTTAATTATATTTTATTGATTTTTTTTACAGAGAGGAAGGGAGAGAGATAGAGAGCTAGAAACGTCTATGAGAGAGAAACATCGACCAGCTGCCTCTTGCACACCCCCTACCGGGGATGTGCCCGCAGCCAACGTACATGCCCCTGACCGGAATCGAACCCAAGACCTTTCAGTCCACAGACCAACACTCTATCACTGAGCCAAACCGGTTTCGGCAAGAAATTTAAGAGTTCATCAAGTCCTATAATGATTTTCTTCAGCCTAATTTTAACCCTATTTCTCCAAATTCTGGTGATAATGTAATACTAGAGGCCCAGTGCACAAATGCACTGGGGGAGGGGCAGGGGTTTCTCATCCGGGCCTGCGCCCTCTCGCAGTCCTAGAGCCCCGCGATTGGTTGCCCCAAAGAGGTAGGCCCTGCCCACCATCTGGGACTCTGCGATGGTTCGCCTCCCTGCAGAATGAGGTCCCACCCACCAACTGCAGCCCACCAGTCGATGGCCTGGGCCTCCCTCTGCAGAGTGATTGTGGGGCGATGGCTAGGCCCCTCCAACCAATCGCATCACATCTACCTTAGCTGGCCTGGCACCATTGGGTGTCATAGCGTGGTGGTCATGTGGGTGGTCATTCTGCTGTTCTGCCATTTATTCAATTTGCATATTACGCTTTTATTATATATACTAGTGGCCCGGTGCACAAAATTTGTGCACGGGGTCGGGGCGGGGGGTGTTCCTCAGCCCAGCCTGCACCATCTCCAATCTGGGACCCCTTGAAGGAGGTTCTACTGCCGGTTTACAGGGATCAGGCCTAACCCAGCAGTCAGACATAACTCCCACAATTTGGAACTTCTGGCTCCAGCTGCTCATCCCCAACCGCCCCCCTGCTGGCCTGCTCAGCTCCACCTTACCTCCCCACTGACCTGATCACCTCCAACTGACCCCCACTGACAGCCTGCTCACCCCCAATTGGCCCCCCTGCTGGTCTGCTTACCCTCAACTGCCCCTGCCATCCCATCCTGGCCTGATCATCCCCTGGTGAGACCCAAGGTCCCCGCCCCTCATTTTTTTTTTTTTCTTTCAGTACCTCTTTGAGTAGAGGCCAGGGCCAGCTGGAAGCAAATATCTAAGATTTATTTATCTTCTATAATTGAAACTTTGTGGCCTTGAGCGGAGGCCAGGGCAGGCAGGAAGCTTGGCTTCCTCCACCACTGGGGGCAACCCAAGCCTCCTGCTTACTCCAGCTCCATGGCTGGCTGACATCTTGGTTGAGTTAATGGCTTGTGGGTGTAGCAGAGTGATGGTTAATTTGCATAGTGTAGATAATATTGCTACTTTTCACTTTAAATTTTTATAGAATATTTCCCTTTTTCTTCCCTTCAATAATCTTTCAGTTTTTACATTTTCTCCCATTTTCATACTGATTGTGTAAAAATTTTTTGCTGCCAATCAATTTTATGTACAAAGGGTTTTTATTTCAGTTTTTAATTCTATTTCATCCCCCAGCTTTAAAAAATATATATTTATTGACTTCTCAGAGAGGAAAAGAGAGGGAGAAAGAAATAGAAACATAAATTATGAGAATCATTGATCAGATGCCACCTACATGCTCCCTACTGGGGATAGAGCCCACAACCCAGGCATATGTCCTGACTGGGAATCGAACCAGGCCCTCTTGGTTCATAGCCACACAGAGCCACATAGGCAGGCTGTACTCCATTTTTTATCATTAGTTGATAAGCATTACATCTTGGCAAAAATGTTTTCTTTTTCAGGCTCTCTGAAATGTCTTTATAATATCTGCATTGTTACAGAAGACTGGAAAAAAACAAGCCATGCTTAGAGAAAGGGAGTTACATTTTATTAAGGGCAGGGCCAGAGAAAAATGTGCCTTTCAAATTCTGGGGGCCCCCTCCACCCCACTATTTATACTTTTCCTAGCTCTTTTGTCTCCCAAATTTGAAATGAGACTTCCAGGTCTTCTGGGAAAGAAGGCCTATGTGCTGGAAAGGGGACATGAGGCCATATCTCAAGACCTGGCTTGGTGCCAGCACTGAAGACTCTGTCTGGGGCAGAGTCCACAGCCTCTCTGGAATGGGAGTAGTCTTATTTTCCTTATTATTTAAGCAAGCAAACGTTTACAGAAGCCAAAATATCAGGGTTAAAATTTCAAACTGCAGTTTTATATAAGATGGATGCTTCATTCCCCATTGGTTTTATGTCCATGAGTCAAATCATTGACTCTTTGGGTCATTGTTGGTGAGGGAGTTATATTGACCCATGAGGACTATAAGCTTAATTGAATTAATTCTCTGCTGAATAAAGTCATTGGGTCTGTTTATAAGATAAGGCCTGGAATTAGGGCCAGTACTAATCTTTAGAGGGTTCAGAGAGTCCTGGATTCTCTATTTTGCCTGGGCTGTCTTAAGCCAGGTGTGATGAAGCCATGTCGGAATTCCATCAACCTTGACTGCTGTAAGGACAGTTCTTTCCAGGTAGGAGTCAGTCCTTGTGTAGCAAATTTCTTTACCCAAACAGAGTCACCAGAGTGGAAGGATGGACAGAATCATAAGTTGGTATAGGCAGAGTACATTGGACATGCTTCTGGGTGAACTGTAAAGCCTATAAGAACTTGAGTAAAGACTGGTTATGGATTTTAGCTTTTCTAGATTAGGTTTCCATGTAAGCTGGTGAGGTGGGTAGTTCAGGGTTTGGAAGAGTCACTAGAATCTGTAGAGGCCCCACTGGTTTTAGGGCCGCCTCCTGGGCTGCTTCATCTGCAGCCTCCTTCCCTCTTGTTTCTGGGGAGTCCCCTTGTCTCACATAGGTGATGGAAAGACTTAATTACATCTGGTAGTGCTAGTTGGCCAATCGTTCTTCCTCTGCTTATATCTGTCTAGTTGCCTAATATATTACCTCAAGGATTCTGGCTCTGAATTTATTTTAGGGAAATTGGACACCAGTGGGCTCTTCTAGCTACTTCCTACTGAGGTAAAAGTAGGAAGTAGCTAGAAGTAGGAAGTAACTAGAAATCACAACTCCAACCTGGAAAGGACCCACCTCCACAGCAGTCAAGGTTGATGGAATTTCTATGTGGCTTCATCACAACTGGCTTAAGACAGCCCAGGCAAAATAGAGAGTCCAGGACTCTCTGGACCCTCTAAAGATTAGTCCTGGCCCTCGTTCTGGGCCTTATCTTATAAACAGGCCCACTGACTTTATTCAGCAGAGAATTACTTCTATCAAGCTTATAGTCCTCATGGGTCAATATAACTCCCTCACCAACAATGACCCAAAAGAGTCAATGATTTGACTCATGGACATAAATCAAATTACCCACCTCACTAGCTTACATGGAAATCCAATCTAGAAAAGCTAAAATCCATAACCAATCTTTACTCAAGTTCTTACAGGGTTTACAGTCCATCCAGAACGCAATCCAGAAGCATGTCCAAGGTACTCTGCTTATACCAATGATTTGACTCATGGACATAAAACCAATGGGGAATGAAGCATCCATCTTATATAAAACTGCTGTTTGAAATTTTAACCCTGATATTTTGGCTTCTGTAAACGTTTGCTTGCTTAAATAATAAGGAAAATAAAACTACTCCCATTCCAGAGAGGCTGTGGACTCTGCCCCAGACAGAGTCTTCAGTGCTGGCACCAAGCCAGGTCTTGAGATATGGCCTCATGTCCCCTTTCCAGCACATAGGCCTTCTTTCCCAGAAGACCCGGAAGTCCCATTCCAAATTTGGGAGACAAAAGAGCTAGGAAAAGAATAAATAGAAAAGGTTTCCTCCATCGGGGGTGGAGAGTAGGGGGTGCACCCAGAATTTGAAAGGCACATTTTCTCTGGCCTTAATAAAATGTAACTTTCTCTAAGCATGGCTTGATTTTTTTTCCAGTCTTCTGTAACGGCATAGCACAGAAACAAAAGTGTGATCACATTAAAAATGTTTTCATGGTTACATATGATCTATATGTAGACTACTCAATATTTGCAGTCACAATTCTACAGTGTTGTGTCTCTTTTAGTCCAGATAAAAAGCAATATCATGTATGTTCTTCCTTACTGGATTTCTTTGCAAGCTACGAGAAAATAATTTTCATCTTTTCTATATAAGCATAGCTTTGTAATTGTTTATATATTTTCATATAAGTTTATATATTTTCACCCATTACATAGTGTTATCTTCCTATATTTTTATTCTTCTCATTTCAGTGATATTATAAACTACATTGTTTGGCCTTTTATCATAAATAGGTTCCATATGCAGTGAAAATTTTTTAAACTCCCTTTAGTGCCAAAATATAATAATAAAAATATATAATATTATTTTCTTCTACTCATAGCTCTAGAAGAAAAGTAGTGTTGGGAAAGGTATTGGGAGGTTCTGATAAGAGATTATTGTACCCATTCTAAACCTATGAGGATAAAACAAGAAATGTTGAAAAGAACTCTTTCATAAATCACATAGGAAATATACCTCATTTTCATCTGTGTAACAGTATTGCTTTTGTTCTGGTTCTGTGTTCTATTAGGTTTGTGGTAGAGGATATTTAATGCCAGGATACAAAGAATCAAATTCTGATGTGAAAGGTAATGTTCTGCTTCTACCCTCTCTTAAGTGATAAATTTATTTACTCAACAAACACAGTTTGTCTGCCATAGCTTTGAGATTCCTGCTATTCTTGGAGCTTAGAGCTATCGGAAAGTGTACGACACCATTTCTTTCCCAGAAGCTCCTTTTTAATAGGGGGAGACTAACAAGCTGAGTTCTGCTTGCTTTGTAACCTGTTTTCGTTTAAAACTGCAGTATATCATTAACTTTGACCTTATTTATAACTTACTATCTGTGTATATTATCAATTATTTATTTATAATAGATAGGAATTGCTGCCCCAAAGGGTATGAATATTTTTTAGAGTTCTGCTATAAGTAGCAAAAATGCAAACAAAAAAAATCATAAGATTTGACAGCTGTGTTATTTTAACTGAACTAAACTACTATTGGCATATTATCTGCTAACATTTTCATGTGAAAAAGACAAAAATATGAAATGTAAGAGTCAATGAGTTGTTTTCATGCTACTAATGATCTTTTTTATCATCTAGATACAAGGCCAAATGTATCAGATGATCGTGTATTTGATTATTTCAAAAGACGGTTACCTAATCAAGGTTCGGGTGAGTAAAGTGAGAGTAGTATAAAAAGTAAAGACTTTATACTTACACCTATCAAGTATTATTTTCATAATGTGACAGCTAAATTATGTCTCCTCCATTCTCTTCTTCTTCGGTTTTGATTTGATATATTGGTCCATTGTATTAGTTCTTAAATGTATTCCTCCTAAACTAAGTCTTCTTAGATTCAACCTTTCATGATCTTGATTTTTATTATGTCACATTGTTGTACCGTATACATATGTGTATACATATATATTTTTGTGTATACATACACATGTGTATACATGCATCTCTATACATACATTTGACCTCTTATCAAAGCTTCAAACTCTTATATTCATCTGCTATACATATTCACATAAATGCCCCACGTATCCAAATTCAAATTCACCTAATTCTACTCTAAAAGCTGTTCCTCCTGTATTTTGTGTTCTCTCTAACTTTGGTAGCAGGACTGTCTCCATAATCACTAAACTAAACCCCGTTATCCTTTATCTCCTTTTGCTTCCTCCATCCCTCATATCCAGTTAGCCACTGAATCTACCTGAATTTATCCCATAATCCCTTTTCTCAATCTCCATTTCCTCATTCTTTTTTTAAAATATATATTTTTATTGATTTCAGAAAGGACAAGAAAGAAAAATAGAGATAGAAACATCAATGATTTGGAGAAAATCATTGATCAGCTGCCTCCTGCACACTGGGGATTGAGCCTGTAATCTGGGCATGAGCCAGCTCATAGGTCAGCGTACCACTGAGACACACTAGCCGGGCTCGGCTACCCTCATTCTTTTCAGACTCGTATGATCTATTTCCCAGGAGTGTTACAGATTTCTAATATTGTCATCTGAATTGCACCTTTCACGGGACCATAAAAGCCACCTCTTAATAAAACATGTAAACCTACCTAAACCCTTTCAGTAATTCCCAGTTTTCTAACACTGATTAAAGTTGGCACAGCCCTAAGACTTAAATATTTTTTAAGCTTTCTCTTTTAAATATTTTAAACTTTTCTTTTTAAATAATTTAGTACAAAGACCTATATTTATTTCCCTACCTATATATTTTTCCCCACTGCATTTTTATAGATATCATGCTTCTTTATCCCTGAACAACTCCAACATATATTTTCTAGGAATGTTCTCTTACATTAAAATTAGGAAATTCAACTTTGATACAATTTTCTATCATCCTACAGTCAAATTTTGCCAGATATACCAACAGTGTCTTTTAAGAGCAAAACTTCTCCCTGATTCAAGATCATGACTTGCATTTAATTGCCATATCCCTTTGTTCTCTTCTCATTTGGAACAGTTGCTTGAACTTTATTATTCACAGCACTGGCCTGTTTGAAGATCATGGGCCAGTTGTCTTGTAGAATGTCTAGTTTTAAAATTTTAGAGTACATAATGGTTACCTGAGGAGCTTACGCAAACAGCAGCTTTTCATTCGGAGTTGGTCTTTGTTGTCAACCTCGGATCATTCTGGGATTGGTGAGTCATCTTGCAGACCACACTTTGCTACTCACCACTTTGGGAGTTACATTGAGAGTTGGTGGGACACAACCCATCCAACCCTCATTCATCCTGAGTAGCTTTCATGTACAGTTTCCTTTAAATAATGTTCCATTACTTAAACAAAATGAAGAAAAATTTTTGACAGACCATTAGCTGCAACATAGAAACCAAGTTTTCAAATGTGACATATTGAATTCCGATGAACTGACCCCTGACTACCTCTCTAGTTTTATCTCTTGTAATTCTCTGCTTTCACTTGACACCTTAGCGAAGATGATCTTCCTGTAGTTTCAAAACACACGCGTCTCCTCACCTCCTTGCCTTTGCTCATGCTGTCTTCTCTGCCTGAAACATAACTCGCTCTCTCTTCATTTAAGGAATAGGTATCAAAGTTTAATAAGACTCATACTCAGTTCATCACAGTGAAAGGGAGATGGACTGAGTGATAGTAATATGCACACACACTGCTCTGGTTATTCAGAGGGCATCCTGATCCAGCCTGGAAACCTCACCTAATGTTTTCTTGGAAGAAATTGATCCTTAAATTATAATGAGTCTTAACTGACAAGTTAGGTGTTTAACAGGGGAGAGGAGAATCACTTCCTTGAATTCTTAAAAAAATTGTTAATGATTTTGTGATCTTATATGAAAACTAGAGACCCAGTGCGTGAAATTCATAAAAGGGTAAGGGGTCCCTCACCTGGCCTGCGGACTCTTGCAATCCAGGAACCCTCGGGGGATGTGTGACTAATGCTCAGGCCCGCTCCCCACAGTCAGACATCCTTAGTGTTGCCTCAGAGGTGGGAGAGGCTCCCAGCTGAGTGACGCTTCCCCTGTGGGAGTGCACTGACCACCAGGGGGCAGCTTTTGCGTTGAACGTCATAGCAACCAGTCGTTCTGCTGTTTGGTCTATTTGCATATTAGCCTTTTATTACATAGGATTTTTTTCTTACTTGGCATGCAGTGTGCCTGGAAGAGGTAACTCAATCAGAGCCCTTTGACTTTCGTCATCTCTTGCCAATATTTATTCTAGTCAGAAGAAAACTTCTTGATAGAAAAGACAGAAACAATTTAAAAGCTGAGGAATTCTGCTCTTTGTTACCCATTCACATTTTAAAATAATTCCAGCAGGACAAATCTAAAACATTCTTTGGTATATTTTCATTCTGAAAATAGATAAATAAAATTTATTTTTTGTTTTCAATATTCATATCTTAGCTCATTTGATATTTTAACCTTACTGACATTATTCTTCTATATCTAAGCCATTTTCTTATATTTAGTTTTGTTACGTAATCTCCTTTCACCTTCATTCATGTTCTTCTAAAAAATCACACAAGTAAGAGACCGGTTTGGCTCAATGGTTAGAGCGTCGGCTTGGTGACTGAAGGAACCCGGGTTCGATTCCGGTCAAGGGCATGTGCCTTGGTTGTGGGCATATCCCCAGTAGGGGGTGTGCAAGAGGCAGCTGATCGATGACTCTCTCTCATCGATGTTTCTAGCTTTCCATCTCTCTCCCTTCCTCTCTGTACAAAATCAATAAAATATATTTTTAAAAAAAAAATCACACAAGTAGAAGATGTGTGTTTATCTGCAGAGGTCTCATGTCATACTATGCAAAGATTGTGCTAGATACTGGTGTACAATGGGGAATAAAATATAGTCTGTTCTCAAGAAGCAGAGAGAATGAAAACAAGTAAACAGACAATAAAAATATAATGAGATAAATGCAACTTACTGTGCTATGGATTATGTAGGAGTTGTTTGAAGATAGAAGTTTCTCAAAAAGTTAATTGTTAGGACTTACAGGGGCCTAATAAATGGCATGTTTTTTTACTATGTTCTGAATCACTAATAATTAAAGGAGTTAGACAAACAAAATACTAGCAAACTAAATCTAACAAAATGTAAAAGGAATTATGCACAATGGTCAAGTAATACTTACTCAGAAATGAAAAGTTGGTTTAACATTTGAAAATTAAACAATGTAATGTAGTCAAGGTCAACTACAATCCTAAAATATTAAATGGAAATTCCAGAAATAAACAATAAGTTTTAAATCTCACGCTGTTCTGAGTTGTGTGATGAAGTCTGGCACCATCCCACTCCATCACACCTGGGATGTGAATTACCCTTTGTCCACATCCTCTCCTGTACACGTTCCCCACACATCAGATCAGCTCTGTGGTATCGCAGTGCTAGTGTTCAATCACCTTATTTTACTTAATAATCATCCCAAAGTGCCAGAGTAGTGGTGCTATTTGAATGCCAAAGAGAAGACATAAAGTGTTTCCTTTAAGTGAAAATGTGAGTACAGTACAATTAGATATTTTGAGAGAGAAAGATACCACATTCACATAACTGATTACAATACATTCTTGTAGTTGTTCTCTTTTATTAATATTTGTTCATTTTTCACTATGCCTAATTTATAAATTAAACTTTATCATAGGTATGTATGTATAGAGAAAAATATTATAGCCCTAGATGGTTTGGCTCAGTGGATAGAGTATCAGCCTGCAGACCTAAGGGTCCCGGGTTCGATTCCAGCCAAGGGCAAGGACCTTGGTTGCAGGCTACTCCCTGGCCTGTGGCCCTAGTCCAGGAGCATGCAAGAGGCAACCAATCTATGTGTTTCTCTCACATTGATGTTTCTCTCTGTCTTTCCCTCTCTCTTGCACTATTTCTAAAAGATCAATGGGAAAAGGATTAAAAATATAAACAAACAAACAGTATATGTAGGGTTTGGTACTATCTGCAGTTTCAGGCATCCACCGGGGGTCTGGGAACCTATCCCCCATGAATAATGAGGTATTGACTACTCTGCTGTTTCTCTAAAACTGATGACCTCTGAAGAGTCCATAAGGAGTATAGAAAAGGATGGATTAATTGCACCCGGGTTGTTTGATATTATGTGTCAATTATGACTAAAACTCATACAGAAAAAAAATTACATTTGTAGATAAATAAGACTGACTCAACCATCGACCCAGGAACCAAAAGGTCCCCAGTTAGGGCATATGCCCAGGTTTCAGGTTCGATCCCCAGTGTGGGGCATGCAGGAGGCAGTGATTCTCTCATCATTGATGTTTCTATCTCTCCCTCTCACTTTCTCTCTGAAATCAATAAAGAAATATTTTTCAAAAATAAAGTAAAAGGTCTTATATTTAGGTCTTAAGATAACAGAATATTATGGCTTATAAAATTTAAATATTTATACAGAGTTACATCTGTATCAAAGGAGACAGAAAAGTAAATATATTGTTATACTATTCTCATGTACACTCTTTGTTTAATTTATTTTATTAATCACTATAATTACCACTGTTAACTAGCTCCATTGTTTTGTTTAAAAGAATTTAGAAGCATTAAAGCAAAAAATAACAAATAATGTAATAGTTTAAATAAACACATATCTTATATTTTATGTTACAATTATAATAGATGTATATATGATGATTTATTACATTTTTACTGTTTTTTGGGTCTGGTATGGCTGTGTCCTAAGTTGGCTCTCTAAAAAGTTAGTTACCCTACTACACATGTGGATGTCCTTCTTACATCCTAATATTCATAGATTCAGTTCTCAATTTTTGTCAGTTTTTAGGTATTTCTACTGTTTGCTATTCTGTTGAAACACTTTAATTAAGAGGCTTCCAAGTGAAATATATACTAACATATTTCATATTTCTGAATGAGACAATAGTAGATTAATTGAAGATAAACTCAATTAAGTTAGCTGTTAAATATATGAATAAGATAATTGGCAAGAAAGTAAACTATTAAGTTTTGTTAATCTGATAATCTGAGTTTATAAATTTTTTGGTATATTTTCTTTTTTAGGGAAAATGCCTGGACAGACCCCTTCCTGGCTTCTAAAAAAATATTTGAGGTAGGAGAATCAGTATCTTACTTCTTCCTTTTCCTCTGTTTTACAAAGATTTTGATTTTGAATTAAAGCAATAGGTAAAAGTCACTTTTTGATAATAATTGCTAATCAGATGCCTCCTTATAACTATACTAGTGTCCTGGTATACGATTTGTGCACATTGAAAGGAAATTAATTAGAAGAAATATTTTAATGTTGTCATTCGCCCTTTCTCTATAATAGAAGCGCTAACCAAATTCACAATTGACAATGACAGATTGAAACACACATGTGCGATTGGCACCACTGAGAGCTTTATATGTATCACATATGCACGGGTCAACTTAGCCTTTTATATAGAGAGAATAAACTTGCTCAATTAGACCTTCTTTCTGATTTAGCTAAACTTTTTCCAGCCCAGTGAAGCATCCCACTTCTCTTTCACGCAATTGTCAGCAACAGAGCAATAAATATCAACACGAAGCAGATTATTATTGTAGATCACGCAGGGAGAACTAAGGTTAAAATATTTCACTGCAGCAGTGTTTGACTATATTCTGCGCAGTGAGAAAACCTGAAGTCGTTTTCAAAGTCCACCATTTTTACTGCTTTTCAGCCAGGTCAAGTTTCTAAACTTTCTAAATCTCTGTTTTCCGGCTAATGAAAAGAAAATAGGATTCCATCGAGTCTATCTACCTACTCCAGGACTTCTGTGAAGATCACATGAGATGAGGCATGGGAAAACACTTCATAGACATTTGGTTAAAGTAAAATGTTTGCACCTGGTTATAAAGCAAGTCATGTTCCTGGGCTGACAATTCCAAGGAGGCTAGTCTCTAGGGAGAGGAAGCAGGCGTTGCTACATGGCGTCATTACCCAGCGCCCACAGCAACCGTGTCCAGGCTGGGCTGGGCTGTGAGCACATTTTGTGCCATAGGGTCTTGGCAGCATCAGCTGTGATTTGTTGGGCTGTCGTTCTTGGATGGTGGTGAGACCTGTGTCTCACTTTGGGGAAGCCAAGTGTTGCTTTGTGGATGCCAGTTCCACAGTGCTCTATCTTTGTAAATGGCCAGTGCACGTCACAGCAGCTCCTGTGAGCATCGGCCCCCTGGTGGTCAGTGCATGTCATAGCAACTGATGGGACAGATAATTCGCATATTAGCCTTTTATATGTATAGATAGTATCTGTGACTAGGCCAGTTTATGGAATGCCCATATGATGCATTTTTGAAGGGTTCTGAGATTTCAGTATCCCCAAACTACCCTCAATGGATGACTTAAAATCTACACTTAGACATTTACTGGTATTTCTATGCATTTGTCATTATATGAGCTAAGTTTATCTTTTTACATAGAAATATTTTTGGCATAGGTAATTACTTTAGAATGAATAACTATCATTCATTTACTATCTGTACAATGAATTGGAGCACTGATCATGTAGGGATAATACTACTATCTAAAAACTGAGAAAGGAAAGACAGAAAGAGAAATTAGGGATAACAGAGATAACTTTGTAGTTGTGTCTATACCAGTAATTATTATAGCATTAGCTCCCTTGGCAAGTTTCCTGAGTCTTAGGAATATGAACAGCTATCTGAACGGGTAAATATTTGAGAACAGACTAACATTGGTATGCCCTTTCTTCCTTTCTTGGCCTCTCATCTAAGAACTTGGTTTCTTTTTTTAAAAAGACAAACTGGGTTCTGTTGAAATATGTAGGGTCTCCTACCCCAAAAATCAGTTAAGAAACCATCTTGGACATACCTATACTTTGATCTAGAATTGATGGACTTAAACTAAGACATAAATTTTAAAAATATATTATTTTTCATATCTTTGGAAAGAAATTCAATTATATATCAAGAAAAGAGAAAGTAATAGAAACAGTACTGAAGTGAAATGTGAATTCTAGACCTGTCCCTCCCTCAAACTGGCCATGTAATATTAAAAACAAGTAGCTTAATCTCTGGAATTCCTGACATTCTTTTACATTCCCTCTCCCAGGTAAGGTGGAAGATAACATTGACCATCCTATCCCCAGGATGAGAACCCCTGTAGGATAACATCTATAAGAATACTTTACATACTGTACATTGTAATATACAAATACAATAAGGATGACATTCCTCTTGATTAGATGGTTCACTGTTGACATTGAAATCAGAGTACCCAATTTCTTTCAGCTCCCAAAGTATGATTCAGAGGTTTAGCAAATACCAACAAAGACACTTTTCAGAAACCCGTAAGAGACCAATCCAGGAAGCAATTCATCCCAGGAGCACTGGTTTGAATAGAAACAGCTTCAGAGTGACATCCTTGAAGTGTACTGTGAGCAAGCCAACTTCCAGTTGGACAGAGAAGCCAAGGATACCAACAGAAGGTCTTTTTATTTTTATTTTTAGGATTTTAATAAATACAAGTATAGCTTTTACTGTATCATCATTAATAAATCCTATGAAATTAGAATTTAGGGGAATTGCTTTTGTAAACAGGAATAATGAATAGTCATTTTATTCCAGTCTCACTGAAAAATATTTGTCTTATTTAATTTCTATAGAAGTTGAATACAGAAGAAAATTATTTCAGTTTAATATAGCTTTGAAAAAGAGATCTATTTCATTGACTTATTCCCAATATCCTTGTGGATATTGTAAGTACTGCTGCCATATTCTTTAAAATGTCTACTAATCCTCCTTCATGCTCTACTCGGGGTTCTTTTTTCCCCTCTTCCTATATATTGAAATGTTTAATTGTGTTTAAATACACATAACATAAAATGTACCATCTTAACTATTCTTTTTTTTTAATATATTTTATTGATTTTTTACAGAGAGGAAGGGAGAGAGATAGAGAGCTAGAAACGTCGATGAGAGAGAAACATCGACCAGCTGCCTCTTGCGCACCCCCTACCAGAGATGTGCCCGCAACCAACGTACATGCCCTTGACCGGAATCGAACCTGGGACCTTTCAGTCCGCTCTACCACTGAGCCAAACTGGTTTCGGTCCATCTTAACTATTCTTAAGTATAAAGTTCAACAATGTTACACACATTCACATTGTTGTGCACATAATCTCCAGAATTTTTTTCATCTTGCAAAACTGAAATTCCATCCCCATTAAACAGCAACTCCCCATTTCTCCTTCCCCCAGCTATCCTGCTTTTAACTCTATGACCTTGGCTAGTTTATATAGATAGCTCATATCGATATTAATGGCACCAGCGATTTGGAAGAGGAGTACAGTCTTTTTCTTTTTTTAATGTTTTTTATTGATTTTAGAGAGAGAGGAAGGGAGAGGGATAGAGAGAGAGAGAAACATCAATGATAGAGAAACATCAATCGGTGGCCTCCTACACATTCCCCCTCTCCCCCAGTAAGGATTGAGCCTGGCATGTGACCTACCAACAGGGAATTAAACCAGTGATCTGGCTCACGGATCAGTGCTCAACCACTGAGCCACACCAGCCAGCCAGTCTTTGTCTTTTTGTTGCTACCTTAATGCAGGTGTCAGTTTCCTTTGTTTTTTAAGGATGAACAGTATTGCATTATGTGCATAAACCACATTTTGTTTATCCATTTATTCAGTGGGCACGTGGGTTGCTTCCACTTTTGGGCTACTGTGAGTAATGCTGCTGTGAACATGCCTGTACAAGTAAACTTTTGAGACTCTGCTTCCAATTTTGGGGGGCATTTACCCAGAAGGGGAATTGCTATCTCATAAAGTAGTTCTGTTTTTAATTGTTGAGGCACTACTGTACTGTTTTCCACAGCGGAAATGTACTATTTTACATTCCTACCAGCAGGGCATAAGGATTCTAATTTCTCCACAGCCTTGCCAATATTGGATTATTTTCCGGTTTTTTGGATAACAGCCATCTTAATGGGTGTGGAGTAGAATAAGTAATTTTTAACTAGATTTTATTTTTTAGAGCAGTTTGATAAACACTTTTTTAAAATATTATACTTTTATTATTACAATTAAGAAAATAAATATATCCTTTACATCATCTAACAAAGAAGAGATTTCTAACCTGCTCTTCCCATCATTTTCTTCATGTCTCTGCTCTTCCATGTTTTCAGATTAGAAGCTGTAGAGCCGCCCCTCGTTCTTCTTCTCTCCCCCCACATTGAATTTATTAGAAAAGCCCCACATATAACTAGGATCCTCTCACACACATTCCTCACCCTTCTGGCCATGGCCACCACCCTGGTCCAAGCCATCGCCTTCTCTCCTGGATTATTTCACTAACCGTCCAAGAGATAAGGTTGCTATTTCAATAACCTCCCTGCTTGTCCAACCTTGTCCCTGTTTAATATATTCTTACCTCAGCCACTAGCATGATCCTATTTAGACAAATATAACATATGACACTCCTCTGCTCAAAGCCTTGAAGTTACTCCCCATTTCACACTCAATAAAAATTAAAGTTCTTACAATGGCCTCTGAGGCCCTATGTAAATCGGGCCCAGGTTACATCCATGTACCTATCTGAGCTCTCTTCTCTTTCCCTACATTCATTCTCCATTAACCATTGTGCCATTGCTTGGTGTGTGTGTGTGTGTGTGTGTGTGTGTGTGTGTGTGTGTGTGTGAACACACTGCCGTACTCCCAGCTCAGGGTTTTGCACTTCCTATTCCCCTTGTCAAGAACACTCTTTCCTCTGAAAGCTGTTTGACTCGCTCCCTTACTCCTTTGACACATCACCATCACAGGGAGGCTGTCTCTGAACACCTTTTTAAAAATAGAAATCAACCTTTTCCTCAAGAATTTTGTTTTCTTCCCCAGCTTTACTCTATCCCATAAATTTCATCATTATCTAACATTACATATTTACTTGTTTGTTTGTTTGTTTGTTTTCTGCCCCTGTAATAAAAGAGTAATATGCAAATTAACCACCACTCCAATATGCCCACCAGCCAATCAGGAGTGCATATGCAAATTAACCCAATCAAGATGGCTGCGACTATGGAGAGAGCAGGAGGGAGACTTGGGTTTCCCCAGTGATGGAGGAAGCCAAGCTTTCCACACACCCTGGCTGGCTCAGGTCTCTGCTTAAAGCTACAAAGTTTCAATTATAGGAGATAAATCCAAACAAAAATGGCTGCAGCCATGGAGCTGGAGAGAGCAGAAGCTAGGGTTTCCCTCGGCGATGGAGGAGGCCAAGCTTTCCACCTGCCCTGCCAGCCTAGGTCTTCACTCCAGGCTTCAAAGTTTCAATTATAGAAGATAAATAAGTCCTAACAGAAATGGATGCAGCCTCGGAGCGGTCTGCTCCAGGCTACAAAGTTTCAAGTATAGAAAATAAATAAATCTCAGATACCAGGGCCTCTGCTTGGGTCACCAGGGGTGGGGGTAGGGAGAGAGGAGGAGGCAGGGGGGTATGGCTGGCCTGAAAACCATCACAGGCCCCTCACCCAGGCCACCCCACACACCAAGGGAACCCCTACCCTGATCTGGGACATCCTTCAGGGCAAACCAGCTGGCCCCCACCCATGCACCAGGCCTCTAGCCTATCTAATAAAAAGAGTAATTTCCAGATTAACCATCACTCCAGCATACATGATGGCTGCCCCCATATGGTCAAAGATCCTGCCCCCATGTGGACACAAGATAGCCGCCACAAGATGGCCAGCAGGGAAGGGCAGTTGTGAGGGACCAGGCCTGCAAAGGAGGGCAGTTGGGGGTGACCAGGCCTTCAGGGGAGGGCAGTTAGGGGTGACCAGGCTGGCAGAGGAGGGAAGTTGGATGCAAACAGGCTGGCAGGAGAGCAGTTAGACATCAGTCAGGCTGGCAGAGGAGTGGTTAAGGGCTGAGCAAGCTGGCACGCAGAAGCGGTTAGGGACAGCCAGGAAGGCAGGCAGGTGAGCAGTTGGGAACCAGCAGTCCTGGATTGTGAGAGGGATCTCAGATTGGAGAGGATGCAGGCTGGGCTGAGGGACACCCCCACCCCCCAATGCATGAATTTCATGCACTGGGCCTCTAAGAATAAGCTTCAGATAGAATTCTTGGTACATATGGCTCAATAAATACTTACTGAATCAATTCAATTTCTACATCTATGCATATTTTTGTGGTTGTCCCCCAGATCTGCATAACAACCTGAAAGGCAAAATGAGACAATCTGCATCTTTCCCAAGCAAGAAGACTGGTATAAATTGGACAGATGATGAAAAAAGCATCTACAGGGATAAAAAAATAGCTCAAACTGAAGAAATATTGCAATATTTGATCCCTATCATGGAAAGCACTACAAACGTGCGAACCAATCAGATAAAACGAATTTTCAGTCCTCGCAACAGCTTCCAAATCCAAAATCAAATGTAAGTCAATATAATTTTGTCATTATTAACTATTTTATACATTATTTTTTAAGGAAACAAAACTAATTCATCATCTTAAGAAAGAAACATGGGTGAGCAAGGCGGGGGGAAAAGGAGACACCCACAAATATGTCAACATTAAAAAGGTTTAATAAAAAATGAATAAACAAACATGTAAATAGAATGTTGGCAGGTACACCACATTGGACACAGGAACAAAGACCCAAAGCCATATGAAAATATTGGCTATGTGAGGGAATAAGTTATCTGGCCTTACTTGTTTATCACATGAAAACACTCATTAATTTGAATCTGTGAATAAAGTATTCATTAATAAAATATGAACATAGATTGACCTGAAATTTCTCAGATGGATTTAAACTAACAATCCTAGCCCTAGCCGGTTTGGCTCAGTGGATAAGAATGTCAGTCTATGGACTGAAGGTTCCCCAGTTTGATTCCGGTCAAGGCATGTACCTTGGTTGCGGGCACATCCCCATTATGTGCGGGAGGCAGCTGATAGATGTTTCTCTCTCATCGATGTTTCTAACTCTCAATCTCTCTCCCTTTTTCTCTGTAAAAAATCAAAAAAATATATTTTAAAAATAAAAAATAAACTAAAACTCCTAGGGGACAACTTGAGTTACTTTAGCTTATTCATACTCATAGGAAAACAAAAGTGATGAGACCAGACTTCTTTTAAAGATTAAAAATAAATAAAAAATGAAACTATATAAATAAAAGTAAGACAATGACAAGCTGAAAATAAGAAATATAATACTAATATTATCAACAAATTTTGAAAAACTGCTTTCTATATGCTAGACACAGTTCTGTGTTTACACATACATTTTACCTTCCACACATGAGGAAACTGAGGTACAAAGAAGTTAACTTATGTGTTCAAGGTCACACAGCTAGAAGGTAGCAGAATTGGAGTCAATCCAACTAGACAGAGACTTTTATCACAATGCTTTGACATTTCTTCTTATAATATACTTCATATTCAAAGACAGCCTACAAACCAATGACAAAATTATGAATATTTCAATAGGAAAATGGGCAAATTCTATGAACCAGAAATTTACCAAGAAAAAAAAAGACCTGACCAATGAACATTTTTAATTGTTCAATCTCACTTAAATTTAAAGAAGGCAAATTAAAACAATAATGAAATGCTATTTATTTTTGCCTCTCACTGGAAAGAATTAATTCACTAATTGTTGGAATGTAAACTTACAGAGTTTCTTGAAGACAGTCCAACAATATAAATGAAAAATCCTTAATATTTATTTTCATTTTAATAATAAATTCTACTTTTAGAAATTGATCCTAAAGACAAAATAAAAACTAGGTATAGGCAACAGGATTTCTGTAGTGATGTTCATTTCAGTATTGTTTATAAGAACCAAAGAAAAAAGAAACAATTTTGAAAAAGAATAATAAAGTAGAAAGCACCAATCTATCTAATTTCAACACCCTGTGCTGGTATATAGCCACTGCAATCAAGAGAGTAGTTTGGAAGAGGAACAGACATATATATCAGTGCAACGAAACAAAGAGCCCAGAAATAGACCCATACAAATGCTTAATGAATTTTAACAAAAGTGCAAAAGCAATTCAATAATGGAGAGATAGAAATTTCAATCAAGGTTGCTGGAACAATTAGATATTCATAGGCAAAAAAAAAAAAAGAAATTTGACCTAAACTCATCTCTTATACAAAAGTAATAATAATAATTGAAAATGGATCATGGATTTAACTGCACAACATAAATTTATAAAACTTCTAGAAAAAAATAGGAACTCTTTATAGAAATTGGGCAAAAAGTTATACTTTACACCAAAAGCATAATCCATAAAGAAAAGTAGATGTTAGACTTCATCAAAATAACAGTGTTTGCCCTTCAAAAGACACAGTTAAAAGGATAAAAACCTATAAATTGGGGGGGAAATATTTGCAAACCGCCTAAAAAGACTGGTATGTTGCCCGGCCAGCGTGGCTCAGTGATTGGGTGGTGACCAATGTTCCAGGAGGTCACAGTTCAATTCGAGGTCAGGGCACATGCCCAGGTTGTGGGCTCAGTCCCAAGTATGGTGTGTGGAGGAGGCAGCCAGTCAATGATTCTCTATCATCATTGATGTTTTTGTCTCTCTCTCTCCCTCTCCCTTCCTCTCTGAAATATATATATATATATATATATATATATATATATATATATATATATATAGAGAGAGAGAGAGAGAGAGAGAGAGAGGGGGGGGGGGGGAGACTGGTATCTAAATTAAAGAAGTCTCAAAATGTAACTATAAATATTTCATTCAGAAAATGAGCAAAATGTAGGAGGAACACATTTCACCAAACAGAGCATACAGATGGCATATAACCACATAAAAACATGTTCCACATCATGAACTATTAGGAAAATGCAAATTAAAGCTGCAATGAGAGAGCTGCACACTATCAGAATGGCTAAAATTAAAAAATAGGGTAACACTGTGCCAGGGCCTGCCTGGCAGGTTGAACCGGGCTGAGGTAGGGAGGTGGGAATTGAGAAAAGAAAGAGAGACAGGAAAGCGGGGTTGGGAGGACTACAGATCATTAAGGAACTGTAGCAAGTTTATTCACTGCGTAATGCTTTTTATACACAAGGCACTAATTAGGAGGTCTGGCCACAGGAATGTATCCTTTGTTCCTCTTAAATCTCTAAAGGAGAGATAGAACTGAAGGACAAATTCTTAGTACAGTAAATCTCAGTAAATAGTTACAGACTTCTTGGCAGGCCATGAAAGGTTGCTCTCATTCTACTGATAATCGCCATCCAAACAAGTCAGGGAAAAACTGTTTGGGTAGGGGGCCAGCCCTGCTAGCCCCCTCAGATGCAAGGACCTTGTCAGCTTATATCCCTGAATGCTGAGAAGGGTGCAAAGAAATTGGGTCACTCATACATTGCTGTGGGAATGTAAAGTGGCCCAGCCACTCTGGAAAACAGGTTTACAGTTTATTTAAGAACCCAATATCTATACTAATAAAAGCCTGAGTGGTTCTCACATGCAACATCGTCACCAGATGGCTGCCACAAGATGGCAACATGCACACTGAGGTGGGGCCCGGTGGCTGCTCCGCACAGTGAGGCCTGGGGGTCCCATGGTGTGGAGGAGACCCGTCCCAACGTCTCAGCTGCCTCCTGCGGCAGAGGCGGGCCCCAATGGAGGAGGCGGGTCCCAGTGGAGGAGGGCAGTTGGGCATCAATCAGGCCGGCAGGGGAGTGGTTAGGGGGTAATCAGGCTGGCAGGCAGGCGAGCAGTTAGGAGCCAGTGGTCCCAGATTGTGAGAGGGATGTCTGACTGCTTGTTTGCAGGATCGGGCCTAAACCGGCAGTCCGACATCCCCTGAGGGGTTCCAGATTGGAGAGGGTGCAGGCCGGGCTGAGGGACACACCCCTTCTCGGGCACAAATTTTGTGCCACAGGCCACTAGTATAACTATAATACCATATGACCCAGAAATTGCTCTTCTAGGCGTTAATCCCAGAGAAATGAAAACTTACATTCACACAAAAACCTGGGCACAGATGTTTATAGTAGCTTAATTTGTAATAGCCACAAACTGGGAGCATTCTGCATGTCCTCCAATGGAGGAATTAGTAACACTCTGTAGTACAGTCTGTCCATGGACTCGACTCAGCAAGAATAAGGAGTGAATGGCTGATACACAGAACAACCTGGATCAATTATTCAGAGGGTGGTGCTGGGTGAAAAAAAGCCAGCCCCAGAGGTTACACATGGTAGGATTCTGCTTATATAACATTCTTGAGATAAAGTTATATAATTCAGACAATAGGTTAATGACTGCCAGGAGTTAAGGAGGAGCTGGCCAAGGAGAAAAGTGGGGTGTGTTGATCAAAAGGGAACAGGAGGGAACTGTTCTGAACCTCAACAATGTCAATGGCTACTAGCATATCCTGATTATATTGTACTATTGTTTTTGCAAGATACTACATCTGGAGGAAACCGGGGGAAGGGTACATGGAACCTCTCTGTATTATTTCTTCTGTCAATGAGTCTGCAGTCATCTCAAAACGTTTTTTGGTTTCTTGTTTTGTTTTTTATTTCAGAGAGGAAGGGAGAAGGAGATATAGAAACATCAATAATGAGAGAATCATTGATCAGCTATTTCTTGCATGCCCCACACTGGGGGTCAAGCCTACAACTCGGGCAAGTGCCCTGACCAGAAATCAAACAGTGACCTCCTGGTTCATAGGTCGATGCTCAACCACTGAGCCATGCCAGCCAGGCTCAAAATTAATGTTTTAACTAAAAAAATAGTTGAGATTTTTTTGTGATGAAAAATGGGATTCTAAAGAAAGCTGAGGTATTTAAAGCAACTGCAACTTGTAAATTATAAAATCTCCTTCTCTCAAGGAAAACTCCCTTTTCTTGGATGTACAGTGATCTCTTTACTGACCATAGAGGAAACTTAGAGTGTGTATACTGAGCTCATTATAATAGAATAAACAGATTAGATTTGTGAAAAGTTAGAGGACATTTCCTTCCACTAAGTGTATAATAAGTAGCTGAGACCCTGAGTGCCCATTAATATACCAGGAAGCCTGGGGTCGGGGCAGGTTTCTGAGTAAACACAGCATCTGGGCATTTAGAAATACAGAATTGGAGGCATACCAGGGACATAGTGATAAAAGTCTTAAGGGAGGATGAACTCATCAAAGCAGGAAAAATAGACTTACACTATTACAAGTCCCTAGGATATAAGCCAGACAAAAACTCAGGCACTTCCTTTCTTTTCTAGGCTAAACTCAGCTCCTTATGTAAACTTAAAGAGATACAGCGCATCCTGGGCGCCATCCAGCACTCTACCTTACATTGGCCAAAGGAACCTCCTGGCCAGCTCTTCAGAGTGGTTCCAGTCTGTGTCCCAGAAGTCGTGTGAAAGCCTGTCCCTTTTCAGAGGACACAAGAAAAGGAAAGCATGCTCTGCGATCAGTGCCGTAAAGACTAAAGACACGAAACCTGTCATGGGCAAATGGCAGACCCCTTCCCCGGGCTTGGAGAAGGGCGTGACTGTTACCAAAGGCCGGAGTTCTCAAGCTGAAGAATCCAACCAGCAACCCTCCATGCGGATAGCCCCCCCTCCAACTCAGCCTGACAGTGAGCAGCCAGCAAAGAACGAGGGACAACCCACCTTCCATCTGAAGGTCCAAAGGCAGAAATGATCTAGCTTTTTGCTGCTCTGAAGTCTGTGGGTGAAAGATAACATATGCTTACCTATTAAAAAAAAAAAAAGAAAAGTCCTCTCCATCCCTCTTATCACCATTTCTCTCCCCACACATGCATATGCACATACTAAACTAGGTGCTCCCTCTTCTGTAGTGAGGACGTCTTTCAGAAATATAAAAGGGAATCTGGAGTCCTGATCGGTGTGGTGCAGTGGTTAGAGCATTGTCCCATGTACAGAAGGGTCATGGGTTTGATTCCTAGTCAAAGGCAGGTACCTGAGTTGCAGGTACAGGGTGTGTGGAGAGGCAGCCAATCAATGTGCTCTCACATCAATGTTTCCCTTTCTCCTCTCTCTCCCCTCCCCTCCTCTTCCCTCCCTTTCCTTTCCCTCCTCTCCCCTCTTCTTCACTCCTTCCTCCTTTCTGTCCAATCTCTAAAAATCAATGGGGAAAAATATCCTCAGGTGAGTATTAACAAACAAAAGGGAAATCTAGAAAAAACATAGCAGATTTTAAATTGTCTTAGGTATTATACTACCGTGTTTCCCCGAAAATAAGACATCCTCTGAAAATAAGACCTAGTGCATGGAAAGATAAGACATCCCCTGAAAATAAGACCTAGCGCAACTTTGGGAGAAAAAATTAATATAAGACACTGTCTTATTTTCGGGGAAACAGGGTAGTATTTAATTTTTGTCAAGATGGAAAAAAAATATTTATTTCTGATTTCTTTCAAAATGATTTATTTATATAACACCAAAAATAAGCACTCAGGAAGGAATGACCTGTGCTATTATTGACTTCAATGTCCCTATTAGGCCCTTGAATGAATCAGTCAACAAACAACATTTCCTGAATTTTTGTTATAGCTGTAGTGTGCTAAAAACAATTGGTAATTTTTTTAAAAAGACACTTCTCCCTCCCAGCTGGTGTGGTTCAGTGTTGTGGAACTATGAACCAGGAGGTCATAGTTTGATTCCTGGTCAGAGTACATGTCCAGATTGTGGGCTCGATCCCCAATAGAGGGTATGAAGGATGCAGCCAATCCATGATTCTCTCTCATCATTGATGTTTCTTTCTCCCTCTCCCTCTCCGAAATTTAAAAAAAAAAAAAAACATTTTAAAAAGACATTTCTCTCTACTGGAAGATTACTGTATAATTGTACATATAAAACATACATGACTAAAACATACATTACTGTATAATTGCAGAATGAGATAGTGCATAGTAAAATGCTAAGATTTGAACAATGTTAAAAATACTATTGCCTAGCTGGTTTGGCTCAGTGGATAGAGCAATGGCCTATGGACTGAAGGGTCCCAGATTTGATTCCAGTCAAGGGCATGTACCTTGGTTGCGGGACATCCCCAGTGACGGGTGTGCAGGAGGCAGCTGATCGATGTTTCTCTCTCATTTGATATTTCTAACTCTTTATCCCTCCCCCTTCCTCTAAAAAAAAAAAAAAATCAATAAAATATATTTTTAAAAATTAAAAAACTATCTATTAAAAGATGCGAATTATAAGGAAATAAAAGGTATACAACTTGGAGAAGGATGAAATAAAACTGTATTCACAAAGAAGAAGATTGTAAATGTAGAAAATCCCTGCTGGAAGTAATAAGCAATTACGGCAAGGTTGCAAGATACAAAGTTCATGTACAAAAGACAATCCCTATCTTAGACGCCAAGCAATGAATATTGAAATTAAAAACACAATACCATTTACCTTAGCACCAAAAAAAGAAATACTTAGATGCTAATCTAATCTACTCAAGATCTATATGAGGAACACCATAAAACTCTAATGGAAAAACCTCAAGAAATGCAGGGATATTCCATGTTCATGCATAGGAAGGCTCAATATTGTCAAGAGGTCCGAACTTCCCAATTAGATCTAGAGATGCAGTGAAATCCCAATCAAAATCCTAGCAAGTTAATATCGGTTGATGTGATCCTAAAATTTGTGTAGGAAGGCAAAAGATTGAGAATATCCTATGCAATGTTAAAGGGAAGGACTTAAAAACGGACTATGAAACTAGAGTAGTCAAGACAGCATGGTGTTGGCAACCTTGAGTTCTATGTCCAGCGGAAGGAAAAGGCAACGATTGAGTTTCCGCCATCAGTCTGTGCCGCCACAATGGTGCACATGAATGTCCTGGCTGATGCTCTGAAGAGAACCAACAATGCCGAAAAGAGGCAAACGCCAGCTTCTCATCAGGCCGTGCTCCAAAGTCATCGTCTGGTTCCTGACTGTGATGATGAAGCATGGTTACATTGGCGAACTTGAAATTATTGATGACCCCACGCCAAAACCGGTTTGGCTCAGTGGTAGAGCGTCTGTCTGCGGACTGAAAGGTCCCAGGTTCGATTCCGGTCAAGGGCATGTACCTTGGTTGCGGGCACATCCCCAGTAGGGGGTGTGCAAGAGGCAGCTGATTGATGATTCTCTCTCATCAATGTTTCTAACTCTATCCCTCTCTCTTCCTCTCTCTAAAAAAAATCAATAAAATATATTTTTTTAAAAAGAAAAAAAAATTATTGATGACCCCAGAGCTGGGAAAATAGTTGTGACCCTCACAAGCAGGTTGAACAAGTGTGGAGTCATCAGCCCCAGGTTTGATGGGCAACTCAAAGATCTAGAAAAATGGCAGAACAACTTGCTTGGTTTCATTGGCCTGACAACCTCAGTGGGCATCAGGGACCATGAAGAAGCAAGACGAGCACACACGGGAGGGGAAATCTTGGGATTCTTCTTCTAGGGATGTAATAATACCTAGGTGGAAATAAAATGCCTCACAGAACTCTGGTGCTTCCCTCAGTCGTTTTCAACGTGGCAGCAGAGCGGCAGGAGCTCTCGTGGCGGGGTGCAGCCTTTGTGTTACTTGGTGAATGCTGTTTCCCTGAAGCGACCGAGAAGGTCTCGTGATAACTCACCCATCACGCTCGTGCTCCGCAGAGGATGGTGTCTGGCCCTGGATGGTTGCATCTGGGTTGGGGTCCAGGCGGTGGAGCTGTCCCTTTCTGGAGTCTTACGTCACCCCTGAAAGGAGTGGTGCCTTTCCTGTCTTTAGCTTGACAGCAGTGCTCATTTCAGGCACTGAAAAATGCATGGCTGTTAACTATGCAAGCCGTTAATAAGGAAGCAGGCGGGAAGACAGCTAGAGCCCACAGCTCGCTGAGTAAGACCCATCTCAAAGTAAATTTGGATAGCATGTCAGCATTTGCACAACTTGTTTGTAAAATGGTATTTTAACTAGTTTTACTGTAAACATGTCACAACTGTATTCCTGGAGTTGAGTGGATGTTTACATGTCACAACTGTATTCCTGGACCACTTTCCCCAGGAAATGCTTATAAAGCATTTTGGACCACTTTCCCCAGGAAATGCTTATAAAGCAAATGCTTATAAAGCATAATGGACCACTTTCCCCAGGAAATGCTTATAAAGAGGGCAGGCTGGCTTCTGTGAAATAGATGAGGGCTCCACTCCCCTTTTATAACATTTTGTGTTCAGAATGTTAAAATTTTAATATTTAATATGAAATGAGTGGAATTTTGGGAAAAAAAAAAAAAAGAAGAAGAAGAAGAAGAAGAAGAAGAAGAAAAGGAAAGAAAAAAAGGCAACGACTGAGGCCACTGTGAAAGGAGGACTGTGTATCTGCTCCCACCCCGTCCTCCGGCAGCCGGGCCAGCTTCCGCATGTCTTTGGCTCTCCTCACATGGCCACCGTGAGGCCTGGTGTGGCCTGGCTCTGGAGTTGGCATCCATGCTACTGACAAGGGCAGAAGGGCGTCTAATCAGATGAAATGAAAGACATTAACTTTTCGGCTGTTATCCTGAGATCATTCAATTGTTCTCCTATAATTAGGCTTTAAGACAAGAATGATCTGCCGCCACCACCAAAAACCATTTGTTTCATCTTTACGGCAGCGGGGTAAGCACCGTTTCTACGCATAAAAGGAGTCCGCTTGTTAAGTCGTTTTTCTCCACCCAAAACAAATACTTTTCCACCCCAAACGAAGATCTTTACCATGGCTGAATTCATTACTTTCAGAAACATGTTAGAAACTCTAATTGGCAATTTCTCTTTGAAATAAACTCTAAACAAAGGAATAATAGTCCCTTTGTTGAAGTTTGGCCATCTTCACTCCTCACCACCAAGCCTGGTAAGAGCCTCTGTTCTCCACTCTCATAGGCAGACCATTGACCCAAACCGTGGTCCCCAGACCAGCCTCTGCGACACCATCCCTTCTAGCGCCTGTGTGGAGAGAATTGTTCATGGCTGAGGGCCTGGGCCCGAGTCTCCCGGGACAGATTAGGAGAATGAGGTGTTTTGCTCAAAGAAACAACAGATGGCCAATCCAACTGGTGGGATGATACAGTCCCTCGCGAATGTAACCACTGTTCTGAAGGTAGCTGTGCTGAGCAGGGCAGGGCCACACCCTGGGGCAGGAGCCTGGTCTCGAAGCCACGCCCTCAGAGCGCTCTACTGGAAATACATGAAGTGGTAAGACAGCAACAGTTCCTCTTGCTGTCTCTTATCACTGAGTCCCTGGCAGTGGGGTAATAAATACCTTTGGTGAGGCCCATTTCTCTGACTCAGCTTGTCTGTGCTGACCAAGCACGGACTGGGCAGGATTCCTTATAACTTCTGTGAGTGGGACCAGCCCTCAGTGCTCCCAGGAAAACTCCAGACCAAGGAGGAGCGTCCCCTGAAGGGGGCATTGAGTCCTGACTGCAGCCTGACTCACGGCTGTAGGAGGGACTGGCACTCCTTGGTCTCCGGTGTTGTATAGGGACAGGTGGGGCCTAGAGTAGCCAGGGCTCGTGGACTAGTGTCCTCTGCCTGCAATCAGCCATTTAGGTTGCCCCAAAGCACAAATAATACCACTTTCTAAACGTGCAAGCAGGGAACAGCACAAAGGGGACTGTGATGTTCAGCCAGGCCTCCCTTGCCCTGCCCACCGATGGCTGGCCTGGCTGCCAGGCATTGTTT